TTGTGCTGTTGCTTTTCCATAACAGATGGTTTTTCTTGTGCTTCGTTCTGGTATGTTTGAAATTTTAAAATTATACATTTTCAGACGAATTATTCTGACAAATCAGGAATTAATAAATAAAATACATATAGCTGAGTGTAATAAGCGTTATCTTGATAGTAATGTCTTGTTTTTTATAAAGTTAATCAAGGTTGAAGCAGAAGAATGATAGATCAAGATCATTTTAAGCTTGTGTGTACATAGCTTGCGATTTCATTTGAATTGCATGATTTTAAAAACGTTTTAAAATCGTTTTAAAAACCCGTGTTTCTAAAAAAAACCAAATTTGGTTAGATCCGTAATTTAATTTCTTCTTAAAAGTTCAGGTGACCCTATAACTTTATAGACCAGGCAAAATAAGAGAAGTGCCGAATCAGTCTTACCGATTGGATTTGTGGAAAATCTTAAAAAGGCGAGGACAACAGTTTTTGAAAATCGTTGCGAACCGGCTATCTCAAAGAACGAAAAAAAGTTTGCTAACATATTACATTTGGCATAACTCTTATAATCCCATGCATACATTAAGTTCGACACATCCGGTGGATGAGCAGTTTAGATTGATATTTTAAGGAGAAGGATAGCTGAAAAACTGGCTAAACTTGCTGCACAAAGGGAGCAATATATGCGATCTGTAGAGGATGAAAAAGAAAAACAACGCGTATGTTGATTTCGTTCATTTTTGTGAAAAATGAAATGGGATAGTACTAGTTTTAAAGTTTATTGGTGAATTATATTATTTGAACTTTGCTTACGCGTAGTGGAATAAATTTTTTCGTTTCAAAAAGCCATCGAACTTTGATTATCTTTTTTTTCAGGAGCAAGAAAGGAAAGTAAAGGTACATGTTCCTGTGAAATCACCAAAACGAAATGCTAAAAAAAGATATATTGAACCACCTGAGCCGGAATACTACGGGTGGAAAGAAAGTAGCCCACGACCGTAAGCTTTTTTATATATTAATGTTCTCTGGCGTTTTTATTTCTTACCTATCAAAAAACTTTGCAGTGTTTCAAGATATGTATTAAGAATTCAGTATTTCTTTTAGTATTTCAAATCATTTCTTTCTACGGTTCTGGACATCGTCGACTATAGATTGTTGTTTGTTTGTGATCTCCATAATTATTATGTGCTTTTTAGCATTGCTACACAGATACTCAATCCTTTCGATATAGATCTAGTAAGTTTTTGCAGATCGAAAATAATTTTTTTTAGTTCAGGTTATCACTTTTTTTCTCAAATTTTTGTTCTTGTTAGGTTGCTAAGATTCGGATTTTTTAAGTCATTTTTTTTGATAGCATTTTACATATTGTTTTGCTGTAATCTTGCTGTTGATCAAATAATGCTTAGGTGCGATTTAAATCAGTAAAAAAACTAAGAAGAGTAAAAGCAGCGGAATGAGCTAAATTCCTTGTTGAACTTTCTCAGATTTTTTTAAATATAGAAAAGTCTGTTTTTTATTTGTAGGAAGAAAACAATGAAAAAACACATGCGCTTGCTGAAATGGAAGAACAGAATCAAGGAAATGAAACGAGGTGAGTTAATGATCGTAAATCATATTTCTCTTTTATTTCTTCTTTTCATCAATTGCTACTGAGATCTTGACTGACCAGTGTTAAAAAAAAAATTATGAAGTTGTAGTGACTTTGAAATGCTCGTTTGAGCGAAGAGTGAAAAGGATTATTTTATCGGATTTGAATCTTTATTTTCAATGAATAGTGCATTGTTTTTCTTGCTGTGCAAAAAAGCCAATCTAACGTTCAAGTTCTCTTTGAAAAACATATCATCGTTAAATTTTGATTTGACTCTTTTAATATGAATTTGGATTTAAGAACTGCGGAAGAATATGAAAACACCGTTATAGTAAAAACACCCATCATACCCAATATAACAATATGTTTCACTTCAATTATGCAGCATGTAAGTCTTATTGAAAAATCCAATCATTTTTTACTTGTTCCTGTAATAGTGCTAGCAACTTAGATCTTCTGACACCTTAGCAGATAGTTAAAAAATATAATGGAAGTTTCACTGAGTTTGGAATGGAACTTCAATTAAATGCAAGTTGTAAAAAATTCACTTGGCTATATAATTGTTGATCACTTAGGAGACATCAATTGCGGTTTATGTAAAAGTTTGCATTCATATATCCATTTTACGAGTCTATATTCACATATCAATCTTAGTTATTCAGAAAAGAGGTCCATCGCTTGTTTTTACAGGATAGGAATGCTTTGGTGACTATGGTTCAGCAATTAGGTGGAGAAGTATGTAATGAATTTGATGAAAAGGTAACTCATCTGGTCTGTGGTCGTATAGTGCGCAATCAAAAGTTGCTTTGTTCGATTGCCAAAGGACTTGTAATTGTCGACGAAGACTATGTGATCGATTCTCATGCACAGTCAAAGTGGCTTGAGGTTAGTACTGATCAAATTAGCTGCCCTTTCAATGTTACTAGTGGTATAGACTCTATTTGTTAGGACTAACATCGATTGAATCCCTAGCCACAATGAAAACTGAGTAGAGCAAATAACAAAGCAATTATCACTAAGGAAAATGGAATTCATATATGAGTCCCATTTCTCCTCTAATGTTTCTTATTTTTTGCTTCCAGAACCATTACTCTTCTCTTTTTTATTGTAATAATTTTGCATTTACTTCTTAACATCCTTCCTTTCATTGAAAATGTTAACTTCATTGTTGGATTAATCCATCTATGGGTAGTGTTAAGATTATTTGGTGATTCCGTCCGTTGAAAAAGTTTTTATTGTAGTTAATCCAAACTGGTGTCTGATTCACTCAGATTGGATAACTGAAGAATTGGTGCGATATTCAGATTCTGATCATCTGAAATAGAATTTCGATCAGTAGAATTAAATTTAAATTAATGAGGTTTATGAGGAAACATTCCTCTAACATGATGGAATGCCGGCTGGTTATGGATTTGAGCATGCTTCAAGAGATCTTAGAAGTAGATATAAATTATCTTGAATTTTTGCATATTGTTTTTCTAGGTCGATAATTATGAATGGGGAAGTGTTCATTCAGTGATTAAACACCGTCTGCTCTCATCACAATCTCGTTTTCTTTCTTTTGCGTTGGCGTGTTCGCGATGGCGACGGAAAATCGAAAAGGTTTCGGAAATCTGCTTAACAAGTGTCGAGATAATTAAAATTGTCCAACTCCCCAATATAGCCAATGTCGTGTTGCTGAAATAACTATGCGCATGACAAGATTGTCTTAAGTGCCCCTAGGAGTCAAATAAAATCAAGTCGTCAACTCTTACGGGTCTCAGTTCAAAGTTGTCGCTTTTGCTTCTGCTGCTGTAATTGTTTTCGAGCAGAGAAGTCTTGTGATTTTCAAGGCAGCAAAAAAAAAAACTAATGGATTGATGCGGCGATCATTCAGTTGCAGAATTCGAATGAAAGGGCCTTCCACAAATGGAAAGCATTACTTTACTGCAGTCGTCGTCGATTTTCCGATCTTAAACGTATTATACATTTCGGTGGTGGGAGAGCTTATCTAAGGTATAATTTTGCTGTAACTTATTTCTGCTTTGGTTTAAGGAGCATTTCTTAGAATGTTTGGATTGGACTCAGATTGAACTCTTTAGGGATGATATTTGCTCATTGGAAGGATTCACTGTTGCGCTTGTTGAAAAATCGAGGTTTTGGAATCCGCAGGTCAGCTCGCACTTACTTTGAATTTTACTAGAGAGCATCTTCGGAATATAGGAGAGAGCTTTCAAAACACAAAATTTGTTTTAAAAATATTGAACATCCTAGATTTACTTATGTCCTGCTTAGAAATCCCAAGATGATTTGAAGTCATGCAAAAATACGAGAGTTTCAGAAGCAGCGGTAGAAGGCGTGACATTCGAAACTTTTGAAATAACTGGTTCAAGTTCCTTTAGTTCCAAAAAAGGCGGAAACAGATTGTTTTTCAGGAAGTGATCGAGCTTATTGAGAACAATATACAGTGTTTCGATGTAGACTATCTCGCCACATATTTAACACTGGAAAACGCAAATGAAGTTAAAAAACACTTCCATAAAGACTATGTGACTGAATTAAACCGCATATTAGATGCGGGCATTCGTCGTAGTTGGTTTTAATATCCTCAGCGTTAGGGATTCTCGCTTCAATTGACTATGCCAAGACTATGCCAAAACTTCCATCTCTTTAGTATTGTGGCTTCTATTTTTAGCATCCTGCTAGTGTAATTCGTTCATGTTCTTTGGGGTGGAACAAATTAAATGTATCTTTGAATGTGCGCCTATATATCATAAGGACCAGATGCTGCAACTATAGGATGTTTGAAATCGACTAATAAACATGCTTTTATGTCGCATTTCTACGCTTAAAGGAATATGAAGTTTTAACATGATACAGGGAGACGAAACAATGCTACTTTCGCAGAACTTCAACAGTTTCACTTAAAGCTTTCTCTGTGAATAATCATGTTCATGTGACATAATTTGAAAAACCCCTTAATTGTGCGATTACTTTTCCAGGAATAATTAGGGAGCTATCAAACCATCCAAAATCATTTATTTTCAAGATGCAATTTAGATAGAGAAAGATAGGCCACTGTAGCAAAATCATTCACAGAATGCTCCACAATTTTTGTTTCGTCTACAACAATCCGTTTCTTAAAAAATGGACAATTCACAACGAACGTTTCGTATTCGCCACCCTCACCACAAATATGAACGCCATATCGACTACTGAGGTTCGACAGAAGGTCCCTCACCTAAAAACAGACAAGCATAATGCAACATTGCCGATTCAGTACATATGAATGAAGAGTACATGAATTAAGTTTATGCGGTATGTGTCACATATTAATTGAGGTGCACACCGTTACAACAAAGTCCCATACGTTCCCGAAGAAAAATACCTCGTTTAGGGATTTCCCGAGATGTTTTGTTGATAGACCTAGTGCAGCCACTTTAACAATAATTGCTTCAATTCCGGATGAAATGATTTCATCGAACAACACAGCTTCGTCAGCGCTCCACAAGTAGGTTAATGATTCCAAATTCAATCTCCGGCATACATTTTCAATGCGATTTTTCTGATAGCTACTCAAAATAGCGCCGCTAGAAACAGCTGTAAAACTACAGAAGTTCAAGAATTGCTGCAAAATAGATGTGCAAATAAATTTAAAGTTAAAAGAATGGTCTGATAAGAGATAAAGAACAGCAAATATTCCTGATGTTGGAAGCCATCAACAAACAATATGCAGAATCTGACAGAAGATTTACATGTTCGGAAAATAAACCAATCAGCCAGCAACACAATTATACTGCACATGATCATAATTTTCCAAAACATTTTAAAGAAATTCTATCTGGCCATTAAAAAGTAAGGTCACTGAATAGGCGAATATTCCTGAACACAGAGAAAACTTATGTACATACACACACAGTTTTGTGAAAAAATTTTATAACTTTTTTAGGAATTTTATTTTTTCTAATTTTCAAAAAATTTTACAATTTAAAAAAAAAGGTTCAATGGATTCTGAAAACTGCGACCTATCGTCTTTCCTTCAAAAAAAAGACTATCCTGCGAAATGGTAACTTACCCTCAATATCAGGATGTTTCTGCTTGACGAACGCAAGCAACTCATAGAGATCTTCCACTTCATCGTGACTAGCTTCTTCATAAAAGGCACCTGTTTTTATCGGTCTCCCTCGTATCTCGCGCCGATAAACCGGGAAGCCACAAGCTTCACTATATAGCTAAAGTAGGTACCATGCAACTAAAACAAATGTTACCGCTTCAGTTTTCAATGTAATTAGAAAGGACTGGAGAGAAGTGGAGAATTGATTGTGACCATAGCAAACTATGTTATTTAATTCATCTGAATGACCTACAATCGGTTTTATCAAGATTGGTTTAAATCAGAGGATTATTCTCTATAATATATAAATGAGCAGGGATAATGATCATTGCATAACATATATAACATCTCTGAGTGGTCGGCGTAAGACTGACTACGTCAATCACAGATGTCTCAATTAAAAAGATTGAAAAAAAATGCGGATAAAAAATCACTTGAAGTCCTGTGTGAGCGACACATTGATACATGTAACTATCTATCTCCTCCTCGCTATCGCTCGGTGGATACAAATTAGCGAGACATACGACATCATGCCCATCCTTCATACACAACATCAAGCTATAGCAACTATCCTTCCCACCAGACGTTAACCCAACCACCTTCATCGTCCACCTCGACCGCTCAACGCAGTATTAACTCAATTCGCACCTAACCTATTCGTAATGGCGGCCGCTATGAGGCCCGTGAAAAACTATTTCTGTCCCATGGATAGTGATTTTTGGGCCGTTTGGGACAAGTCGAAAGTAGGCACGATGAATGGTTTGGTGTGTGGTATATATGGCGGATATGGTCTTGTTATATGATTTCGCATAATTTATACTAAGGATATTTTTATTTACCCAAGCCTATTTTATTTGAACTACTCACAGTCTAATTTCACTTCTTAAAAAATTTCCTTTCGCTTTATACAGTTTCATGATTTTTCAACCTTTTTGCAGATCTTGTATTTTTCAGCAGAATTTATTGGTTTGAATTCAGCAGAATTTATTGGTTTGAATTATGGCTATCCGTTGTCAGTTTGAAGCGAGTAATGAAATCGGTGTTTTTTGCAAGCTAACTAATAGTTATTGTTTGGTTGGGATTGCTGCATCTGAAAACTTTTATAGGTTAAAGAATTATTTCTATTCGACTTCTGTTCTTCATTTTATTGCTTTTTGACTTTTTTATTTTTTTAACATCATGTGTGTTTTGGTTATCTTTCAAATCCATTTGGATGCAATTTTTGGGCATTTTAGTTAGATATTTTCTTAGGAATAAATAATATTGTAACCTAAGATTTAGGATAATGAAGTAAAGATGACGATATTCTGATGTTACAGAGTCAGTAAACTTTACATTTCTTTATAATCATTTGCTCAGCAGCATATTTTTGACTTTTAAGAATGTAATGTTTTCAGTGTGGTGGAAGGTGAGCTGGCTGACGTAATCCCAGTGATTCACTGCTCCATTGCTGGGACTCGAATTATTGGACGGGTAACAGTTGGTAATCGAAGAGGATTACTAGTGCCGAACGATACTACTGATCAAGAATTACAGCATCTTAGGAACAGGTTAGTACTTTGTTTGAAAATTTACGAAGTTTAATAAAAGTCGCTGTTTACAGTTTGCCGGACAATGTAAATGTAAGGAGAGTAGATGAAAAGCTATCTGCATTGGGAAATGTCATTGCGTGTAATGATTATGTCGCATTGGTGCATCCTGAAATCAGTAAAGAAACGGAAAAGGTTCGACTGGCTTTGTTGTTTTTCTAGCTTGTTTTGAGCCGATTTATTTCTTCTATATTGTAACAAATGGCATTATTAAGCTGCAGATCTTCTCTTATCAAGAGTGATATGACGTAGTTATAGCTCAACCAAAGCCCGCATATAGAAGTTGGTTCATGTTCATAGTAGATATGTCTCTGAAAAAAAGAAGAAATTAAAGTAGAACTGCTCTTTTGAAAATTAATTCCACCGCATTTGCACAGTATTTCTTGCAGTCATTTCCGCTTTGGTTTTTGTTGAATTCCCGAATCTCTAAATTCCTTAAATTTCAGGCACTGGAAGAAGTTTTACAAGTGGAAGTTTTTAGAATGAGTTTGGGTAACCATGCTCTAGTAAGTTATTCACCAGTGAATATAACAGATTTTCAAGTTATTCAAGTAATCAAAAGATTTCCTTCTACTTGTGTAAGCTGTTTGCTTCTTAAAATTCATCCTTGTAACGTCTCTATTCTCATTTCCAGGTTGGTACATATGCTGTTCTTAGCTCCCAAGGAGCTCTTGTAGAAGCGAAAACGTCTCCTCAAACACAACGCGAATTAGCTGCCTTAATTCAAGTCCCCGTTGTTGCAGGCACCGTTAATAGGTAATTGCTTTTGTTGTCCAAGAAGCACTGTATATCCGAATAATCCGGTTTCATTTGTTCATTCCTAAAAATTTTTGCTCATTGGATTCCCAGATTGCTTAGTTTCTACCATATTTTAAAACAATTCTTTCACCTGAAGTATTTTTTCCAGATCTTAGCATTTTGCCTATATTAAGTGGACAGTGAAAAAAAAATCAGTAACAATAACCACAACAAAACAGAGTTAGCCAATTGTAAAAAGACAGATTACGATTTCACATATTTGAAAGTTTGATTTACTTGTATATCAGGTTGAAGATTCCTCTTCACCTGTATTTTCCGTCTGATATTTCGAAAAAAATTCGTTTGTTGTTGGCATCTTACCTGTGCGCACAGTGCAGAGAACCGTTTAAAAAGCCACCCGCATCTTTTATATAAATTATTACTTCGAAAAAAATGAACATCGCAGTATGTAGAGATAATTAGTTTGTATGTGGTCGCTTTAAGCACAAAAATCTGAACCCAAACTGCTTAGATCTTCTTAAATGTACAAATGCCGATAGCATGTTCCCGCCACTTTATATTGTAGATAATTTAATTACCTGCAGAGGTTCGGATTTGGTTGCCGCTGGCCTATGCGTAAATGATTGGATTGCTTTCGCTGGTCTCGATACAACAAGTACAGAACTCTCAGTCATTGAATCCTTGTTTAAACTTGGTGATCGTGAGGCATCAACCATAACCGGCGACATGCGCGATGCCTTGATCGATAGCACATTGTAACGGGAGCCAACTCTCACTGGCTCTTCATTCCCGCAGGGGAAATATATCTACCAGGACTTGAAGAGTTTTTACAAATTCTTTAAATTGTTTCCATCCTTGTACAATGTTATGCTCTCGTAACTTATTGATTCATCTGTATCTCTAATTGCCTATTTATCCTCGTGCAGCGTTATTCTTTCATAATATTGTTTCACCTTTAAATTTCAGTTGTTTCTCCTGGTCACCAAAGTTGCTGATAGCGAAATAACTGAATTGAAAATTCTTGCAAATTAACATGCATTTTGGGCTGATCTAAGAAGACGAATGCTCCTTTCAATTCAAATTCTGCTTTTAGGTATAATGGCTGTGAAATTGAACTATATGTAAACCGTCACTTTACCGTGTTGGTAAAATCCAATTTGGTCTGGCAAGGTAGCAACGAACATGACACCCCTCTGCAAAATGGTTCATAATCCCTCGCGAAAAAAGAAATACGAAGTCATGCAGCACAAATAAACATTCCTCGACAGAATGTAAATCTCGAAGAAAGGGAGGTAGTCGGAATCTTTTCCGAATTTATTTTAAATACACAAATCAGTAGGCTAATCGCCATGCAAAAAGTTGAAAATTTTAAGTCCAAACACGAGTAACAAGTATGATTTACAATGGTCTCATAGTAGAAAACAAGCATGAAAGTGACACGCGATTGTATTGGTTGTCAGCGATATATTGATCACATAATGAGAGTAGTCCAGCAAGGAGAGCATTAGCTTCCTTCCAATCACTTCGACATCGTAACTTCACTGCAAAAGAACAAACAAGGATTCAGTTTTTGTGCTCTGGAGAGCGATCATAGTTCACTTTAATTCCTGAGATAGGAACTATGGACTTCGGAACGATTAACATTTAGTCCTTGATGAAACAAAACATTTCCTATTAAGAAGTTTTAACAACTTTTCTTGCTTAGTGGTTGTGTGTATGTTATTCCGCTTCGGATAATATATCAAAATGTTAAGCGGTATGTGCATATGATATATTTTTCTCATCAGGTACTAAGACCGTGAAATACATCATTCTGAAAGAAGACCTCGAATTTTAAAAATGAAAATGAATCGAAAGAGGACAAACTTCTCTGTTCTTCTGTAAAGTTATCTATTGCCTTCGTCACATCGAACAATTTTTGAAAGAAAATCAACTGTTCATAAAGCCTTTTTGATGAGTACTGACATGAAAAGGTAGAAGTATAGAAGTTTTGTGTATCTGAATTCAGATTTTTATAAACTTTTAACAGCCGAAAACAAGATAACATGTAGGAGGTTTATGGAGATTGGAAACAAGTGGTGTGTGCTTCACTCTTATTGTTTGTCACACTTTGAATTCTTACCTCTCTTCTCATGAATCCATTTTTGCATTTCGGACATCGAACACCCTCTCTTGTCCATACCAAAACTAATGTGCGCGTACGATATGCGCAGCCAATATCATCACATATATATGAAATCTAGAAATAACGGTTACAAGAGTCAGCTCAAAATTTCATGAATTTGAAGCTGAAAACATTTGGAGCAATATTTGATAATTCAGTGAGTGAAGCCTACCTTGTAATAGTCAGAAACCACATTGTCAAGGGTTAGTTGCAACTGATTGTATAAATATGCACCAAAATATAACAAAGAATTGTGACAAGCGGAACACTCGCTTAACCATAGTTTTTGCTCATTGTTATCCTGCAAAATCACCAAAGATACGGTAATCACGATTTCCCACAGAGTGCACAGAATTGTCATCAATATCATTAGCCAAACTTACCTGTTCTGGTGTTATATGACTATAGACTGAGAAAATATGGGATAGCATTTGGAAAGAAGTTAATAAGGCCTTAGTGTCGTATTTCACCGGATATGAAATGTATTTCCAAACTGAGATAGTTCAAAGAAAACTTACATCTTGCATCACGCATTCACGAACAAGGAACACATGTCCACAGCCCTCGTTTGGACACAGGAACTTAAACGATTCACAACACTCAAAAGTGCAGTGTGAAAAATACAGGGGCTGCTCTTCCGTATCCACATTTTCCTCATATATAGCACGTTTCCGATAAGCCAAACTATCGAGACCTACGATAATTCTTTGATGTACTGATGATGGATTATATATCATAATGCTTTTACGCTAATGTCAACAGATATTTTAAAGTGAACAAATACCAACATTTTGTAAACGAAGTAATGGGATGTAATAAATATGAAGCTATAAATCCGGTTTATTTACAGATGAGCAGTGTTTCATATCTTATTTTAAGATTCATAAATTTTTTTCTTTTTAAACAAACCCAGTGCTTGTGCTATCCACGCTTCATTACATCCTTCGATTGAAACACACAGCCTCGTTACAACTGGAAGAATTTGCTGCACCAGATAATAATGAAAATCTAGAAAGCGTATTTCCCTTAAAAAATGCACCACAAGAATTAATAACAAAATGTTCTGAAAAGTTATTCACAATCAACAAATGAAATAAAGTCTTTACAGAGAGGAAGAAGTTGAAAACTTATTTCTCACCAACTTTAAGGTTCTTATTTTCCTGAATTTCTGTTAAATGGTAAGCACGCTGAGCAGCCGATTTTCCACTACCATCCTGAAATTAAACATGAAAAGTAATTTTATGGTGCCATAGTATAGATGAAAATTTGCATGAAATCTTTCCATATTCTCAAGAGAGTGAAATCTGGGATGGGAAATTTAACTGCAATCTGCAGTGACCGAGAAAAGCCATATGATACCTTAAAAAAATGAGTTAAGAAGACATTACTCGTTAATAAACTAAAGCAAGGAAACTGTCCAGCACAACCAGCAGGTAAAATAAAATGGTTCAATCGGATCCAATCATGAATTAATTCAACGTATACCTCACAAATTATATAGCCAATCGTATCACCCCGATGAAATTTAAATTTCCCGGTCGCATTCAGTCGCTGAGCAACAATTGCGTGAGGCTGAACAATGATATTTGCATACTCGTCGGGCTTCCGAGTTAGTTGCTAAAAAAGAATTACATTAAGGTTAAGATTTATTTTTCAAACTTGAAATTAGCAAACCTTAAAGATCTGAAACATTGAAATTTCCAACAGTTCCTGTGCTATGTCTTCCTTCAGTTTCCGCAGATGACCGTGAATTTGTTCGATGATTTCATCGCGATTTTGTGATTGCACTGATAGGATTATATCCAATATTTCGCTGTAAAGACACTTGCTCAAAAATTTGAAAAATTCTGAGAAAATTTTGAAAATTTGCACCAACCTTATCAAAACTTTATAAGTTGTTTAAACGAAATTTTAAAAATACACAATTACTTTCCAATCTGCTTTACAATAAATGAATAATCGCGGCGAACAATGTCCAGACCCTTAATTTCACGTTTTGTTTTCTTCTCATCATTCAGATCTACTGCTAAGCCAGCGTACTTTTTTTTTTTTAGCAATAATAACTTCAGAAATATGCCATCGATATCAATTTCCAGTTTTTTATAAGACTGGTTTATAATTTTTTTGATCTGAAAATAATGTCAGTGAAGGCTGATAAAGGGTGAATAAAAAAAACCATGGCAATCCGACATGCAAAAAAATTCAGGAGGCCAGAATCCGGAAGATTCGATGTCTATTTTTTGATTATCTTTATTTTGATAATAAGAAGTTCCGCGTGATAGTTGATATATAAAATTAAAAAAACCAAGTTGTAAAAATGTTTTAAGAACAAAAAAAATTGGCAACAAATACTTGCATCGTTTCCCAATTTTTTTACACGCTGTAGTTCCGACAGTTTTGAGAATCCAGTATTGATCATAACTGAATCAGTATCACCGTAAATAACAGAATAACCATTCTTCTCGACCAAATCCTTCGTGTGCATAAGAATCTGAAAAACAATTATAGCATCATTTCTAATAAAGGATGAAAACACTGTATTTCAAAGAACAAAAAGTTATAGAATTATCAATACAGCAAAGTAAAACATCATAATAGAAGTGCCATAAGGAACTGTAATGCATTTAATCATTGAGAGCTATTAATATTAGGAAATACATAAAAATACTTCGCGCCCTTGGGCTGTTATCAGTGCAGCAAGTGGTTTCGCATAAAAACGGGATTGTTGGAATCCAAGACATCCGTAAATGCTGTTAGCTGTTAGTTTTAATCCCATTTGACGAATATTATACTGAAAATATCCCTACATGAAATCCCGAAAATTCTTCCTTGATAATTTTTTAAAAAATTACTACTTAAAAAAATCACCTTAAGCATGAAAATGAAAGAATCAGCCGATAGAAGTATATAGAAGGATAACTGAACATTTATTACTGCCAAACAATAATGTTGTTCGTTTGATAAAATTTATTTAGTAAATAAAATAATGTGGACTAACAGATTAACAGAATATAATGAAACAATTCGATAGTTGATATTGTGAAGAGCACAGGCTTGACTGAATCAAGAAAGATGAAAACTTTAAAATCTGATAACTGATGCGCTCTTACACTTTTACAACCTCACGTTATCTGTTGGAGAAAACAACAGGAAGTGACGATTAAGCTATACCTGCTGTCTTTGTTGCTCCGTAAGTTTTTCAGATTTCATCATTTTTTTCACATCACGTCTCCTTTCCACTAAAGATCGAATTTCTCGAGGAAGTATACCTTCAACTGTATCACTAGGAAGTTCTGGGATTTCATTTTCGTCCTATAATTTCTTGAAATCACAAAACATCAACTATTTCATTATGAAAAACCAGAATTGCGAAAGAGGATTCCGTGCAAAATATTCCCTAAGCACAGAAATCGTTAAAATAAATTTTCAGAAAAATTTCAACAAACCTTTTTGGACATATCAACAGTGGTAAAACAAATGTTATATTCCTGAATGATACTTGGATATAAACTATTGAAGTCCAATAGTAATATGAATGTGTCATATAAGCCTAAAAAAGAACCTGACTTTATAAATTATGCATTATTTTGAGAATAGATTACAGCAATTTGAAAACCGAGCCTTCCTAAAATCTATGAATCAAACTTAATTTAAAAAGCTAACCTATCTTCGGGTCCAACACTAAACCACCTACATACTGTCCCTTGTGATTGTACGGCATTTCCTTATGATCTTTCGGATGATTGTCTACAATCTTGGTATCTTCCAATCCAGACTGTTTCTTTTTCTTGAAATCTTGATACTTATTTGGTGCCACATAACCAGCACTGCTGAATGCATGCAGTAATAAATATTCGTTTCGTTCTGCTCGTCCACCCAACATTGTTCTCGACTAAAGCAAGACAACAAGGTCGGAATAATAATTGATTATAAATTATAAAATGTCGAGTGTTCAACATCAGTTTTTTGTCGTCATAAACACTATGTTTGAAAAAATTCTCACCAAGACACCACCCACAATTTTTGTAATTTGAATAAATAATGGCAGAGCATTGAGTTCAACGATAACAGCAAGGGATAACCAAGCATCCGTCCAAGTATTATTGATAAATCTGATTAATTGCGCTGAATTCCTTAAACCAATCTATGCAACATTTGTGGTAAATTACTGTTGATATATTGCTGCTATTACAACTGCAAGTCATTCAATGGACCTAGCTACCAAACAGTAGTTCGACTAGATGTTAGAAAGATGCAAAGAGCGTAATGAATAAAGTTCGCATTATCAGTGATGAAACTAATATATTCATTGAATAAGCTACTGATCATTAAAATAGTTACGTTCCAGAAAATCAACGTTCTTCAAGACGAAAGAGTTTAGGTGACACTAAAATTAAGAATTAAAAATAAATTCGAGACAATTGAAAGAATTACGCAAAGTATGTGGATATGTTTTCTTTCATCACAAAGTGATCATTTATTCCAAGTAAATCAGATGATAGATCAGATAGGTCATAGCTTCGCATTCTCACCAATTCCATAGCTGATAATCTGAAAATACTGAATTTGTCTAGAGATATGCTGATTAGAAATTTAATACAACCTGCAAAAATCCACAATAATCAACTTCAAAAAACAGAGCCCATCAACTTTCATTTCTCATTGTAGAGATAATTATTCGTTATAATTAGGATAAAAAGAGTGCTATATATATATATATATATATATATGATTGTTCCCGCATCTTCTACTCATGCACATAACAAATAACAAATATAACAAATATCACCTGCTATCTAGAACTAAACGTCCAGCTGTCAATTCCCACTGTGAAGTTTTCGTATGAGTTGCCTGTCTAACTGTAACTGAGCGCTTCAAACGGCCCAAACGTGACCAATGAGTGATACCCAGTTTTTCCAGACGTGAGGACAAAATAGTAAATTGAGCCGTTAAATCATGTCCCTAAATAAGATCGAATTTCATTAGTTCAAACAATAAAGCAATAAGCTTCTTGACACCAATCTATTTTTTTATAACAATGTTAAAGATGTATCAATTTCATATCACTTTGAATCAAAACAAAAGAAAGCTACGTTTAGAGATCTTGGGTAAATACAATAAGACAACAAAAATTCGAACATTGTCAATAAAATTTTAATGAAAAAATAAAACTCACTGCATATGCATCGGGATCCAAATTTTGCAACTTACACAAGAAATGATTAAGTAAATGACGCTCATTCGCTGTTTCGTAAACAACAGTATCCATCCCGATTTGTTTCAGACTTATTTTAAAATCAAATGGATAAGCAGAAAGGGTTGGTTTTGTAAGAACTGAAAGTAAAGTCAACTTTTTTTATTTTTCTAAATTAGCCTTTCAATGAAATTTATCGATAAAGAAAAATAATAATTTCTATAGTGCTTATTTCATTCTGAAAAAGCATAAAGAAAACGCGGAAGATTTCCTTCAGATGCTAACAATTTAGACATATTAAAAGACCCACTGCAGAAACGTTCCAAAAGATTTCTATTTAAAGTTGGATTTGCAACTGTGCATTTTCGGTCAAATATGCAGGAGATTGAAACAATCTGAAAAAATAGTGGTTAAAAGAAAAAAGAAATTTTCAGGAACTTTTTCACTGGAAATTCAAAAAAAAATTTCCATCAACCGAACCTCGCTTTCTTTCTTATGATTGACAGCTGTAATTACATTCATTGTTAACAAACTCATTTCCGGCGGTGGGTCTGAACAATCAACTACGGAAATCGATTTCATTCGTTCCATATCAACCACAAATTCATGTTTGACATAACTTACTTGAACTGAAGAGACATCTGAAAAATTCTATTTTATTTAATAAATTATATAATTTCTTGAAAAACTGACAAATTAGGTTCCAATATTATAGTTAATCAATATTTTTCAAAAGTGAACAACAAATAGCAAGTTTGTAAAATGCGAAAAGGCAATAATGAAGAATTTGTAACAAAAAGTCTAACATACAGCAGCCAGAAATTTCTATCCACGAGGGTCCTTTCATGCCCGTTTCAATCAACAATATTTCCATAGCATTAGCAGTTGTATTAAAAACATGGCTAAATGTTTTTCCACTAAGATCCATTGACAATCGCTGATCATTAAACTACAAATTGTTACATTCTTTCAGCTTACAGTTTACATAAAGCGAAACTAAAATCTCATCGTTCTATTACTACTTTTCACACATGATGCATTAACAACACAAGTTTTTGAAAACGAAAAGGAAGTACCAACATCTAACAATAAGTCTTAAAATTTAAAATCGATATCAAATCAAAACGCTGAAGTTATGTGAACTTACACTATAATGCACTTCAAGCACTTGAGCATTCTTCGGCACGACTCCATCGTTGTATGCAAATTTCTTCTCACATGGCTGAAAAAATTTTAGAGATTCGAGTCTTATAAATATTAATCCCAACTTGCCAAAGCAACTAAAAAAAAAGTAAATATTCAACAGTTATTCAACAATTTACATCAACCCCACCCACAGTTAATAAACGATTTCAACTCTATATGCTTTTAGACGTATTTGAATATTATAAAACTATAAAGACACAACAGTTGCGTTGACAAAACAAAACTGCTCTCATCCATGTAAAATGATGAGATATTTAGCATGCATTTTATTAGAAAGTCTGAAGTGTTAATTACAAAATACAACTAATAAGATTAACCTTGCATTTCACAACTTTAACACCCATCGATTTGAGTATTTGTTGGACTTCTTCATTGACTTGCATTAAATCCACTTCATCAGTTTGTACTTCGCTTACTAGGTGCTGAAAATAAATTTCAGAAAAATCTGCAGCAAGGAAATTTAGTCAGTTCACAAATAACTAACTAAGTAATTAAAAACAAGATATCCAAAACTTCCATCATAAAATATTTGAGGCAAAGATAAAGATATGTTATAGCACACAAGTATATGCAAATGACATGAATCATTCTGAACCTTTTCACGAGGTAAGAAAAAAACTTGTCGCCATATATTTTTGACAATCACGCAGCAGCTTTCGGAAATACCGCCGTTAATCAACCGACCAAAAAGAAAAACCGTTCCTGAAAAAAAGGAAATATTTAAAGGAATCAAACTGTAAGCATTACAGAAAATTTCATTGCTCGAAATACAAACATTTAGATTCACAAATTTTGAGGAGCACTTGGAAAAGGATCAAAATAAACATCAATAATCTTTAAAAAAGGTAATTTTTCGAATTTTCATATTAATCACTTTATACTAAAACCATCCGCTGAGAGAACATTGTTTCATTAATTCAATAAACGCGCATATCTTGACAAATGAACTGAAAGATTCGATGAAAAATTTCAACTGTTATGTGTTACATCCAATACTGTGATATCAAATGTCAGTTTCTGCTGAAGAAATAGAATGCTGCGTGAACTACATCAGTAACCTACAGTATGGAAAAGCAAACACAGCAAACCTGGTATTTTAACAGGATCTTCGAACGCATCAAGCCAGTAAAAGCGCAACACTGATTCTCCTTCTAGATTTGTACGCATGAAAGAACCAAATGCAGCCCCAACACTATCTTTTATAGGTTGTTCATCCTGTGTCATTTTCCTAAACTTGATAAAAAAAAATAACTTAAACCAAAAAGATTTGAAAATCAAAATTCAGGATGTTTAATTCAGGATGCACCATTACTTGAAGTTTCTTCTATCGTAAGCAAAGTAAAAAAAGTAATAATACCTATCGGCCCATATGAAGGATGTTTCTGGCTGCACTACTTCTCCCACGACACATTTGTTGATAACAGAATGCACATCCACAAAACTATCAGCACGTAAAGACTCGTGTGTAGATTTCTGCGTATCCAGAAAAAGACTTTTCATTCCATTTTTTCAAGTGTCATTTCTCCATTTCATATTTAATAATGAAGAACAATGAAAAATTTCTGTCTTATATCATAATTTGGCTTTCCATTCATTTAATAATAAAACATTAAGGTGGCTTCCGGAACCAATGACTATCGGAAAACTACTACTACAGCACCCAAAGATCCTGAGAATTCTTATTCAACTGATTCCCTTTCATTCAGATATCTATCATTTCTTAGCACTATCCTCTATCATACAATCACAAATCCTTTGTTGGATACCTTATTAACGCTTTCTTGAGATTTAGATTCCAAATTCGTTGAATTTGCTGCATCAATTATCACCGGCGAAGACTGTGGTGCAGTTACATTCAAACATTCTCTACATTCGCTGACCTCTTCAACTTCCATCAGCTTTGATTCCGTTTCTGAATCCTTAAGATGCTGGTTTCTGCAAAACCATTTTTCTAATTCCTCAGAAATTTTAAACTAAATAAAAGCCAGTTAAAAGATATATTGAGTAGCAAAAGTTGAAAGTAGTATATCAAATCAGAATATCTATTATTCTACTTGCTTGAATTAGTGTTAAATTTCAAAGAATGAGAAAACCAGGATTATCTGAATAAAAAACAATTATTTGCGATTTCAAAAAAATTAAAATATATAAAGATCTCAAGATCTTTAATACAAAACAATGACAAATCGTATAATCCCTGATACTTGCAGATACAAACCTAATCAACGATACATGGTCGGTTTTCGAACCACCCATTTTTTTAGCTACATTTTGTTTCAAAATACTCGATAAATCACATTCATTAAGTAATGCTTCTACATCCGGGTCATCGGCCACAGTCACTGCATTCTACAATATTTGGAAATTATTTGCATCTAAATTTAAGTTACCAAGTTTCCTTAATTTGTTTCACATCTTTGGGAAAGTGAAATGCAGCAAGTTTAGCACTCTGCTAATAAAAAGAAAATCTTTCTCTTTTTCTCTCGCAAAACTATCTTTCTAGTTTATTCATAATAAAGTAAAAAATAGAAATTCACCTCTTCTTTCACCTTTTTTGTGTTTGAAGCATGAAAAAAATCGTCAATCATCTTCCGTTTTGCTTTATCTGAATCAAAAATCGATGGTAAATTTGATGCTTTATTATGATTGCATAAAAATAATGGATTTAGCAACCTTTACTTAATTTAGATTACTCTGAAGTTACCGTAACTATCTGCAATTACCTTGAAGTTACTGTAACTGTTGGCATTTTTCCGAAAAATTAGGATATTTACTGGATTTATTACCTTTTTTCTTCTTCGGTTTTCTTGTTTTACTTGTTGTAATGTGTTGTTCTTCATCTGCGAAATCGATACCATGATCAACATAGCCACTACCATCTGGAAAGAGAATTACCTAAGAAATTCTTAAATTTCCTACACTTTTTAGCTAAAGAATATCAAATCTCTTTCAATCTCATGATAATTATTATGTATAAAAAACAACTGAGCATAATTCAAATCACTAGAATCTTTTCTGGATTCTGATTTTATAACATCAAAACTAAAATCAAGCAAAGCTTCATTCAAACGAGGACCATCATCAACTACAAAATCATCTCTCTGACGTTCTTGCACAATTTTCATATATTCCTCTTCATCTACTTCTTCGTACACAGGTTTTATCAAATTCGCTACCTAAAACAAGCAAGAAATGAAAAATATTTTTGCCTTCCTCGAACTCTAGTTAGAAGTATGGAATGCATTAAAAATTGCAATTCGATGAAAGTTTAAAAGCAAAAGCATACATCTACTCGATGCACGCTACCGGTATCGCGTGCTCTCTTCATTTCCTCCAGTGCCCGATTTTTTGACTCCTGTTTATGTGATACAAGTGACCTCCGACTGCTACGTCTTTCATCATTCGCAATCACAGTGTACGGATTCCGTACAACTAGTTCTTCATCGGAGGATGACGACATGCCTGCCTAGTGATCACTTAAAAATATCTCAAGCATTTAGTACTCTCAAGACAGAGAATCGTTTCATGAAAATACACAATCTTTCGCGAAATATAAACGAAAGAGAAGCATTCAACCTGCACACCAATCCTTCTCGCTTGATAGAAAATATTATTCCACTTTATACGTAGCAGAAATGAAACATACTGAATGTAAATAGCATTTGAGGATTTAATACGGCATCACAATTAAGCAAAGATTAAAAACGGCCAAAGCAACCATAATAAGGAACGGCCGCACAATCCTCAGCTATTAATAAAATTCAAATGAGAACTCTTCCCACACCAACTGCGCAATCAACCACTATGAAAACCAGCGATCTCTTTAACAAATCTATGAGGAAAGTTACCGAAATTAGGTAGTTGACGATTGGAGTGGTGGAAGCTTTACGGATGTTTGGTGACATACTGGAGAGAATAGAGCGGATGGATCGAGGGGGAGTTATAAGTTCTAGGAAAAATTAATGGCCTGAACCATATTCATGCGGCGGTTAGTCTTATGCGGGACCGATTGCCTGCAAGGCTTCACAGTATCACGGCCTTTAATTAAATCTTAACAACTGAAATCCTGCAGCCCAACAACATTGACAAATCGTTAGTGGAATTTGATATTTATTCGGTGCAGTTCCACCTTCGATTTGATTTGTATGTACAAGTAACAGAATGGTGTAACTTGAAGTGGTCCTCACCTTCATATTTTAATTTTATAATATCCCTATTGGTAAATCCTACCCAACTAAATCCTTAGCAAAACGATTGCCAGTGAATCTCATACAGTTTCAAAAACGAAAAATTTATGATTTATTTCAAAGAACTTAGGAAAGTGTAGGTGTTTACACGAAACATATATAAATCATCGATTTACTTGAAAGCGACGGTTATCATTCTCCCTACACTTATAGCCCCTCCTGCTAAGTTTTTTTGGTCAAAGGACTTCACCAAAGTATCTTTATAGAATGACTCTCACATCCTAAAAACTTAAACGCTAAATGGAACCAAAAATAAATGAAAATTGAGAAACTTGAAATATTAAACTTATATGAACACTACCAACACCTTTTATTCGATAACCATCACATTACCCGATAAAAATTATACACTTTTCAAGGAGGGAATGGTTAGAAGATATCAAGACATTTCGAATAAGTTCCATATACGATGTCTAAACTAAAGCAAAAGTGATGATCACACATGTACAAAAATGAATCAAAGCCCGTATTTAGGAGAATTTACTGATTAAGTAAACGTGTTGTTAGCTGCGTTGTACGGAAAGACTTTGGACTTCCCACATTTTATGGTGAATTTTCGTTTTCAATAATTCCTATTTAAAATGTCGAATCCGTACACAATTATTAATTGTTAATCAGCTGAGCAAGATGAATCGAAAGAACAGACCAGCGTCAGCAGCAGCAAAGAATTTTTCTATTCAAGAATAACATTGCCAGCATCGATATCTAAAAACAATGAAGCTAGCTATTTAGTTTCAACCAAAAAACCGTAATGTTATTCATTTCACATTAACCCGTTCTGTTGTACCACAGAGACTACAAATATAGTGTCTTAATATAATACATAGGCTGTCTGAAAGAAGTTAGCAACGTCAAAACATTCCAGTCACATTTAGCCTGCGTGGCCTGTATTTTTTTTATGCATAAGATTCTTTTAGTATGTCGAAACTTTGGTCACACTCTCCGGTGCTGTAGCACAACGTGGAAGTTCTTACAGATAAACAAGATATTCATGCTGCATGCTATAAAAAATTGCTAACCCTTACCATGTGCTTTCATTAATTCCTCATAACTTCCACATTGTGAAAGTTCGGAATCGAAATAACCAACAAACTTGGAACAGTTCTCCATAATTTTGATTATATTTTCACGCATGTATTGAGTGCGATCATCAGTTCTGCACTGAAACATGAATGAAATGTTGCTACCGAAAAAGTATTCTATTTTTTTATGATCGAAATTTTGAAATCAATCAAAACTTGTCCCATCATAGACCGAAAGTTGCAACACCTTTAGAGTTTACAACGCAATTTTATAGACAGTGTTTTCGGTTCTCTCAAACTTCACTCTCCAAATTTGGTGTAAAAATTACCTGAAGAATTTTATTTTGATAATGATCAACGACTGTCCAGACAAACAATTCATGCTTCGCATCCTTCCAAGATCGCTTGGACTGTTGCAAACTTTTTAACAAATCCAATCTTTTTTCATTCCACTGTTCCGCAGTATCCATCACCAAGCTGATGCTGGTCTGATGAATAAATGAATGAGCTTCTCCAGGTTCAGAGGATGGTGATACTTTCTTCAAATATTTTGCTAAAAGAATCAAAACAGCCATGTACTGCATGTTTGATTCACGACCACCACCATGAGAAAGAGCAGAAAATGAACGGAATTTCACAAAACGATCCAGCAATTCTGCTATATCTAGCGTGAGGGTGTCCAAATTTACTGTATCGCAATCAACAGCTACTTCTAGATCAGTTGATAACCTGAAAATGAGTTAACTAATTAGTTAATATACTAAAATGAGTTAATTAATTACGAAAAGGTTTTGCAAATGCAAATAAAAAATCCAGCAGTGGATGTTCGATGTCTATAGTCGCGAAGCAACTCTACTTCAAAGATTTTAAAAAATTATTTGCGAATGTTCTAAAGTAAAGTCTACAATCCCCAAATTCTAGAAATTCGGATTGTCCGACAACAGGTCAACTTCGACACTGCCAGCTTTTATTACTCACACTTAAAACGTAATCAAAAAGGATAGATTCTGTCCGAATAGTACAATTCCTCGTAGTGGATCGTTTAATATCTATAAATTTCAAATACAGTAAATAATATTCTTTCAAAAATACCTTTGGAAAGAATGCTCCATATCTGAATCTTTCACTCGCTTCGACCAAATCGGCATGATAACATTACATTTCGTATTGGCATTATGGAGTGCTGCACTTGCCCATTCGCTTCGTGAACCAGCCATTCTGTTGGAAAAAATATTTTCAAAGAGAAAAAAAAAGAGTACCTACAAAATTGAAGAAGTATAGAAATACCTGACAGCTATGGAATGACAATCCAGATGAACTAAATTCATTTGTGATACTGTTGTAAACGAATAATTCCGACCGTTAATTACTTTGTTCTCTTTCAGATTTAGTCGACTTGCAAACGCATACACCTAAAAAGAAAAATAAAGATGTAGTTGATAAAGAGAAGGACATGGATAAAAATTAAAAGTAGAAAGGGAAAAATAAGAAGAAAATAATGAAAGAAAAATGATTAAATTTGGAAAAATTCAGAACAATAACTAACAAACAATTAAAAATTTGGAACTACTGGAGCTAAATCTGCCTTATACGGTAAATCGCCTTTATTCAAATTACGCCCGCATTCTAGGCAGTAGATGAATCTTATTGTTCCCAGCAAATTCCAAATTCTATCGGTAAATAAGCTAATTACTAAGAGATTCGCAAGGTAGTTTTAATGTCTTTCAGAACGACGTTATTTCAGATACTTGGTAAGCAAGCAAATATTGAACAAAGATGGCAGAAGTTTCTTGCCTCTCATTTACTCGCAAGCATAATTCAATTCTCTCATTGAAATATAGCTTATATAATTCAAAGGCAAATTAAAATATTTCCGTATAAAACCATTAATGGAAAATGTTTTGGTTTGGGCAACAAAACACTGTCCAGACCAAAGCAAACTGACCATCATGATCTTTGCGCTAGCGTCCATTGCCTCCCGGCATATGCAACAAATACTAATGTCTGATACACTCTCCAGTGAATGCGATTCATTGACCAGCTTACGAGCTGATAACTGAAAAAAAATATTATCCCTCAAATACGAAATAACAAATCTCATTAAAATAAAAAGCTCCGGATCTTGCAAATTAATTAACTTTTTTCAACTCTAATTTGCAGGAATGGTTATCCAGTCCTACGCTCCACGAAGAATTTTTTTATTCATAAATTGAAGAATTTCTTAACTACCAAAATCCGAATGTGCCGATAATACTAAAAAACTCGAGCCTATAAAAGAAGAATAGAACGCAATTGTTAACTTCCATTAAAAAAAAATACAAAATGACTTACCTTCACTTGTCCTTTTTTGCCGATTTCCATACCCATTTTCGAAAGTTGTTTTTGTCTCATAGCCATTGCCAGGTGATGTTTCTTTATTTTTGTTTCTTGACGGACTTTCTCAATCTTCAATCATAACTGCTGTGATAACTGTGATCTTCAACTTCAAAACATATAAGACAATGATTCTTAATATTTCAAAACTTCAACTTCTCAAATTTCAAATCTGATAAGTCACCTGTACGGCAACTTGATCATTCTTCTTTAACTCCTCCATCACATTTTCAGCCAATGTTCCAATGTGTTCAGCTGATGAAATTTGTTCCAGACGATGCAATATAGGCAAGGAATTCTCAGCAATTGCTTCCTGCAAAATGACACCATGGTCGTACAGACTTAATTATGCAGATGAAGTCAAGTCCAATATTATATTCATAACAGCCTTATTCCGGGAAAAATGTACTAAAACAACAAAGCTCTTGAACCAAATAACTGAGCTAAGATTTATACTTACTGCACAAAGATGGAAACCACATAAATTCCTTAATTTTCTGTCCTCTGACTCCAATTTGTTAAATCCGTTATTCACTACTATGAACAAGAAAGTTGTCAAAATATAACGCATCAAAGCAGGGATAATAATGAATAAAGTTGACTGCTACTAATAGAATAGTTCACTCGAGAAAAATCGTAGCAACATGGTAAAAAGTTATACGTCAAGGTAGCAAACGAACAACATAGAAACATCTGTTTGTACAACAAACCTCACTTATGACAATTAAGTTCTAATAATAACAAAAAGAGCAATACCTGCGAAGGTTTATGATCCCTTGCCATACCAGCCATTAGTTTCAGAACATACTTTAGTGAAGGCTTTGATAAAAAATATTTCCATTCAGGTCCTGTTACAGATACATTGAATATAGGTGGATGATTCTCTGCTAGATATCTGCATGCATCCGCAATCAATCCAGCATCCATCATTTTCTTCTTAAGAATACGTCCAGATGCACTATCATGAATGGCGCTCGTTATTTTGCACAAAGTTTCCACTTTCTGTACTACTTGATCTCGGATTATTCGATCGTTATCTATATCGGTGACTATTAGAAAAACATTTTTTTGATAATTTCATCAATTTTTTGAACTAAGAACAACCAAATTAATAGAATTGATGTTGATGATCGGCATTTTGCATTTTCAATGAGTCATTTGAGAGAAAACTCTATATAATGTAGTACATAGATATAATGTAGCAAATCAGTGACAGGAAATCACGTTCTATCATTTTCTATTTGTTATATCTGACCAGCATCAATTCATCCATTTTGTGAAACTTACATATTACGATAATAAATTAATGCAAAACAAACCAATGTCATCCCAGTGACAACATGGCCTAAATGTTTCGATCAAAGCATCCATACTTTCGGCATTACCGAGGCAAAGGTTCGGTGCAATGGATGTCACTGCTTCGAGTAATGATGCCGAAAGTTCCTCATCACTGCCCATTGAAAGTTCTAATAACCATGACATTTGCTTGAAACTCGCACCAATAGACTGCAATGTTTTTAATATAAATATGGCTATAAAGAGAAGCAATAAAAAACACACCTTTTCGATCCGATCAGTGGCGAGAACATCAATCAAGAGAATCCTACTAAGTTCCAGATACTGCAAAGCTATGGCTTCAATCGATTTTTCTTTAATACCGCTTCTGTAAGCCACTTCGAAAACATGCAAAAACCTTCGGATACCGCCACACTCATTCAGCTGCTCACGATTTCCCTCGACCTAAAAAAATTTTTCTGAATAATTATTTTTCTGGTTAATTTATGTGTATCTAGCTTCGCAAAAATATATACCTTTATGCAGTAAGTAAGCAAACGATGCAGCTCTCGTAACAATATTATGCCTCCTCCAGTTAATTCGATGTTGTCCAGTATTGGCAAAATAATTGAAAAGGCACGTATCGGAGAACCTAACGCACTAGCCAGTCGAAGCTGACTATCGTCTACTTTTTCCTTGACTAAAATTACTTTTCAGTAAACTAAAATAAATGAGTTTTTTCTATTCTCGGAAAAAATTATCAACAAGCTCTAGGATCATTCCCTGGAAGTTGCAATATGTTTTTATATGAATAGATGTTACAGATCTGCCACTGGCTCGCAAAAAATACCAATGAGATCTAGATTTTTCTTTTTTCCTCATTTCTAATGAGGAAAAAGTAACCAATAATAAGCCTTGTTCGCAGAGATCATTAGAAAATAAAAATTAATAGTTTAAATTGTTGAAAATACCATTGGTGCCGGTTAAGGTTTTTATAAAGGGTTCTGTTGCATCACCAAGAAGACCTCGCATTCTATACACGATAACCATTGGCTGACCAGGATGATCAGAACGCCACAGCTTCTCATAAACATCATTAACCGGTAAGTCCAGGGCAATAATTTGCTGATTTAAGAGAAGCTAGAAAATGAAGAAAAAAGTATATTAGCACAGTTCAAAAAGGACTGAAACAAATTATAAAAAATTGCGTCTGCAATTCTACCACAGAGCCTAACACTAATTTTTTTCTCCGCTCTTCCCTTTCATCCCAACTTATTATTGTTACCTTAGTGTCAACGTATGTTAAATAAAACACGACAAAAAGGATTTCGAATAATGAAGCAGACTAAGAGAGTAAGATACAGCTAATATAAACCCTATTTAATACAAAGCAAAAAAAAATCTGATGTTAGAAACTTACCTCCATTCCAGTGTCGTCATCCAGCAATGCGACCAGTTCACAGTCTCGGCAAATTTTATTCTTGATATCTCTCATAAGAGGACCCATGCCAGCATCACTGCTCTTATACGGATTACCTAACATTCTGCCCTGTAAGTAATCTTCTTGGAGCGCATCCTTCTCGATTTGTATGAGAAAATCTTCTTCCTTCTTCAGCAATGGATAAATAGTATCGCTCATAATTGATAAAAGATAAGCTTGTATGCGAAGCTCTTGAGGGTGAACTGCAATGCGTCGTGTGGCCTCCTTCAACACCAAGATTGGCCGTTTCAGTGCAATGCGCATCAGCAGCATACTAAGATCTTTGACAGATTCGTTCACATAGCTAGAAATATACTATTATCATTTGTAATATTTACCACTGTGCGACGTTCTCCAGATACTATATTCCTAATGTAAGTATTACAACACGACAGTATAAACTTACAAGGTACGATGAATGGTAACTTGTTTGAGTGCGCAAGCAGCTCGAAGCAGAAGTGAAAGTACAATAGGACTAGATTCATATAGCAAATTCCAACTTTGCTTATCCATTTGCATCACACAGTTCAATACCTCTGAAGGAATATATCAGCTAGGGAACATCGTAAAACTACCGGGTGTTTAAACGTTTGAAACTTGTTTTTATAAGCTTGTTTCATTGCTACAATAAACTAGGCAGTTCATAACCGTTCATTCAGTGCAACGGATAGAGTCAACAATAAAACATCGGTCACGTATAATTCTTTTACATCATTTGCTCCAAAGTGGTTTAAACGTTTAAAACTGTCTCTATGAGCCTATTTATGAATCTATTTATGAATCTATGAGCCTATTAATGAACACTACTTACCTCAGTATTTATTTACTTTAATGAAAAATAAACACACAGATTTTCTAAAAAGTTAATATATTTCTTAGCATTGCAATCAAGTAAGAATGAACATACGAATAAGATGATGCAGCAGAATTCCAGCTGAAAGATCTCCTGATGGACCGCTCACTTCACTTAAACGTATATCCAAACTTGCCTGTAAACAATTACATAGAACAAAAGAGTGAAAAATACTGCACAAAATCAAATAAGAATAGAATCCCTATACAACTTGTAAAATATATTGATATAAGTTTTGCATTTCTGATACAAGTAGTAACTTCCTTGCAGCGAACAGAAGGAAAAAACACGACATACCAGCAAAATTCGCTTCACGACATCAACATGGAATTCAATTGGTTTCGACACTAGAACAGTGTGAATTTCACTTGTTGTTAGTAGCGTTCGCACCAAACAAAAATATTCGTCAATATTATCAGCGGAGACGGTTCGAATTTTCCTCATCCATAATAATATCCTGAATAAATTTTCGATTGAAACAAAAGCAAATAATTACCATTGAAGGTAACTGACTGAGGCATAAACATCTCAATCTCACAAATTATTTCGAATTACAGATCTCAATAACATCAAATTCCATGAGCTGGTGTTAGTTAAATTCAGTGATATTGCTATAGAGTGCACATTTAAATTTGAATTAAATCTTTAAAAATCTGATAATTCCAGAGTCATACGTAGGAAAAATCAGCATTTGCACTATCTCAAATTTTCATCTCTCCAAATTATGGCTTCTCGGCTAAATACGGTCCCTATAAATATTCCAAAACATGGAAAAAAATAAAAACTTTCCAATAACATAAAACATGGACTGAAATGAGGCGAAATCTGCATTGGTGAACAACAACTTAATGTATATCATTTTTCACTGAATCGAGATGTAATAAAAGTATGATGGTCAAAAAAATCTCACGATAAACTAATAATTAGCGAAAAGGAAGCTTACTTTTGCAATACCAGAGCTATATCAACAGGAGATCCGATCTGTGCCTCACCATCTTTGCTGATTTCAAAGCACAGCATCACAAGCAAACGGCAGGTTGCAGTACGAATTGCTGCTACTGATGAAAACATGCAACGAGTAAGCCATTGGTATAGTGACTGCAAAATTTGAAACAGTACTATATATGTTCAATTATTTCGAACAAATTAGGTACATATACAGAAATATTTCATTAATGTTCAACGAGAAAAGTAATCATTTCGAATCATATTTGCAACACGGAGAACGACAAAGTTTGCTTAACACACTTCATATATGTGGATATGTGTCATATGTCATATGTGTTCATATGTGTGAATGATTTTCTCCGGAGATCTAAAAATCTTAGGAAAGGCACTTCCAAAGGATGTGTTGAATCCATTCTCAAGTTGGTGAATTCTAGAAATGTGAGGTAAAAGACTACTTTCCCACGCGAAGCCAAAAAAGCTTTTCTAGGAAAAAAGTAGTTAGAATAACTGAACGTCACACTAAAAAAAAGCAATAAAAATTGCACAAACTAACAAATTTCCGTTTTGGATCACTTTCAGTGCAGTGTTTTAAGTAGTGAAGGATGCTGCGTTCTCTTTCTGGCCCGTCGTTCTGCAGCAGTCTTGTATATTCCGTCCAAATAAATCTAGAAATTTCACCATTTTTATCTCAAAGCTTTGAGGGGATAAATGATTTTAGAAAAAAGAGAAGTCTGAAAATAATCTAGAAAATTATTTTTATTTTAGGAAACACCAAAAATAAAAAGATCAATCTCTGCTCTTGCCTTTCTTGCAGCCACGCATTCGTTGGAAATCGTTCAGAAGGTATCAGTATTTTATCGAAGTCAGGTTCTTCTTCGTCTAATATTTTCATATCTTCCATGATTTTATGCAAAATAGTGTCATCCAGAATAAGATTCTATAAAGCACAACTTATATAATATTGCTCTTTTCAACTAAACTTTCGTCATTTACGAAAAAAAAGCTACTCTTAGCACAACTCACTCAGCATGCTGTCATTATGGAAATCTACATATTTAATTCATAAAATCTCTATCGCAATTACTTTTCACACGATAAGAAATTCCCTGTGAAAAAATCTAATGAATGGCATTCAAGTAATTTTTTCGATTTTAAACAGTCCATACTTTAGCAAAACAAAAAAATACACAAACCAGTTCTACTTCCTCCCGTTCAATTTCTTTACCATTATCTTCCGGACCAATGCTTTGCGAGGCACCCAAAATTATCTTTGACTGTTGTTTTTCATGTGCAGGTAAAAGATAACCTGGTGGAAGACAGTTTTTCACACAGTAAAATGAACGGTACATGATATTATAAAATAAGCTCTGCATTACATGAACAAATTTGTTCACATATTAAAAAATATTACCAGTAAGAGTGTCATCATTTCTCACTTTATCCGTGCTGAAGTCGAGTGAATTAAATACAGAAGTATTTTTTAAATTTGTTGAATATGGTGAGCAAATTTTCAAAAACACAGCCAATGCATGTAAATCTATCTCAGTGTTGCCATTTCCCACCACAGCCATGCGCATCAAGCAACGGAATTTCTGTTCCCAAAATCTAAAGCATATCCCGGTATAAAATCTGTGAGCAAAAGGAACGACAAATACATAAGTTACAAATTACAAGCAAATATAATGAGGATGTACAAAGCAACGGCAAAAATCAAGCGAGAATGATAACCTTTTGCTCGATATATGTTCACTTTTTAATTAAGTCCTCATATGAGCTGTTTGCTCATACACTAGAACAAATGTTCGAGTCTCGAAATTATCACTGAATAGTGGAATAAGTTCCATTCAATTCTCTATTATACTATATGAAAATAAGTACCGGAATTTGTTTTCAAATATCGACTTTGTTAGCAAGTAACATGGAAGAGCGCCATTCTCTACCAATTCACACATTTTCTGCGTCGCTTCCTTGCTCATTTCCGAGAGATTCCAAATAAGGCTATGGATGGAACGAGCTATTGGGTCACCAAGTGCGCACCCGCTCACCTAAAAAAATCAATAAAACTGGAAAACACACCCAGAAATTACACTCTGCTTCATGCTCCCCAAATTTTTACCAGTATTTTAAAACAAAGGATTATTTGTTTAAATTGATTGATTACTTTGACTCCCGCCTATATGGCGATTTGCCTTCAATTTTGAACTTTCATTTTTCATTGGTCTTATCTCCCCAATGATATTGATCAAGTAATCTTTCAGTATCAGGTACACCTTGACATAATAAGTAAATCACATACGTAATTTTATCTGACAAAAAATAACAAATAAAAGAAATTGATTGACAGCAACTACATTTTTTATTAATCCAACTAATCTTAGTAAAAACCTACCAATCTACTGAAAACAAAGTCTTCACGAATAATTTCCTCCATAGCGTTTGTATCACTACACGTTGCTTGTATTAAAGCAACACAGTGTACAACTAGTGCAGATACGCATCCAACGCAGTAATCACTGAAAATATTTGCAAAAAGAAATTTTTCCTAAAACAAATCGGACATAAATGATAATTAAAGTATGCGTTTTTCAGAATTTTAATTATAAGAACTGGTAAGTTAAGAATGTATCCAAAATAAGCCACATTCTGAAAATGCTCATGCAGATCTTAATAGAATCAAGACTAATTTTTTAAGTTGAAATAACACCACTATTCGAGATCACATTAAAAGGTAACCTAACTTTGGCCAGCTAAATTTCTAGAAAAAATGAGTTATGTGGTAAGATAGTAATTATAGAATCTAGCTTTAGTAGAGTTACAAAAATATTCATGGAGAAACCTACGATTTAGAATGAAAATTACTGGTGAAAGGTCTGTCCAGTAACGTTTCGTCACCGTTTTCAATGTCATAACGAAGAAGTTCTGCTCGAAATGCCGCTAACTGACGAGTTTGTTCGCATAATTTATTGCGCAATTTCTCCGCATTATGATATAGTGTTGAAAGAGTATAATCCTGCAAAAAGTGGAACGTCTTCCCGGAAATGTCAAAATACTCGCTAGGAACCTGAATTAAAAAAAAAAACGATCAGTTGAATAAAACTCGAGTGCCTTACGCAATGAGAGCCTCACCTCTTTCAAATTCAAACTCGATATGAAATTTGTAAATGATTGTAGAGTCATGTGCTTTACAATCATATTTGGTCGAATTGCCGGTTCTGAATCCCACGAGCATCTTTCCAAAAGGGCTCCAATGATTCCAATATGACAGCGTGTCGATTCGATGTCGTTTAGTAAAGTTTCCATAAGAGTATATGTCTGAAAACATTTTCTTCGGTTACTACTGTTAATTGTTAACTCTCAAATGCTTGAAGATAGCTCATATTTACCTGCCGAAGTTATTTATTAAAAAGTTAAAAAACCCTTCCAATGTGCTAATCAAAGAGCAGTAGATCACGTTTGAGTGGTGCTTTGACTATCCAAAAGCAGATATTTACTAGGCGTCCTAAGCCGAATATTGAGAACAATTAAATTATGAGTCAGGATGGTAAATAAGTGAGCATGTGATCCAGATAAAGAAATATGCTTCATACGCTTGTCCAGAAAAACTGAAGTTATTCAACAGGAATGACTCACTGCCTTTCGGTCATTGTCATCTTCAATTGCCTGTACTGAAGGCAACGATCGGCCAACGAGTACTGCTTCCAGGCGAGCGTATTTACAAAAACCGCAAGAATTACATAAAAATGGTTCCTGAATAAAAGAAAACACGTGAACAATGGTTTAAAGGAACAGTCAACAAAAACGCAGCACTTGCAACTCGAAGTCAGTCATGGCATGTTGACATTAGCTCCATGACGAAAACGTCCCTGTATGCCCTGAGCTATTCTACTACTTTCTTGCTTTTTAATTAAAATCAAAGAAGTTCAGAAAAAATATAGAAATTGAAAATTAATTAAATAAAAAAGAACCTTCTCATCGTAATTAATTGCTCGACACTTCAAACACTGAAAAACATTTTCCCCGCAGTTTGAACATATTCCCGGATTCGGTGCTACTGACGTAGAACATCGTGGGCAGTGCACGAATTCTGGTGTGTCTGCAGCTCCAGCTGTGTTCGTGTCATAAAATTCGGCCATTTCCAAGACAATATTACAAGTAACAATTGGAACTGGAAGTTGCACATCAATTTCAGTGTCTCCGTGATTTACCTGCAGACATTTTCGTGAAAGAAATGGGAAATTAGTACCTATTTTTATCGATATTATCTGAAGGCTTATGAATGAAACCATCAGTATTGAACAAAACAGAAAAAAGAAGCATTAGAAGCCCTGATATTTTGAAGGGAAAAAAATGGCAATGTTTTAAACTTACGAACGAGGAGATGAGTATGAATGGTTTCTCATAACTATGCATATTGCACCGTCCCTTCTAAAATTATCAAAGGTCTATGCTACAATTTGCTCTAAATGTATAAAAGAGATGAAAACAACCTTAACATCAGCTGCTTTCTCCCAAAGTTCAGATCGATTTTTGAGGTCAACAGCGGACTCAAGCATTTTATTGCAATAATAAAATTTGAAACGCTTCACCATCTTCGATCGTTTGATCTCACTCAAACGTATGATGATCCGTGATACCTATAATTTTGTTCTGTAGTTATTTATACTATTTCGTTCAAAATTATTTCTTCGCATCCTCCTTAAATCTAACTTAGATACTCTATAAACTACCAAGCTCTTTCTTTCGGGAAGTAATAAGCTATCCTGCAAAATAAACCATTCATACCTCGAAGTGACCCATTAACTTGATCATCTGCGCTGACGTAGTGAAACGAGAATCCAACTTAATTGCTGATAATTTCAACTGCTCCATTGGATTATCCAAATTCGAACATATCAGACATGGAGATTTACTCAATATAGAAATATCTGGTGATCCTGGAAGATCTCCTCATATTAACACCTTAAAAATGAAATAAAACAATCAAGGAAAGAGCTTAAAAACTTACCGATAAATTCGCACAGTTTTTCAAAAAGAACCGAACTTCGACTTTTTTCTAACGTACACAGCGCGTCTCTGATCGTTGCTACTGCTTCCTTATAAACCGTAAGCAGTTCATCCCTCAAAGACAGCTTATAAACGCTTCATGAAATCAAGAGAGATTGCACTCATTTTCCACATAACTTGTGATTCCATCGAAAAATGGAATTCAAATATTCGCTTCCGTGGACTGAGAACCTTCAGCTTCAAACTGATATTACAGTTGCAGGAGTTTTGCAGTAGAACTTGAGATGAATTTGTTAAAATCTTCAGTAAACTAACTTACCTACATCACCTACAATGGATAAAGATAATGAAGCTAACTTTGATAAGAATCGAGGTAGATAGCAAGATAGAAGATCTACTAGCTGCGCAGCCCGATTACCCATCTCTTGCGCATAAGGCCAAGTGTGTCTGTACAGGTGATTAATTAATCGCAGTTGATTGGGCCGTGATGCAAGCTGTAACGTAGCACGCAGAATCGCATGCAGTGTCCAACGTCTTTCTTCATTTTCGCCCAGTAGAAACCTGCAAATTTAAAAGTCTATAAACCCCATAAAATTATTCAAAACTTTTTTTTCTTCAGAATAAAACCACCATTTTTTTGTACTCAACATATAGTACTAGAATATTAACGGACAAAAAATGATCAGCAAACTGCTCCACATAACATTATATATTCAAGTGCCGCATGCCAAGGTTTTGTTTCGAAAAGTAAATTTTCTAGTATTAAATACGATTTGAAAAGCCAGTAAAATTATTCCTCACAAACGACTCAATCACATAATAGAATATATCTCTTTCAAAACATTGGCGTAATGGTGAAATCAAATGAAGCATAAAAAAATACCTTGCAATCAGCCTTTTGAACAATGTAAATGGCTTTTGCTTGCCTAAAAGCATGTTGACCAATGAACAACACAGCATTTCATCATCGGAATCTTCGGATGTTCGAATAGCCAGCAAAATGAGATTAAGAACAGCATCACATGCAACATCAGGCATCATACACGCTAATTCCATCAACCACGGTAACTAAAAAAGTTTTGCGATTTCAACTTCTTTCAAACCAAACTCAAGTTAAATAAGCAGATGACAGAGGCTCACTTCCTTTAAGCATATTCTCTGCCAAACAATGCAGCGCCTCTCAGAAATTACTGCGATTCCACCAATGCGGCCAACAATGTCACTTAATTCGAAGTATTCCAAAGTTGAACGGCCTTTCAAGCGCTTCTTCAAATTAGCGAGTAAATCATAAATGATGTGCTCATCACGGACTTGTCGGTATTTAACCTGGAAAAATTGCAGAATAAGTATGCACAATCCAGTTGAAGTAACACTTCTAAATAAATAAATTGATTTGACAGCAAATTATGCCATTATTTGCTATTATTATTATTATTACATTGAATTATGCCATTATAATGGCATAATTCAATGTAATAAGCATACTTCAGCAAATTAAAGTATGAACTTCACTTTACCTTCACTTGAGCAACAGTAATTATTAGGACAGCAACATTAAAAAACAAATTGAAGTGTACCAGGAAATAAATTCAGAAATGGAAGAATAATTTAAGGTTCAAACAAATCAACTACCGTATCGGAACCACATATTAACAAAAGGAGCTTCCGAGCAGGTCTGCGCATTATTGATGGTTCCTGCGTAATGTAATCACATAAAAGGTTCTCCCATTTGTTGTTCAACGGCAATTCATCGCCCAAAATTTTTTTGAGCTGAAAATGAATTAGTTAGAAGTAAATCATTTTCTCATGCTATTTAATCAACTCGGATAATCGAATGTGTGTTTAACTTTCGGATAGATTGCACCAAAACATTTCAATTCATTTTGTGTATTTAATTTTATGTGTCATAAAAAAATTCTTCCATTTTTTCCACACTAAGCTGTAAAGAGATGATAGAATGAAACAATTTCACCGACGCTGATAATTTCCGCAGTGTGCCTTTTAATGCTTGACGAATCTCAAGAATCTATTAACATCATGGAAAAGACCTACCATTCATAAGTTTCATTTTACCTGGTTACTTTAAAGGTTTAAGTTTTTAATCAGTATGGCCGCAATATCATTACCAAGAACATGATTAAATAGAAAAATGTCGCTGATCTATGACAGTAGTTAGAGACTATAAAATCTAATTGAAAGCAAAGTTTCATTTTGTCTTAAGATTAAATCTGTCGTTAAACGTATCCGAAATAACACCACTCTGGATTTAAATGCGCATCGCATACCTTCGAAGAGATATAAAACTTAAGAATTTACCTGATAAGGCAATCGAAGTGCCATTTCGACAAGCAGTGTTGTGTATATCGAAAAGACATTTCCTGGATTGACATTCAAAACACGAGCATTGAATAATGGTGAAAGATCAGGCTGTAACTCTGGTGGGACAGAAGAAAGTTTCTGGACACCTTGTTCGGGAGATTGCATTTGTTTGATCCACTCCGTTTTTAAAGATTGCAGAATGACATAACAATAATTCACGGCTCCCATAGACACCTGAATCATTTGAAATTAAATCTATAGAAATGAAAGAACGATATTTTAGAAGTTTTACAACCAACGCCGTTCGTAACGCCGTAACCGTTCGTAATTTTAACGTTGAGTAACAATTTTTCCACCCATTTGCTCTGGTTCTCTCACGTGTGCACCAGCAACCTCTTTATGTATAACTCAAAAGGCTCAAAGAAGGATTTAATTACACGAGAAACCAACGTACGGCCAGCAATCAAATGAGTAAGAAAAAAATTTCTCCATAAACTACTTTTTTTTAAAAAAGCTTTATTCAACACTAACTAAAGTGTGCGCAATTTTCAGAGCCAAAGCAACTTGCGGCTCAGGAGTTGCAGACAGATTTTCGCGTTCCCTATTTTCCACTCGGGGAATAATGTTCATTGGCGAGATGTCAGTATCGTCCTGCTGCGGTGTTGCATCGCGACTAGATGATGATATATCACCTGCAAGTTCAGTACCTTCCATCTGTTCCACATCGGATTCCCCACCAGCTTCTGCATCGTCTCCATCATCAACACTTCCAGCCGGTGCAACTGCTGCTATGTCAGCAGCATCCAGTATTACATTAAGCTGAAAAATAGCGAAATTTTAAAATTCCTAAAATTTTAAAACTGCTTCGTTGACGGGAATAAATTTATTTAACAAAGCAAACATAAAATGAATTTCGAATTACTTCCAAGATCTTCGAAATCAAGAATTTCTCACCATTTCTAAATAAAAATGTTTTTCATTATCACCAAAATATATGTAAAACCTTCCAGTCCTTAGCAATCATTATTTCATTTCAGTATTTGATAATTCTAAGTAAAGCACTGCTTTCTTAACATGAAAGATCTTGCCACTCTATAAAAAACCAACTTCTTTTGGTATTGTAACTTGGTGAACCTCTTCATCAATCATCTTTCTGCTATCCCTGGATGGCCAATTATGTGACGTACATTGAACAAGGATAACATATATTAGACGTAAGATAATTTGATCACGTTCCGCCTTTAGCGTTCTCTCTGTCTGCACTTTGCTAAAGTCTAGTCCACTTATCAAATATTCAATCTGAAATCACTGATATATGCCGATACATTCCAAACTTTTCCATTAAAATTCTAAAATTTAGTAATTACTTACAAGATCAGTTAGTTGATCTGGAGCATGCTGACCCATCAAAAAAAGTATTGTCTGCGCTGGTGCCAAACAACGTACACCATTACAATTACAAATATCGAATTGGGAAACAAACGCTAACAATAACTGCCCGATCCAAGCTACTTCTGAAGAAACAAGAAAACAATTCTTTTCCTTGAACATAATTCCAACGTCTAAAATTTCTATTTATCGAAAATTCAAAAAACCTAGGGAAAATTTAGATTAGGCGGGACCGACGTACATCATGACATGACGTGTTTTCCAAAAAATGAAATTTTGTCTCTTAGCAATGTAATATATTTTCCTATTTATTTGGAAATAAAAAATGTCGCATGTTGTCAATGGTATACAGGATATTTCGTTAGAGAATTAAACAAACACAATAATCATCGAGCGACCACTCAATGAAGTTTCTCTTTTAGAAAACAAAAGTGCACATGAACAGAGCCACCCACCACATGGGAATTATAATGCCACTGCGCTATAACTAATCGAAAACTTTGGAGATTATGATCTATCATTTTAACTGCATAGCTTGGACAGGAAGACGAGAAAAAATTTTCTACTTTTCTACTTGACTAAACTTGAAAGTTGAATAAATAATCTAGTCTGGAAAACTGAGAGAAGCAAGAAAATTTACTTCTGCTGAAATTCTCTAAATCCGATGAAAACTTGAACTGAATAAGGATGCCTCTCTCCTTGTTTATTTGATTTTCAAGCTCATCAATAACCGCTGGCTTGAATCCTCCAGTAGTACCTTGGCTTACAACAGTCATCTGCAGTCCCTCAGTGGAAGTCGTGCTTTTATCCGCTAGAGTTGCAGGTGTAAGAGCACCAATAAACGAGAACAGATTGCTATGATTCTGTATATTTGCAATGCAATAGTTCGAAATTATTGACGACATCAAACATTTGCACCGATGGGCAATGACTATGTTCTAAAATCAAAAAATCTTTTGAAATATAAGAATCAATAAAATATAAAACCCGACTACTACTTTTAGACAACAGTAATTGCGAATCAACGAGTCCAGAAAGTTCAAATAATTTTCACGATTTATACTTTTGAAGCATTTCAAAAGAGTAAAAGCATTTTAAAAATTTTGAAACCAACATCCAAGAATAATATTTCCAAGATAAGCCGCATTATTTCTGTCGAATTTTCCACATTTGCAGCCAGATAAACGAAAGCAGATATCAAAAGCTGCTCCAGTACTGCATCCGCAGCAAAATTACTCGAAGAAATGAAGTCAACGCACATTTTCAAGAAAGGAAGTATATCACCGAAATCTAAATCATTTCTGCCTTTCTTATTTTTGTCGTTTTCTGATTAAATTCTTAGCTTTTTAATTTAATTTTTTTGCTGCATTTTTCAAATCCTTAATCTATGCTTAAATATTTCAGTACTTTTCATTTCATTATTTGTTAATCGATTCAATATTCCATTTAATACATGAATTTTGATTCTGTGGAAAAGTAAAGCTTTATTATTATATCTCTAAACATCATAGCCAGTATGTTATTCAGGAGATGTTTTAAAACAGTAATCATTTAGTTCACTTTCAGTTTTTTTAATATTAGTTATACCTACCAGTATTTAGTAATTTAATTCTCTTCAATAAGTTTTTTGAATTCCGAAAAATTACTTATAGTTTTCTTATCACGAAATTAGCTCCTTAAATGCCGAGATTAATTATTACAAAACTAAATTAAATTAAAAATTTAGGATACAAATTAGATTAAATTAAAATTCACATATCTTAATTCGCTCATTTCTTTCAATATTTTTCAACTCGGTGTTTAATTCAAAAATGACTTCTTCATGCGAATCTGCGTGTTTAATACCAGATAAAATAGGCAGTAAATAATAAATTAATAAAACAAATATCAGGACCACTTTTATATTATATTAAAACTGTTTTAAAATCTGTATTTGTGCTTTTGCAATGTTTACTTATTAATAAATAATGACAGTTAACTCTTTGTAGAAATATGTTGCTTATTTTAATGCTTAAAAAAATATTACTATTAGCATTGCTAGTGCGCATAAAAACATACAATATAAATTTAGCTGCACAGAAAAATGCTAATAGATCTTCCAATATGTTAACTCGTTTGCATTTATCCTGTTTCCTCTTTTATTGGCTAGATGTAAAAATAGTGTTTACCAAACCCCAAAATAAAGAGTAAAGAATGACAATTATTTTCGAGAAGAGTGGATTTCTTTAGAACCCTAAAGCTAAAATTAGTATCGAAGACAATTTTTGCATGAAAAATAAATTTAAGGAACAAAACTAACGCTTCTTAATTAATTGGTGAAAAGATGCCACACGATGCAAAGTCATCACTTTTAATTGAATAGCAAAGGCGTTGAAAAGGGATATTTGTAAGGTTCCAGCGTTTCGATGGTTTATCAGTGACGAAAATAAAGCTGCGTCCTGGAATTATTAAAAAGCAAAAAAAATTTGCTAATAAAATGATATTAACGCATAAAGATCAAAATTCTTATGTTCATGAAAAAATGATCTTTTTTTAATCCTATTGAACTCTGTTCAGATAGGAGTAAAATAAATGAAAAGCAATGAAACTGGTGAATATTTGATGCCCACTAGTTTCATTGCTTTTCATACATGCTAGGTACAGTGGTCACGAATTCATTGTAACACGATCAGCGACTTCAGACGCATATTTCTAAAAAAGAGCCAAAAAAACATTAGTAAGTCCAAAGTGTTTAAATAACCTTCTGTTCGAGAAATGACGAGGCTGTAGGTGACAAATGCCTCAACAAGATTAATGCTCGATGGCTCACTGTGACATGCTCAAAGTCCGGAGCTGTAAACTTTAGTGAAAGTGGTAGAAGCCAATCCATACGCTGAAAACAAAATATGAAGTTATGCAATAAAAATTGCATTGATATGACCTTGCACGTATGAAAAGTCGAACTAGGAAGATTTATGACCGCCTCTTCAAAATTAACGCAAAATGGATTCATTTAGGAAAGAAACCATTAGTTCAACGATACATTACATAACTCATATTATTTCATAAATGAATGAAATTGAAAGAAATGATAACCTTCCACTTAGTACAAGAATGCAACCTGCAGCATGTAGAGATAAATGAGGCAACCAGTTGCTCGGGGAGAGTAATAATTTGGTCAAAACGATAGGAAGCTGCGGGAAAACCAAAATCTTTTTTCGTTTTACCGAAAACCTAAAAATTCTGATAATTCGTCGCAAAAGATAAAAAGCTGAATTGAATTTGTTATATTGAAATGTCTTATGAATCAAAAAGGACTATTTTTTAAATTTAATGGGAAGAGATGAAAATGAATTTTACCTTAATTGACCAAATTTGTACAGGTATATTATTACAACTGAAATTCAGCGTCACTTCGTTGTTGCTGCAAATATATAATCAAACATAAGAAATTGCGAGTAAAATTCATAGCAATTAAGGACATTTAAATTTACAGACTGCGCAGTGCCAAAGCTATTGGGTGCAAAAAATGCCTTCAAACTCTCATCAACTTCTGATTTAATGCAACCGGTTTCTAGGAGCTTCGAGGAATCACGGTACTTATTCCTTATTGCGTAGGATTACAGAGATGTGAAAGTTATAATTATGAAAGAAAAACAAAAACAAATAAGGTTGAGATACTCCAAAAAATAAGTAGTAAACGAATTGCCTTTCAAAGTCGTTTAAAGTTTTCCGAAAATATTTTTCACCCTACTTTTACACTACCGGTGTTGTAGTTTCCTGATACAGTAAGATGCACAAACTAGATCATATGTTTAAACTATATTTAAACGTCTGGTATGATTAAAGAAAACATTAATAAGCAGTTAATGAAACAGAAAATTCAAAGCAATTTCGTTAGCACTTGTAGTTCCGATCTAATATGGCGAACAAATATTGTGAGCAAGACCACGAGCAAAACAGACATTAGAACTTGAAAAAAATTTACCAACTGATAGATTGTTTTCGAGTCAACCGTATATCGAACATTCGCGACGTCTTCGTTTGCAGGTTGATTTTCTTGCCAAAAACCGTAACACTTGTTGGACACTTTTCCGGTGTTACTTGGATGCGCAATGCACAGATGATGCAGTTCCAATCTAGATTTTTCACCACAATTTCAAATTCCTTTTGCTGAAACTCACGGAAAAATTAACGCAACAAAAATTGAGAAACTTTATGGCGCTACTCAGCCAAATTTTTTTCATTTAGATGTAAAGCATGTTCAAAACAGAATACATACTATCTGCTGATATATCGGACAGATATAAGCAATATTCACTTTGAGGACAAAAAACCAACTTTTCAAGCTTTTCTTGAATTCAAGATATACTTTTATCTGTTACTCACTTTGTAAGAATTGCACACAATGCAAGAAGGATGAAAGAAAGGATAGAACATACCTTCAGACAAACAGCGCTCATTCCGGAAGAGGTGATTCTTTTTGTTAGTTCAGCAGTGTCATAAACGTGCTCAAGTGCTTTACTGTAAAATTCCAATTTTTGGATTGGACGGCACTGTTCAAATACCGTGACCATATCTGGTTCTGGTATATCATCCTCCACAACAGTGTACGGTCTTACTTCTGTTTCCAACATTGAACGTTCCACGCCCTTCACCCAGAAATCAGGTTCCATTAGCCAACAGCTGAAATTTTTATTTTTCTGCTCAAGAGAAAAGCAAAATACAAATATCTGCTTACGAAAATAAAATCACCAAGTGTCACTACCACCATTTAGAAAACCAAAATGAGCGACTACTGTAAAGCAATCTGTCCTGAAACAATTTTACGGTTGTGAAACTATTTTTGACTTCTTAACAATTGGAGAAAAAATGATAAGTATCTAAACGTACTACAAAATGTTATTTTTCCCGAAGTTCTGGATGCTTTTTTGAGAACTTAAAATGCATGCCCAACAAAGTGTTATGCATCTGCATCATACTCCACTTAACAGCACTGCACTTCAAATCTTGACAATCTTGCAATACAAAAATAATGGTAACCTTCGAAAGATCTGCAAGCTTTGATTTGCCAGAACTTGTATGAGAAGTTGAGATACACAGTCCGAACCTAGCAACATGCATTGAGCTGCTGCGGGATCAGTTAGAGCTTTCGTCTGCGTATATATAGTATTACCATATGGGTAGAAGAAAACAGCGGAGGCACATGACGGATGAGAAAGAGCTGCAAAGACTCCAGCGCATTCACACCAATTCGTCAGTGGGAAGTTGAACGGAAGACCTTTGGCTTCTTCAAATTCTGTACCACTAAAGTGCAGTACATAAGTATTACCTGAAACAAAGTTTACTTAAGGAAAATATATTTAGCATAATAGATGCGACAGAAAAACGAATGCGTTACAGGGCAATTATTAATGATTGGCAGTATAAGACAATTCTAGCAGGTCACATAAAGATTTGAAGAGTTTCGTCATTTGAATATCAGAACTTACTTTCCATAGAAACGAATAAAAATCGAGTTTCTGACGAATAATGCATAGAGATGGCAGTGGATGTTGTTGGTAACTGAAGTGTTGTTGTCATAAAATAAGAAGCTCCATCAGCACGTCTAGCTTTTTCCAATTCTTCCACGTAAAGGTGTCCGGCAGACGATAAGACAATGATAATGACCAAACCATCGTTCCGCTTACCTGTGAAAGAGACATCATCAATAGCAATTCATAATTACTTTCAGATATCCGAATAATCCTTAAATGACAGATGAAAATATATATAATTGAATATAAAAATAAGCTAAGCTTCGTAGAATTTCTAGTCCGGCTATCTGAACCTCACATACCAAACGCCAGTTCGGTAACATCGCCCATTGGAAGGACGAATTCGAAAGTTGATGGAACATTCGTCAGATTCAAATCGTAAATTCGAATAAATTGTAGTGCCGCAACCGCTATCATATTGCTATTATCATTATCTACCCATCTTACCTTGAAAAAAAAAACTGATATGGTGAAACAATGGTAATTGATTATGGATGGAAGCAACTAAATTTGCAAGAATCAAATTTTAATTTTCTTGTTTTTACAAATTATTCTACTTATTAGACATCAATAGCAATGATCGACTAGTTTTTAAAGAGGACATATTGTGTACATTAAAACAATTGAACAAGAGATTATGTGCCTTCTTTGATTTTTTTACCTACTTCTAATTATGAAAAAAATAGTACCCCACAAAATACTCGTTAATTCTCTCTGCTTACAAAGTATGAAAAAATATTTTTGTGAATAATTTGATTACGGATGGAAGCCACTAAATTTGCATGTTATGAAATGAGAAACTCAATGAGGATCGTCAAAAACATACTTTTGGAACAGCATAAGATGGAAATGAGTTAGCAAATTCAACATTCTGCCTTTCAGATATATCACCATCCTTATTAATCCGTAGGATGAGACATTGATTCAAACCACATACAGCTAGTAAATCTTTCATACTTGCAAGTGCAACTATTTTGAACCCAACTGCATCCAATTCGACCCGCTACAAGCAAAATAATAAAAAATGACCAGAAACAATGGGGCTGAACACCTAGGAATTATGCATGCATGAATTTGGTAAAAGAATTCGTAGTACTAGCAATATAATCTTTTCGATTTATTTACTCATTAATTGGCGTAGGTTACTTCGGCCGGCATCAATCAGCAAAGTAGCTTTATAGTTTGCTTGATAAAAAGTTTGTTACTTTCGCAACTGCAATCATTGTCAATCTTATCATTGCAAATTTTATGCGCATGTAAATGTGAGAAGCTAGCAAAAATAGTTATAAACCTAAAAACTATCGAATTACAATAGAACTAACTGGTATATCACAGTCTTTCGTAGATGCACTCAGCAATGATCGGATGCCAAGCAAAACAATCTTGGAATTCTCTTGCACAGTAACCAGAAGAATCGTGCTACCAATTTCAAGAGACAATATCACATTATCTACATTTTTTCCCACTTCAATTCGTTTATCAAAAACGGCTTTAGAATATGAACTTAACGTCTCCTAAAACCAATGACTTAAAGAACTGAAAAAAATAAATAAATTTCTGCATTTTAAGAAAAGCACTTGCACACTCACTAATTGCCAAATAAATCCGGCGCAACTGGCAACATCTTAAATTCGGTAATTTAATAAACTAAGCAGATAAGCGCTTTGCGAAAAATGCACTGCTCCCCATGACTTTCATTAAGATTCCCAAATTTCTTTGCATTCTAAAAATGATACCTAACATCTCACCCATCCATACTCCAGCCGCTCTCTCAGAAGCAAATGAAATTTCGAAGTTCTAAAAAAATAATCCACACATACCATAATAACACGATCTGTTGATACTGTCAAGCCTTGCATCAGCTTTGCATCGGCTTCTCTCAGCCATGATTCACGGGCTTTAGTTGATCGCAAACGCATTCCTTCCTTCACCGCGATAATCAGTGATGTAATATTCTTCTGGTTAGCTGTCAATGCCTCCATAAATTGACACTAAAAATATATGCGAATAAACAGCTAAATTCATTCGATTTCAATAATGCAGGTAAAAATGAACTTTTATTGCTTAAGAGTAAATATTCATCGCCTTGTAGTATTTGACTAATATTATTGGCAGTTATCATCATTCAATTTCGATGAAAATACTTTTCCTTCGAATTTAAGTGCAATACTTATTAAAATTCAATACGTTGAAGAGAAAGTAACATACCAAATAATTTTCAATTTCTGCCTTATCTTCATCCATAACTGAAAGATTACTGAACACACTCAATCTGTGCTTTGACGATTTTGATCGACTGCTAGGCAACGTCGCATATTTTTGATTGTTGGCACGTTGCGGTTTAGGATATGATGTGGACTTCAACGCAACACAGCCCTTTTCTCCACAATCGCAAAAGAATGAACCAAATTTACTAAAGATTTAAAAGTTCGAGGAAGTTACTATTTTAAGATGAAAATTTCTTGAATGTCGCGAAACCAAAATGAAGATGTCCGGCTTTGTTCAAAGCTAAAGATAATGTGTCTCTTTAACTAGATTCTATCTTTTTACTATAATAAATCAGAATAATAGAAGCAATCTGCACTCTCCATGAAAAACAATTTTTTATTGAATTAAAAAAAGCAAGAAAATTATAGGTAATATATTTCTCCAAATATAATTTCAGATTATTTTCTTTAATGTTTTCAGATGCTGGGAATTTGAAAGGAACTCTAAGTGCTACCTGTATGATAGATCATGACCTCGATGACAATTAACCGCACACACCGAACAAACGCCTTCTCCTTCAACCATACCGCAAGTATAGCAATTGTACCAGTGCTGCTGGACAAACTGTTTCGCTGTAGACGCGAATGTACACAACGGTAAGGTACGACTCCGTGAATACGATGGCTTTTTCTAAATATCAAATATCGAAATCCTGTGCTTTACTAAACGTGTCGTTATTTGCGTTACTACTGCGATAATTTAATAATTTATACAACTGTAACATAGAACTAGATTAACTCTACATACAAAACTACATATATACGGTATCCGTAATTCTGGCATTGACCTAATTGAAGCTCCCTAATGTCTTACTAGTAGTGAAAATATTTATCTCCTTTCATCTGCTAGCTAACACTACTGTCACATCATAGTGCGTGACTATAGGTTGTCCAAAATTGTTTGTTCGATGGATGTTTATCCCATTGTAGTTTCAACATTATTGACAAGTTTAAATTCTTCCTATTCTCTATCTGTTTGGAGTCACAATGCAAAAATCTAGATGACGTATAATATTTCTACCTTAATAATGTGTTTCGGAATAAAGGCTGTGGAAAAGTCATCTGAATCGTCTCTGACAACACCTGGAGGACAAAGAGTCCGGCACAAACAATCGATATAATTCAATATGCTGCACAGAAAAATACACGCATACAAAACTGCTGTGACCTGTGAACCTGATACGCTAGATGAACCTTTCAAAAGCTGAAATATATAAAACTATATATAAAATCTGCTAAAAAAGCAGAACTTAAATCATTTGAATTGAATTATTTGAATAACTCACTGCAAAGTTCTGTCAGTGAAAGTTCAATCGCATATACATCGCATATGTCGTAGTGAACTTTTCCAATATATTGTAAAAAATAAGATAAAAAATATCAAATTTCCTAGGCAAAATTAAGTATTACCTCTAATCCGTCTTTTTGCAACATATCAATCAATTCCTGGAACAACTTTGTGCACCGATCAATCAAACGACAGTGTATTTTCGGACCACCAATATTTAACAGCGTTAGCAAACTTTTACTAAAGATATCCAACTCCTTCAATTGTTCACGCTTGCAATCCTCTGATCCACTGTCTTCTTTCTCATTCTGAGTGTTCTCGAAAAAACTGACTTATATCTACCGTTTTCTATTTTTCAATTTTCAAATAAAGGATATTACAAAAGGAAATAATGAATAAATACCATTTTTCTCCAGCATAGTGATGCATACGCCCATCGATCGCTTCGTTTCACTTCAATCAAAGAGCTTTCAGCTGTTCGTTGATGAACGTTTTCGACAAAAAGGACATCAATCATTTGCTCTAATAAAGTTCGAAAATCTGGATCTACGAAACTGGCCTTTCGATCTTTTTTAATTGCTAAATATTCAATCAAAGGTTGCAACATACAAAAAGTCTCAAGCGGGGTCACACTAACGCTGACCCATTGGACAAGTAAATTCTGGTGTTTCTCGAGTGGTGACAAAAATCGAGAGTTCAAATGCGCATCTAAAAAAGAATTATATAAGCAATAAAAAGAATGAACAGAATACAATAATCCTCACTTAGTTACTCAACGGAACGTTCGGATTTTCAAATCCTATGTCCGCTGAAAATAAATCTTTCAAATCGATTTCTCATACTCCTGACATAGGATATAAAACAAATAAGAAAATAATATCCCAATAATATCCATCTTCTTTTCAATACCTATCTAAAAATAACATACTTTTTAAACAACATATGGTCGAAAGCAAGTTGACAAATGGTACTGAACGTTTCATAAGTGAATCGTCCACCGCAAGTTGATCCAGAACAGATGAAAAGATATCTTCTGGCAGCGTATTCCACGGCAAATTGAGAGAGCTTTGTGACGAGACCAAATGTATCAGGATGGAACAAAAAACAGACTGACCATTTCTAAAAACGCCGACGTAAACTGAATAATAAATCTGAACTCTTTAGTCCGAAAAGCAGATCACAGAACTGCCGGAAAGTTTTCAAATTCTCAGCATTTTCAGAGATATTTTTCCAAATTACTAAAAATCCCCGTAAATCACATGGAGATTCATGCGAACCGATATCCAAATTTCAAAATTCGAAGAACAAAAAACATACAATAAATTTGTTTCTGATGCAGTCTGCTGAGCTAATACTCCATCCAATAAAGCAGAAACAATACAGGCTAGATGACGGCTCATTACCAAAACTGCATTCATTTTTGACAACACTGATTGATTTAGTTCACGCGTTGCTGTCCCCGTGAGATCCGAACTGTGGATAAAAATCATCCAGTCAAGAAGCAATCGCGTTTCATCCTGACGTCGCACATTGCTTCTAAAATATCTTCATTTTAACATTCATTTCATTCCCTTATAAAATCTCAATCTTCAATCTTCTAACTCTCAATTTCTTTAATTTTAATCTGCGATTTGAAAAAAAAAAATAACATAACAGTTGAATGAAGTACACAGAATTGTCTACTACTTCAATAATTTATATCAGCCCTAACATTTTACTTCTTTTTTGAACGTAGACTTCATCTTTTCCCACTTCATTCAAGTATTACGGTTGCCTACACAAATTCTACCATCTAAAACAGTATGTCAAATGGTGTAATCTATCTTATTCTTTTAAAACTAAAGAACAGTGCTGAAAAATTAAAAAAAAATAACCTTGATAACAACTGATTAAGAACAAATCGAGTTGTGTTATCGCAAAGTGAACAAAATGCAGCAAACATCTGCAAAAGCGAATTTCAAACGAAATCGAATATCTCAAGCTTTTGCCCAAAGCAATTTAAAAACTACTTTCAATTAATAAGTTTCAATGTAAGAGCGCGCAATTATTAATTGCAATTATCGACACACTTTGAATTCATTTAAGACATTTTTTATGCCCTTTCATGCACAGGATTCGTTTCTGTCTAAATTTAAGTGAAGATCAGCAAATTTTCAAATTCATTTATCAATTTATAGTCAAAAACTTTATTGACACAATGGAAAACGAAAAATCAAGGAGCAGCGTGATTCTCACCTGTTTCTTGATATCCTGTATTTGGGTGACAACAGAATACGGTGATTGAAATGTATCACTCATGGCATCCAGCATAGCTGGTGTGCAAGAAAATCTTAATTCAGGTAACATAAGTCCGGCCCATGCACGAACCAATTTTAACAAATCGTCATTCAAAATAGAATGAAGTTCACCACGTGCATGCGGCACTGCACTGTTCAATAGGTCACTTTTTGCGAGTGATAAGGACACTCCATACGCGCCCAAAGACAGCGTGACTTTACTGCGTTCGCAAATCACATTCCTGAAAAACAATGAACATAGTTGACGAACACATTGAAATCATCAGAACTGATTAATGACTCATGCAACTATATTTGGCCAAAACACATTAAACAACATATAGAAGAGCAAGATAAGGCAAAAAGTTTGCAAAGGTTGCAATGCCAGCTATTATACATTCCGTTAAAGCTCTCAAACTAGCTTCTACTGTTTGGAATTAATAGGCTAACTCCCAACACCAATACTGTTCTTCTCTGCTTGTTAGAGTACAACACTGAAAAAGTTCTCAAGCTATATTTTCTTGATCTCGGTATTGAATAATGGACTGAATCATAAATGTACCAAAATACTCACATTGCATTCTTATACATCCCAGAAACGAATTCAGTCACTCGAATAAGTTCCTCTGTTGAACAACGATATTTTCTCAGCTGATTGTAAAGTAGCAATAGAGAATCGTAATATATCAGCGGCAGATTCACGAGATCAATGAGAGACTGGAAAATAGGCACAAATTCCGTGAAAATTAAAGTCACATGTATCACAAATTATGATATCATTGATAGAAATCGACAAAATAAATCTGAAAAAATTTCAGTTGAAAACCTAAACCGAATTTGGTGCTGTAAAAGAAAAAGAAAAAAATTTAAAAGTTGACTTACGCAGTCATCCACAATCGGCAAACCAACAGCAACAAGCGTTTCGATTTTAAGAAGATGAGGAACGCTTATATTTGCGTCTTCGCCATTAAATTTCTAAGAAAAAAATAAAGTCGTTGGAAAGGCAATACAAAAACATGAACTGCACACTCCATAAAATACGTTTCCAAAAACAGGATTGTCATTTTTACGTGGTCCTATGCGGTTTGTCTGATATCCTACCAATCATAGAAAACAAAATTTTAATTTTCCAACTGTTTTATTACATGTTACATCATAGCGAGTTATGAAAAAAGCTCTTCAGATTTCAGGTGCAACTTTTCTCTGGAGGAGATATCAACAAACTGACTCATAAGGAATTTCTTTCAGTCACAGTAACACTTACATTCAAATAAGCTGCATAGATGCCATTCAGTAATAAAGGTCGAATTCGCACAAAATGACAGCGTTCAGCGGAAAGAATGGCAGTGTCGCTCACAATTTTTGAAAGAAACGAAATTGTGGGCTTAAAGAAAGACTTTGAAATTACAAAATGGAATTATAAAATGAAAATTATTAATGAAAATTAAAAAATGGAAAGAAGTTCACACATTCAAGGAAAGAAGCTCTCAAAAAAATATAATCAATCTCCAATTTTCAGTCATAGTGAGAAAACCAAAGCATTCTTTCACCGAACTCTGAATTAAAAGGACAATCAGCACACTTAGAGGAGTGAAGATAGCTCATTAGATGCGGTTTCATCCATATGAAGCAGCTGAAATGTCAAGTAAAAAATTAAGTGAAAATCCACAATCAAAATTTTTTTCTACAATCATACCGGCAAAATAATATCTGCAGGAAGGTATTCCTCATCCCATCGCATATCATATAACCAAGTGATATACAAATCGTGTAATTCATCCCAGTGATTGAAATTCAACATAGAACGAGTTAACAGAGTATCGCCCCATTTCGGTGTCCTGCTTAGATCTGCAAAAATCGCTTCATACCTCATAACAAGTTTAAATCGTTCATTCTTCAAAATTTTAGATTGTTGAAACGACATGAAAATATCATGTATTATGAAATATTTTAGATATCAAAAATGAAGCTAATATCTCATTTTAAACCATGGAATACAGCTAAGAAAATAAGCAACAATACTCACCGAAAGAATCGCAACAACATTTTCGAAACTTTTCCATGACTGCATCCCTTTTACCTCGTAATTGGCCTCCAACTAATAAGAGATGAACAGCTTCCAACGCATAACGCACCCTTTGCCGTTTCACACCACTGGAATATCAAGGAGTTGTTGCAAAACTTTAACATGCACAATGAATTACAATTATCAAAGACCCTAAATAATTTTATAAGTAATTTATATAATGAAAATATCGTTGTATTCGTAAAATCAATGTCACAGCAATCTTTCTGTCTCAAATATTCTCAGTTAAATGCGAAGATATGCTTTGTTTAATACTCCAATTCATTATTCTAAATAACATTTCAAATAATTAACATCAAATAACTCGCTTTGACTATAAGCTTTATCTATTTTGTGTTTAAGCAATTAACCATCAGTTTCATTGTCTATTATAAATGATACCAGGCACTCTGTTCAACAACAACAGTGGTATGTCCACAAACATTCAATAAAAATTTGCAATAAAGACTGTGCTAATAAGATTGCGATACTTAGTAAACAGAACAATATATTGTTGCTACAAAGCTGAATTCGTGTGAAACACTAATGCACTTTCCAAACACTTTTCAGTTCACAATTCTTTAATTTCAACTGGAAAAAAAAACGAGATTGAAACCTTTTTAGGGCATCATACAACATGTTCACTGCATAATCAGCTAATTTTTCCAGGTCTTTACTATCCAGCAGTTCGGAAATACATTCGAGAAGCCAGAAGGCGGAATGTTCCGGAGTACCACTCCTCGATTCTGCATATATTGAGCGCAGAACATAATGAACAATCTGTACTGCATTTTGACGTCCTAACACACAAACAGCAATAATTTTTAGGCAAAACGGATCCGAAGTGATAATTTCTGATTCATTACCCTTTGGAAAATATAGCATACTGTTTACCAGCTGCTCCTGAAGAAAACAAAAGCGTTAATTGGAAACACTTGAATCGAAAATTTATTAATAAATCCGATCTGATATGAAAAAAATATAACCTCTCTCTCGAAATACCGCTGTCATAAATGCTTACTTCATCATTTTCATCCAGATAACCCTTGTCTAGCGAATGTTCCAGAAGCAGTATTAATAAAACGTTGATATTTTCTGTCTCACAATAGCCATGGTCGCCACCTGATGCGGCACATAAGTCCCGAAAACAAGTGAAACTTGAATTTGTCCAGATGTTTGAAGTGTTTCCCATGAAGAATAACATCGACAGACTCCTTTCGCATAAGCTTAACAGCTGAAATTAAAAAAAGAAATTTGCACGAGTTCTTCATTCCACTGTTCTACTATTCTTCAATATTTCAATGAGTTCTTTTTTAATTTACCGTTGAAGAGGAGATGGTAAAAAGAGTAGCCTTTTGCAAATTGACTGCATCTTCTTGCTGATCCATCAAAACGGGTACAGCTCTCAGAATATTTTCCAACCAATCGCCAACACCTGCCACAGGATCATCTGTAATTTAATTACTGTTTTCAAAATTCCAATGCTAGATATGATTAAAAACTATTGAAAATGATGAGAAGAGTAAGCTATGAAGAGACTCATATTGTCACATAAATCAAATTCCCAGTAGAGAATCTTAAAACCTTACCAGGTGAGTCGGCTGAGGATGACTTTTTGACTGAGCTAGCATCACCTAACCTCAATGCATGTTGTAGTGCTTCTTTAGCAACACCCCAAAGTGCTTCATATAAAGTAAAAGATATAGATGTCAAAAATGATAATGCCGTCGGAAGCATGCTGAGGAAACGATTAGCGAAAACATATGCTACGTCCATTTTGCAGTTTCCCAACAACTGCAAATGAAAGAGTGAGTGATAAAACGAGTTAAAATTCTCTTTTCCTTACCAAAAACTCTTAATTTTGGTTCGTTAGGCAGAAAAAGTTACAGAAAAGACGCGCAAACAGATGAATTCACTTTTATTAAATCGAAAAAAGTCCATTTTAGGGACAACACTCAAAGCAAAACACCAGAATAAAGGAATATTCCTGTCTTCCGGAGATTAGAAACATAGGACCATTCAATAACAAACAGCTTAAGATCACTGACTTCTTAATTAATAAATTGGATCAAATGGAGAGAACTGACGAATATTTTCGTACCTCTTCGTTAGAACAAACATAGTAGTAAAATGAGTTACATATATATATACATATATAACCTGCTACAAACGCCAGAAGTTTTTGTGCCTGTTCGGTAAGGGAAACAGCAATTATTACTGCAAAGGATTTTTACTATTAAGATATCTTTCTAGTAAAAGTTTACCTCGTTAATGCAGAAGACAAGAACTTCAGTGGAATTCATTAAATGATTTCTGGAGCACAGTGTTCCTGCTGTCAGTTCAGTGACACGCTTATGTACATTCATTACTGCTGTACAACAGGCATTTCCTGCATCCGTTTGCATTTCTTCAACGGTACAATTACATGCTAACGAACTAATCATCAAAATTAGCGCGTTCGAGGTACTACTAATATATTCCATTACAGTTTCAGTTGCCATACCAAAATCGATGCATAACAACTTGTCAATATCAATAATTCCCTTTTGAAGAATTGATATATCACTAAAACTGATAACTAATTAAAGGTTTATTATAAAACTTTTTCTTATAAAATTTCAGTTTCATAACATAAAAGGAGTATAAATGGAATCGTTAACGAGATAAGAAACACGGAAATTTCAAGCAAATCAAGAGAATCCCGCTGTTGCCTGGTTAAAGTCATAGAATCTGGACCGGGTAATAGTGATGAACGGAATGAGCAGAAGGATTTTTACATTAGTATATGAAGTGAAATGACATTAAACCAAGTTTTGATTATCTCCAGAAAAAGAACTCAAAGTTTTTCTTAAATTAGCAAAATAAAAATGTTACCAACCTGTGACCAATTTTAGAATGTACACGAAATGATCGATCTGCGACGGCATTTTGAAATGGATGAAGCAATTTTGCAGGTATTAAAGTAGAAATTAATTTTTCGATAGAGAAAGATGAAAATAATAACAGCCCGTTTATTGCTAATATTTCTTTCTGAAATTTGTCTACATTTTTTCTAAATAATTCTATGGGAATGCTTCTTTTAACAATCAGAATTGGAAAAAGATTCGATTAGAATCTTGTCTGATGTTCACATAGAATCACCAGCGCAAAATGCATTGTCATGGATTAACAGTCTATATCCTGACAGTATTAGTTTATCAAAAAATAAAAAATAGACAAATTTCATAAAAGAAATATTTTTCAGAAGGATAAAATTCACTATAATGAATTAACAGTCTATATCCTAATGTCCAACATCCAGATGTTTCGTAAAATGTTTGATCAACAAAATGCATAAATCATAATTCAGGAAAAGATATAACAAAATTTAACTAGCAGAAGTGCGTACTTCCAGCAAGCAATGATCTAATCATATGTACAATTAGCATAACTCCCTTAACTATCAATTTTTTTGGCAGCAATATGGACTAAATAAAGAGCTTATGGCTGAATTAAATAAATATATCCGAGTAACTAGACCCACTGCTTCCATTTATGCTTTGTTTGAGACAAAAAAGTTATACATCTATGTCCATATAACACATACATAAAGAGATTATACGTAGTGTATTACTTTGGAAAGCATATTTATTTCATTATGGAATGTTGATTAACTTATATGTCAGAAGGTTAATACTTACAGAAGAAACATTTAACTGTGTACAAGGCTGAACAGTTTCAACCATGTCATGCTTCGTTTGATTACATTGCTGTGAGCAAAGGTAACTATGATACTCAGTTGGTAATGCTGTTCCAGCCAACAAACAACGTATGATATCCACCAGATGAATCGTATTAATATGTCCATCATCCAGATGTTTAATAAAATATTTGATCAACAAACGGTATGTTTTACTGGCCAACAATACGTCATTACTGGATACTGGAAGATATAACATCACGTACGCAATATAGCAATATCTATTGAATTTTAAAAACGTTGCGAAAGAAGATCTGTCAACCTACACTTACAGGAAACACTTACATTTATCTATATTTGTACCAATCACGTGGATTGATAGAATAATTTCGTCCGCTTTCATTGATGAGCCATTACTGATGACATATTTGAGAAGGCTACTTAAATGTTCCACTTTTTGATCCGCATTACTCGCAAGGCTCCAGCTCATTTCTGCATGGTTAGCACCTCTTGGCATCCGAGTCTAAGGGTCTGAAAACTGTTAAAAAGATAAACTTCATCTGGATAATGATAAGGCAATAAATACGTTGCAATGAACAGTAGGACACTTTTGCGCAAGGGCCTCAAATAAAGCAGTCGTTATTCACAAAAAGTTCATTATATATTCCTATGACCACTCGACAATTCACATTTTTTATTTTATGGAAATAGAGTGGATACAACAGTAACGACAATTACCACACTGAGATGTTCATACTTTTTGGAATTTCAGGATGAATCACACTCATAACTAGATCACTCAACCGTTGATATATAATGAAACTTAAGTACAATTTCTGCTTTAATAACTACATTCGATGCATTGATCAGGGATACATTACCATATTTGATAACTGTAATCGATAAAACAGATTAGTGACAATATAATCGATATATTTGTGACTTTTTAGCATCATTTGGTATCACTACTTGACAATGTAATGAAATCTCACTCCCATAACGCCTGTTCCTCAATGCTTTCCCCAATTCTAGCAGATCTCCATCACAACACAAACTTCGAAAGTGAGCACAAACGAATACCAATAAATAATAAATGAATTAGTATCAATGAATACTTTTGAAATTTGCTTGGGCAAGTATCAATCGATGTCTATTTTGCCCTTTTCTGTGCCATCAATAACTGATTATTCTGCTCCGTTCTATTCCAGCAACATCCGTTCTGCTCAGAACAGATCAATTATGAGCATAAACGTAGTATCCCCCTTCCACATATGTGTCCACTTAATGTCACGTAACTGATAAACTTGAATGCAGTTGAAAATTTCTCAATGAACCTGTCATGGTGTCATAGTGTACGATTAGAGACGCCATGCAATCTAGTTGGTATCTTAGACAATTGAATATGTGACACCACTAAATGTCGATTGGGATGCAATTAGTTCTGTTATACTGATAGAAGAATGATTTGAGAACAGTACTTGGCTACCGTAATACTATCCGTCTACTATACTGACGGATAAGAACTTCCATGAGGATGAGTTTTCTGATCCAGCTAAAATGAAGGTTGCGACAAATCACTTTCTTTTTAAAAAAAATGTAAGGAAGTTTCAGAACATTGTCTTTATATGATGTCTTCTATTGATATCCTATCTCTTACAAGTCGAAGTTTTTCTGTCTAAGGTTAATCCAGTTTTTTCATTTTAATTTTTAATTCTAGCGTGTAAAAATGAAGCATTTAATCACTGTTCCAATTAAGCAAAATAAGCATTTCTTTAAACCACATTATCTGATTATCATTTCAAGGAACCGTGTAAGATGAAAGTCATGCATTACTTTGTCCGATGGCCGGTAAGGCAAGCCAACTATACATGCTCAAATCGTGCTCTACTTCTTTGTTCAATCTTTATCCTTATCAATCTTTTCATCGGAGTATTACTGTTAACAGTACAGGACAATTTAACGGTATTCTCTTGTTTTTTATATTTATTACAACAGAAATTAAATTCATTAAAATTTTCTGTGCTGACTTTTTTACTTGACCACTAGGACACGATATTGATAGGGATAATGCTTACCGACTGTTTATGAATTTTATAGAAATCTTTGTTTACTAGCATATCTATTACAAATAAACATGAGAATTTTTTTCGTTATTACAAAATGCAATGAATTCATATAATTCTTTAATTAATTAATGCTATTAATGAAATATAAAGAAAGAAATGGAAATATAAGTGGCATAAAAGTGACTGATTGTTTTCCAAGTGTTGGCTCAAATGAACTAAGATTCCTCTGTCTTTTTATTAGTTGCGCTGACAAAGTTGTCCATTGTATTTAATTCTATAAATCATAACCCCTATAACTTACGGAATAAAATTCTAATTCCTATCAAACATGAGATGAAATAATAGATATTATCGCAAAAAAATGGGCAAGAAATAAAGTTTGGTCTATGAATAAGCTTAATTTCTTGTTGTCGACAAAATTTTTCATTCTTAGAAAATAATTTCAATTGCGATTTTATTAACGGTTCTTCGGATGACTTTCGGAATGTAGTTTTTCCCTTTTTTGTTCATCTAATAGCACGTGATGAAAGATGACTTGGCTGGAATCTGGTGAAATATCTGGTGAAGCGACTACTCAGACTGTGCGTCCTTCATTATATGTTATCATGATGCGGTTTCTTTATACAGTATGAATGGCATGACTCTAAGCAGAAACATAATAGTGTTTTATACAATCAATTAAAGGAACTAATCACAAATTAGCACATATACATATTTGTAAATCGTTTCAGGATGAAGATGGATTTTATTATGAGACTACTGGAAAGTACAGATATACATTGACTCGAAAGAAAAGTAATTTGTTTAAAAAAAAATATTATTCTGTGATAATTTCTTGCTATGTATTATTTGGGCTACATCATAGTGTCGTCTTTGCAGCAGCAAAGCGTTAAAAGTTTCATTCAAAATTCTTGTGAAAATTTGCGGAAAGTTAGTATACTAGAATTACTTAATATATATCTGTACTTTCCAGCCTTATTGTATTAACAATTAATTATAGATGCCGAAGAACAAGAATGTGACATATCGGAAATGGATACTATCGAATATCCCTACTGTCGCGAAAAAATGCAATGGATGAAAGAAGGATGGCGAACACATGAATGTTATGCATTTTACGGCGTAAATGGAACGTTCTGCTCATTTAGGATTTATCTTTCTGAGGTCGAAAAGTATTGTCCAATTTTGTCGTGGCGTAAGGTCGTAAAAGATGACACTGCAGTTCTGTCAGAAGATAAAGTACTCCCGGTAGTTGATTTGCGTTGTTTTTAGAATTATGTCTCATGTTTAATTGACTGCTGGTTTTAAGGTAGTGAAGATTAGATGAATTGTTTGGAAATTCCGAAGATCATAAGAATCTCCTTTCGATTATTCAGCGCGCAGCATTATACTTTATGATATCGTTGCAACAAAACCATTTACTCCAAGTCGCTACCATCAGCTCTGTTTAGTTTCTTAGTAGTTTGATCTGTCTATCTTTAGCTAATACATATATGGCAATTCTTTCTCAGTTTCTTGAAGTTGTCAGGAAAATATTTCTTCAGACTAAGAGATGTTAAGCGGAATTTTGTAAAAAAATTACGAGATTCGTGGGAATAAATTTAAAATGAATTCAACAATCAGTTAATTGAAGAATGAAAAGCAACAATATGCTGCATTTTATTAAAAATCACTTTCAGGTAGAACGAATGCTGTCGGGTCTTTTTAAACTTATGTTTGATAATAAGCTGAATTATAAATTTATAAGGAATCGAATCTCTCTTTTATGGCCTAAATGGTTGAGTGCTTACGATGAATTGATGATTAAATGGCCAAAAGTCGCATCTCCACGGCCAAAATTGAATGTACGTGGGCAGATTTAAATTCCAAGGCTTTGATTTTTTATTTATCTATAACCTTTGATTTGATACTTCTTTAAAAATGAGCGTTCATTTATTTTGAATATAGATATTGATTGTAGATAATAATGCACATGGGTTTCCTGAGCAGGGAATCTGGTTTCAAATTCGGTGAGCTTTCATCTACTGGTGGTCCACTTGGAGAACTTGTGCAGTGGTCCGATTTGATTTCAGCACTTTATCTTCTGGGTCATAATCTCATGATTTCTACTGAAGTTAAAACATTGAAAAAGTACGCTCTTTACTTGTATAATGAAAGTAGCATGGGTGAGGAGAAAGAATTCTTCTATGAGATAAGAGTTCTTCCCGGTGATGATATTCCACTAAGAAAAAGAGCCTAGTTTTAAATTTCATTAAATTACCTAGATGAATAAGCCTTATGATCAATAAATCATGATTTTAGACATAAATTAATGACAAATCTTGAGAAGTGGTAACGAGGGACTTCTCTTTGTTTTTATTATCACTAATGAAAGCTAACTCACAGTCTTTACTTTAGTAGGGAAGGATTATTTGTCCTCTTATCAGTGAGAGAAATTCCCTTCCCTTGCTCACATCTTAACTAGTTTTGATAAATTTGCTTAATTTTTCAGAAATTTAAAGAAAATCGATTATAAACAACATTGTCCACTTCAAGGTGAAAAAGTAATTAATTTGCTTTTCACTGATATTGTTGGCCTTAGGTACCTCCGTGGAAAAATGAACGGTTTTTTTAACAAAATGAAGTAAGTTGATAAAATCGGTAGATTTACTGTTTCTTTCAGAATTTTCCTTGCATTTTCAGATTTAGATCTATAAATATTGCCATATGGGTCTTGTTCTCTTTTGAGAGATTAGGATTATGAAATATTTTTGGTTCACTTCATGACGTATCGGTTTTTCAAACCCATGCTTTTCATGAAAATCAAGGAGAATGATAGAGGAGATGGGTTTTTTACCAAGAGTTGTTTTATTTCAGATGTACAATACGAGTTCTGGATTCATTCGGCACACATGCGGAATTCAATTCCCAAAATTACTTTACCACTCATAAAAATTCATTAGGTGGATCAGGGAAAAATCCGTGGGGTAACCATCAATTGAATTTGCAGCAGTTCATGACAATGTTTCCTCATACAGATGATAACACTTTTCTCGGGTTTGCGGTGGAAATGTATCCGGTTAACCAGGATATCAAGAGAGATAATATTACATTGGTAAGTATTTGGTATGACTTTATTAATAAATATAAAGTTTAGAATATTTTGAATACTGCATGAGATGCGGGGGCTTAAACATGCTCAGATTCTTTATCTTGAAGCATTTGTAGGTTTATGGTAAAGCAGGCTATATGTGGAAAGATGCGAAACGACTCATAGAAAAAGTACGAAAATTTACGGATGTGCATGCAACAGTTAGCGATGATTTGCCAGATTTCGACAGCCTTATAATAAATCATGGAGTTTTAACAGGCCCCGAATTGCACGCCCTGATGAGAAGGACGAAGATATTTTTGGGTCTTGGTTTTCCGTTTGAAGGCCCTGCGCCATTGGAAGCCATTGCAAGCGGTGTTGTTTTCATCAACCCTTCGTTTAATCCGCCAAAATCACGGAAAACATCTGATTTTTTTAAGGACAAACCAACTTTACGCAAAGTAAATTTTAAAAAAAAGTCGTTCGGACTTTCATAATTAGCATTCTTACCGGACTTCAGTGGGTCGCATTGCTGATGTTTTTGGGTTGCAGTTATCTCCGATTATGGCCACGCTGAGCTCATATGACTTACATTGTTTACCTGCGGCATTAAATTTTATGATAAGAAGCATATCGAAGTCCAAATGTTTCGGAAAATATCACTGATAATAAACTAGGTGCTTTTTTCGTTCTGAAGTTTGATTTTATAAAACCAAATGCTCCGGAAATTCCAGCTAACGAGTCAAAATCCTTATGCGGAACTTTTCATCGGTAGGCCCCATGTGTTAACTGTTGATATTGAAAATTCATCGCAAGTGGAAGATGCAATACGTGAAGCTTTGCTTTCAAAAGTTAGTATTTATATCGGGTTTTCATGAATTTCCTTCTTCACGAAATTGAATTGTATTTAAATTCAAGGTTTTGAGTCAGAATTACTTAAATTGATTTTCGTGAAGCCTACAGTCATAAATCCATTGTCCTATTGCTAGGAAATTGCCTCATGATAGCATTGTCCTTTAACCGACATCTCTGAATCACGACCTGTTCTCCTTACAACACCGGTTTGTTTAGTCTTTTACTTTATGACATATTCAGAAAGACATTTTGATATAAAATTCTCTTATTCAAAATTTTTTAATTAAAATCATCCGACTGAAGAAAAAATTAAATAATATGAAATAACTCGTCCTCACTTCTAGCCTACCGCATATATCCCTTTCGAATTCACAGTCCTAGGAATGCTGCAGCGAGTCATTATTCTTATTTCGAAGCAGGACTTTTGCTATGTCAGCCGTTTTCCTCCTCCACATGCTATGCTAACTGTTGAAGCGGTTCCAATGCAATCTTGTCAAGATGCATGTCGGCAGCGCAGTTAGTTTTATCATTAACAGATTTGATCAATATGATTTGATTTGCAAATAAGGAGAAAATGAGATGAATTTCGAAAAGATAAACAAAAACATATTTTCTGTTTGAAATTTTAGAAGGCCTTGTCGGTCATTATACACTTATGATGAGAAAATATCTTCTATCAAGTTAACAATTCCAATTTTTTTGTAACTGGGTTGTTTCTAGATCTTCTATGTGAGCGTTCATTCTTCCGTGTCGTGAATATGCCTGGATTCCTGAACAAGTGCGTCCTTCCATCTTTCATACGTGATGTGACATTTTTACCATATTGTCATTCTGTCATTCTTATTATTGCGTTTGCTACTCCAGTCACCACTTTTCCACTTTTTTATAAGACGGCATAGATCCACCACTAATGTTATGGATTGCATAGAATTAATTATGTATTGGTTAATTGCATTGTCTATTCTATCAAGTCTTTGTAACTTGTGAATAACACAAACATTCATTTTCAGGAGCGGATCATGCGCCGCACTGAAGAGTATTTCAAGTCCATATGCACCATATGAGTGCTCAAAACAAGAAAATCCAGATTTGTATAGCTGTGCATCCGTTCCGATCATTCCGAGTATCCGACGAATTTGCCCCTGTCGCGATTGCATATCGGGTCAGACGGCCCTCTGTTCTTCTTGTATATGATTCAGATTTCGATCATTTCTTCACACAATCTCAGAAATCTTATTCCATGCACTCCTTTTCTAGACATATATCTCCAGTTTTCTGTTTTTAACTAATTTGATGTTTTGAAATTTGATATGTTTTCTTCCATTTCCGTGCCTGCATATATCATAAGGTCTCTGTTTCCTAAATTCATCCTATTATTTTGCTCAGCTATGAATTTATTTCGTGGAAATTTTCAAGTACTGTGATTATAATCTCTTAATCCGGTGTAATCTTCCAAAATTTTTTTACGGTTGCACCGAACCTTTCTGCCCCATACTGCAACACTCCTAAATAAATGAGTTATCATTCCATTTATATATGTATATATAATTTATCGACATATCATAACTTTTATCTACGTATCATTTTAGTGCACATTCCTTGTGTTTCCTTATGTTTTATATCCTATTCTAATGACGTATCATTTGCTGTATAATTTATATTTAATTTAAAGTAAAAATAATCCAAAAAAAACGAATCCGAGCATCTTGCTTTATTCCATTTTTCAAATAGGTCATATAGCAGGGGGACACAATTCGCACTGTCAAGAATGGATTTTATCCAAAAACTCCTACATGATTCGTTTTGCTAAGAGTTAGAAGATAGAGTACTGGCTGGTCATCGGAAGCTGACAAGAACTCCCCAAACTTCCGGTTATCAAAGCTGGTTTCATGCAGCTACACCAGGAATTGTTGAAGAATGCGGAGCAGATCGCTTCTCGACCATTCAGCATCTAGGGAGGGTTTCGAAGTTATTGTTCTGAAGCGTCATCTTGATTCTACGTGACCGTCGTGATCGACTTCTGACGCGCGACGAAAGGTGCATTCTATACATCGCAAGAAGGAATGACATCGCAGTAGCTAAACCGAGAAGCTCCAAAACCGAGGTAACTTCAAAAAACAGTTGATGTATATTGAATAGCTTTCTGAATTTCGCGGAACTATTACCCCGAGAAGCAGATAAACATGCTGGAATTTTCTGCACTCCTCATCCTATGTCTGTAATCATCCACTTGCAATCACTTAGTAATGTGATGCAGGAATCTTCACTATCAGATAATTTGCTAATGAATTCCTAAAAAAGCTTTACTGTGATGGCAGTTTGCATTGCCAAAAAGATAATTTCTCTCCGATCCCTAAGAATAAGTGTTCTACTAGGCTTTCCTGTACTGCGACCTAAATTAAACTATCCGATGTAGATTAGGAGAATTTCTCAGCCTCAGCGCCTTTAACATTCTTTTTCGAACCATCATTTATTGCTGAATTGATGAACCACTTTATGCGTGATCTTCGTTTCAACTTGTGTATGTCCTTTAAGATATGATCTTACCAATAAAAATAAACCACTTACATCCAGGGCCATGTGACCATCATACGGTAACTTCGAAGTGATCAAACAGCATCGAAATGATACCAGAAGTGTAAACTATATTCGACACACAAGTGCAATTTAGATTTCATGACTCCTCTTGCTGTTGTCTTTTCTTTTAGCTTGATTTGTCGGTAACCAAAATAACTTTGCAATATAAAAATATTTATATAATCAAAGTAATTTTATATTCATGAAATCTATGTTATAAAATTCTCAGTCAAATGACTTGATATGCTTTGTCAAATATCTCAATTCATTATTCTAGACAATACTGCAAGTGATTTACACTAAATAACTTCCTTTTCAGCATCGGCTTTATTTGTTACATACGCAATTCTTTACTATTAGTATTGTGTATTTACTACAAACGATGCCAGACGATTTTTTAAATCATTCCTACTTTTGATATCTTCAGATTATTGTTTTATAAAGTGAAGCAGAATAAACTCATCCTCCACCAAGAATAAACCTCCACAACAATCATTGTATGCCAAACAACAGACTATTCAAATCAAGAATTTTCACGACATTAGTTGGTATCTTTCTCTATATGAAATCATCCTCCATAATATAATGTCAAACAATATAATATATAATTTTAAATAATAAACTTATAGTGACTACAGTTTACTGTCTCATGGTCATATATCAGATGAGTCATCTGCATCTGTATGGTCGCAGTTCAAACTTACAATTGCCATTCGCATTGCAGTGCGAAAATTACGAAGACATCGCTGAAAAAGCCTAAAAAAGCGAGTTCTTTATATGAAATCTTTCAACAAAAGTTTTAAATATCTGAAACGCCTCTAAGCTTCAAACTATATTTGAATAAATGTTGTCTGTTTTTACAGCACTTAATGTTTCTTCTATTTATAACAAAAAGTAAGAAGTAGAATCAATTAAATGGAAAAATACTAAATCAGAAAAGTAATACAAGTACTGATTGCAAAGGGAAACTACTTTCTATCCAATTTACGAATCGACAAAATGAAACTTACGACTGATCCAAGCTGCTGACAATTTTGGCCCGGAAAGAATTCACAACAGTCCTAAAGATAGAAATATTTTCAGTTATATGATATGTTCAAAGTAAAATGTAAGATAAAAAGTTTATCAAGAAAAAAATCTGCCTTGTTTCCAGTGCCAAGAAATTTTGTATACTTTCTTCCAACGCTGTAACATCAACGGCAACTTGTGTGGTTTGCTCCAATGACATATTTTGCAAATGACTGAGTCGATCAATTAATTTGTCGAATGCATTTTGTATTATTGGACGAAGAATCTAGAATCAAACTAAATTTAAAAAATAGCAAGAAATAAATTAATATGACTCGGCTTCAACTTTTCGCTGAGATAGAGAGCAACGATCAGAAAGTACAATAGGATGGGATACATCTCATGAGAATCACTCAGAAATTACGAAGATATCGTTGTTGGTAAACACATTTTGCGAATATTATCAAAAAATGTAAAAACTATAGGCGAAAATGAGTTTCAGAATTCGATCCATCGATTTGCCTGATTTTAGTGGAACGGCTGTTGGGAAAACCGAAATAATTTTATAATATCAATTAAAATAATTAAAATAAGTTCGTATTGTAGAAATCGGTACTGCAAAGATTGCTCACTATTGACTTAAAATGTCTCAAAATATTAAGCTTATCCTTTGTTTATTTAGCTTGTTTTTGTTATCATAATGCGCTTCGTTTGCTGCATCATTTAAAATGATCCTTTGTGCATTTAGCTCTTTTTGTGTCCAAAAGGACTATAAATAATGAGCCTTGATGCAGTTCAGCCAGTATCATCAATCCATCACTATGAGTGTCTTCACTGCTCTTTACTGCAGCACTAGAGCGACTTACTTTACACATGACTCTGACATTATCTTACAACGTCCAAAAATAAACCTTTATTCCAACCTTATTTGTATGTGTCAATTCATCCCCAATATCAAAAAAACAATTCCCAGACAGCAGTTACAGTCTATTAAGAATCTCAAAATCTCTTGATAAGAAATCAAAATTTTTAAACCACTTCTAAGTTTTCTGAAAATTTCTTATGATATATTAGCAACAACATATGCAGATGCATCTCATGTTAGCATTTATGGATTGAAGGAATACCTCGCGCATGAGATGTGGAGCAAGTAAATATATTTCTGATTGGATGAATATTAGATACATGACGAGTTCTTTGATGTAATCTGATGCCTCTGAAACAACTTGAATAAAAATAAAACTATGGAATTTATCCCTTGTTATATGCCAAATTCAAAGAGACGATGAGCAGCTTAGCAACAAGGTTTATTCAGCAATTTGATGAGTGAAGTATGGCAAGAAATCATAAATCAAAGAAAAAGTTCTACCTGTTTCGTTCACTTCGCTCGAATAAAAAAGACTTATTTTATATTGACAGAAAAATCTTTCTTTCATTGAAACATTCAAATTTGAGAAACTAATTTGCTACACAAAAAATAAAACTAAATATCACCTTCGTTCGGTAAATGATCGTAATTAGCCGATCCAAACATGGAACTGAACGTAGCACATTTTATTTGCAAGTAATACTTCATCAAGTTCTGTCGAAACACTAACAACTGTCCTTTGCTTTTCTGGAAGGAACTTTTCAATTTTTTTCAAATCGATCTGGACAAGACTTCTTCATAACACCAAATGGCAAAGCAACCTAAACTCTTCAAATGACGGTTACTTTCTTCAGTTTTACTAAGATTTTGTATTAAAAAAAAAACAAAGCTTCAACAGAAACTAACTTCAAATATGACGTCACCATATTTGACACCATTCTCAGCTAAGCGACGGCACAATACAGGCAAAGAATTACCAATCACATATTCAATGTTACATATGGCAATGAGCAACTTCCGGCTGTTAGCTGTTCCTTCATTGAATAAAGCCGATGGACGTTTTGTACCTCTACATATTTTAAAAAAGTTATTTTTACATTAGGTTTTCCAAAACATTTTTTCCGTGCCTGGTAGTAACGCAATGATTGCGTTAACAATTAGTTTTTGGGCTTTAAGTCAAGTAATCACAGCAATTGAATTATAGAAATTTCAAAATAAAAAAAAAAGATGGCCTTTTTTTTCTAAATAAGGAAAATTTCAAGCAAATTGCCCGTCTTAAAATCATTAAAACTCATCAAATTTTATAATATATTTTACCGCTAGAATAAAATTTAATATACCTCAGCTGTAGCACATTCTCTATACAATCACGAATTGATGTGAGAATCATTGTAAATAAATCGATCAACATCAAACGAAACCGTTCCCTACTAAACAAATCCAATTCACCCGTATAATTTGAAGATGAAAGTATTTGTCGAATTTGTCCCATGCTATCATTCACCTCAAAAAAAATTATTACAGAACAGGATGATAAAAAAAGTAATTTTAATCCGATTTAAAGAACTCTGTGCTGAATCTTAGTTAACCAAAACTATTTTCACTTCTGCTTTTCTGAATTATTGACAATTTATTCAAAACTAATGAGAGTGATTCAACTACTCGTACAATCGTTCTTCCTGAGCAACTGTCTTCCATCTCCATATCTTCCGGATTAAGAACATGAGAATGGATAGAAAATAATCATTAAGCAGCCTTTATCTTTTTGCAAAAAGACCAATGTAAATCTTACCTCGGTTTCATACAGATCCGGTAAAATAGTTTTCGACAAACCCGTATGCTCTAATTTCCAGATTTCTCCACTCCCTAAGCTAATTACTCCTATAATAAAAAAATTAAAGCACAGATATGAAAAGCTTCGAAAAGGAATTTATCTAAGCATCTCATAAGAAGTTATGGCTATGGCTTTGTATTATTGAGTTATGGTTTGTATTATTCCAGATGACTCATTTTATTTGCTAAACTTCATATTTTATTAAAATCGGGATATGGAATATGAAAGACGGTTTTGACAACTCGATGATGGAACGATCTTAGTAAATTAAAGCTGAAGAGAGAACTGACCTCTATTCTAGATTATGGACAACTTCTAGCGAGGCAAGATGAGTTGGGAGGTAATAGCTTTAAAAAAGAGACAACTACTTCAGCTAAAAATTTTAAGAGGCACTCACCTTGTGTAACTCTCTCAATTACTTTTGACAAGCATTTTAATCGAATAGTAACACAAAGCTCCAATAATGGCTGCAGTTGCTCCGAAGTAAAATTGCAATCTAGCATGAAACTTACGCATGATCTAAAAAGGCTAACTGAATGATCTATTTAAAATTAACGGAATCAGCGGACAATTTGGTACTCTAATACGATCATCAACATTAATGAATGATAGTAATTAATATTAATGATCATGCGTTCCAACAGGTGTTCTTATCATATTTTGGATTATCTTTCATCCATTATAATTATATGAAAATATTACCCCTTTACAGCTATTTGTTTTCCTTCTTAATGTCAGCAACTTGCTCAAGTATTTTTTGATTTGTGACCACAGATAGCAAAGAAAAACGGGTGTTCATTCTACCGAATTCTGAAATTTATTCAACTCACTATAACTAAAAAATTTACCTTAAAATTTTTAGTGATGAAAATAACTGATGCGTGAGAGGAGATGAAGTGATAGGTGGCCATTTCGCGAACTGTTCCTTGTACTTCCTTAAAACTGATTCGGGCAAAGCATCAGCTACTAATGCATTTAATATCAACCATGATGAAACATTGATTGTGTTTATGAGCATTTGCTGAAAATATACGGACGAGTTAATGAAACAACAATGAGTAGAACCTGGAATACAAAATAAACGAGTAAGTTACTTAATATTGTTCAAGTGTCAGAAATCGCAAAGAAATGCATAGTTTATGCCCAATTTGCAAAAAAGGATGTCTCTTCCAAAAGAAAATCAAAGATCGAAGTAGGTTTTGAATTTTGCGAGAAAAAATAAAATAGAAAAATGTTTTAAAAGAATTTGAACTGACGTTAATATCACATAAGCGATCCACCGATGTCAGATTTATAACTGATGAGGAGTATATCTGAGAAAGTTTCCAGAATATTTGTAATTTGTCCGTGATTATATTGACCATTTCTTGAACGAAATCGTGAAGATTATGCGAGTTTTCTTCAACTACTATAACAGCAGTAATCTTGGAAGGAATAAACAAAATGCAGAAATGGACGATATGAATTGAAAATGAAGCATAATGAAGATGTTAGGATTTTAAACGATATTGCAAATTTTAAGGTTTTGAAAACTTTCTTTCCAGCAGTGATAAAAATGTAGAACACGAATGAATTAAGCATATATTTCAAAAATATAAAATCAAACAAATAGAAATATTCTGAAGTTACTTACACGAGAATATACACGATGAATCTTTATTATTACTGACCTGACCAAGCGCTGTAAAATCAAATACTTTCAAAAAAATGGCAAATTTCTAAGAGGTAAAAATTCGATTTCCAAGTAATACCTAACTTTAAATGCTTTGTTTGCGTTTGCCACAAAAGATCTTCCAACCAACAATGGTATGCTGTAATGCAGTTCCATGCTGGATCTGAATTGGGTTCAAGGACCTATAAATGCAATTAGGATTAAAGTGCCAAATTAATAACAACTACAAATACCTCGCTGTGTTGTGCTTGGTTACTCAAATCTCCTTTTTTACTAATATCATTTAAACCAGTTTCATGTACTAGTCATTTAAACCAGTTCATGTATAATATAATCAAGCAAAAAGAGTAATAATTTCAACCATTACTTTCAAATATTTGATTAGTTTACTTTGGTCCTCAAAGGAAGTAGGCATATCGATCAAACGCTGCTTCATATTTTTCTTAAATATTTCCATTTTCTGATCCAACTCAGCCATTACTGAAAACTGTTCTTGAATTAGTCAAGTTATTCAACAAAAAGTCTACTTCATGTAACAAGCTAGTATAACACAAAAAAGATCACCCTCTTTAAATAACGACACTTCAGTATCCTTGAAGAGTGACTTTGCACGAGTATAATCATTAAGAATTGTTGAATATTCGCCCTGCAATTAATATCATAAAAATCATGAGGATTACTTCTACTTTTATTTAAAGGATATAAAATAGTTTCGCGCTTAGTATAATATATAAGTTGATTTAATGCTGCGAAAAGATATAGACTACACATTAAAAAATCTTGGAACTCGACCGAATTAGCACCAGAGATTTTGAGAAAACATAAGCTCTGGTCACCTTTGCTAAATTTTGATCGATAGCACTAGAGAGGAAGAAAATGAATCGAAAACGAGTAAGCACTGATAAAGCATTCCGTGTGGCATCAGCTCGATCCTTTCGTGATAAAACCTCACAGAATACTGCATTTGCTGCAGTGTGTGATTCAGCCAGCTGAAAATTTTTCCCCAAAAAATCCTTGTTGGTGATGAAACGTCATAAAACGAGGATTACAAGAGTTATAATTTGATGCTCAGTATCATTTACAAACCATCAAAACTTCGCAGTTCAAAATATGATCCGAAACAAACATATTGCAAACCTTCTCAGAAATATTTTTTGTAAGCGGCCAACCATAAGCATTCTTCTCTAGCTGCACTTTATCATGAAGTGTTGCCAATGTATCAACGCAGTTAATCAGTGAGCATAGATTAGCACGATGCAAATCGGAACTGCTTTTTTCGCCTTCTTTAGTACTTTGTGTTAAATATGTCAACCCTTTTTTGAGATCAGAAAGTCTGAAAAAACAGATGAAACAGATCTAGCCATGGCAAAAATATGAAATTTGTGATGACTATTATTTGTCACATGTAGGTAATGATGTATTTGAATTCTCAAAACATTTCAATTGGAGACAGTTCAAATACCAGCTGAGTTGTCGATGCTAAATTCGTTTTCAAAGTATAACAGTTTTTGAGGTTCAAATAACTTTCAAAACCCACTTTGTTTCACGATGATTTTCAAGCAAATACCAAGCTGGATTGAAATTTTCCATTCGAAGATTGCCTGAACCTTCCGGAAACATTTGCATCAGAGACGTTTGATCCATTTTTTTATGCCTGAAAAAATAACATTGATCTAAAACAAATGATTTTCAAAATCCCTTGAATAATATGATCACAAAATGATTGAAAACCCCAAAATACTGCAATAACTTTGTTGAAAGGAACACATCACTTTATCTTCAAGCAGAATGGCAGAACTTACGGTTCAATCGTCAGTCCTAACGCATCCAAAGCAACTGTTGTTTCAGGAACGTTATGGACAGCTTCACGTCCAGGAACAGTCCTTGTTTCATCTACCCAAACAGCACTTTCCTCCAGTGGACCAACCTGCACGATGAAAACACGAAACGTGACATTTGAGGTACTTTTTCCCATTGACTTTGTTAGAAGGACCACTTCTCCGACACCACGTTTTGCTTGCCCAACACCTCAAAAGTATACCATTTATACATGAGTTCAGTAATCAATTCATGATAGATAACCATTAAGATTATTAAAGATTTAACACTATGAAGTCACTAATTTCAAGTTTAGCTAAGAATACTGAAAAATTAAAGCTGGGAATCGATATCATATATTTTACAGTCGGTAAGATAATTAAATTTCGAACTAGATTATCATCTTCAATGGTCATTAAAGATTTCACTCCAAATAGTCTTGAGACCAAAATATCATTACGTGCAATAATCAGAGAAGGTGATTTCCATTTTGCTGAAATTAAGCAGTCAGTTCCACAAATCGATAAAGAAACCAGATCCGACTGATTCCTTCCAAGATGTTCGCCACGAATTTTAATTTGCGTTCCTGGAACTCCTTCTTTGGGTGATAAACCGGTAATCAATGGCCGAGGAGCAGCATCACTAACTGGATGACCAGCATTTTCAGCCATCCTGAAATTTGACCATTTCCGACCAATCAATTCCTTCTCATTACTCAGAACATGAAATTGGCTTTGGTAATAAATATTTCATTAGCCTGTTTTCTTCCCGTTTCTTTGTTTTAGTAAACAATGCAGATATTGAGATTATCTCAGACCACACAACTGATAAAACTATTCCCTACTAAACCCGCTAGTTCACGTCAGTTCGGAAACGAATCGCAAGATTTAATAGTTTCACAAAATTGCTGCCGATGGCGTTATCTGCCGGTGCGGCGGGTTTCGGGTTGGATAGAGAGAGAAGGTGGGATCGGTTTCGTCCTTCGTGGATGGTTTGTTCACATTTGAACACAATTCAAGACTGTGGAAGTTTGAGTCGGCAATAAATGCTGAAGTATTTCTTACGAAAGCCGTTGTAACTATTCAAACTCACATTAACAGTCCATATATCTTTAACGATCGTAATTAAGTAGGCGTGATTTTCCTTTTTTATATTGAGATTTATTGATCATTATAGTGCTACACATTTACTTCTGTCTTTCTTATTTCTCTAAAAATTACATAGATAAAGATAAGCTTTTCAGAATGCAGAGGATTTCGAAAAGCTGAAAAATACAGAGATAGTGAGTAAAGGAGATGGACAGTCATGATGATGTGATTCAAGCATTTATGAATGAAACACGCATTTCGCATAACACTGCACTTGCTTTTCGTGATGGTATCGTTACATTTCATTGTTTTAAAAAATTTCGCTCATACGGTTGTCATTTCTTTCCATCCTTTATACCTCTGTATCTAGTGAGTGTGGTAGACCTTTCTATCATCTTTCCTTTTCACTTCTTCAGCTAAGCAGTGCTGCAGTTTTGATTTGGTTTCTCAGTTGTAAATGTAGAGATATGTCAGAGATAGAATATTTTGTCGGGCGCGACATCTAAGTGTTGATGAAATCTTGCTCGATTTCTCAAACATTATTAATTTTATTGGCGCTTTGTTTTACATTTACTCATTACAGTCGGCTTCTTATTCGTGTTTCACCAGTATATTTTTTTAGGACGGCAATGGGACTATGACAAATCACTGCAGTATTATAATTGGGAAAAGAAAGAAGATGCAGTGCCTTTAATTTATGCTTCTAATTCTTTTGGTGTGTGGCATATTTGAACTAGGATTTCATTTCTAGCTTAGTTTTAGAACTCGGAACTAATGCATTCTCAGGAAAAAACAATGCTCCAAAATATTTGCAGATAAAATAGATGATTCGGATGTGGAGGATAACAGGGAATATGAAGAGACCCTGTGCTGGCCATCTTACGCTTTTGTGCTACCAAATTTGTTTGAACAGCCAGCTGATTTTAGAAATTATTTAGAAAAAGATCTGATTGAAACATCGACTCTTAAACGGCTTGAAAATTCTGGTTAGCTTTGCAAAATAATGTCTTAATAGAAGTTTCGCTTCCATATATTGAATGAATATGAATTGAAGATCTTCTCTTGTTTTTGGTCAGTTCTTCAAATTTTTTCTAATCTTTCGCTATCGTTTTCCAAAAAATATGAGATATCTGTTTTTCAAAGTTTTTCAAAAAAACCTTCAGGCCATTTGAACTGGTGGTGTTGGAATGGTAGCGGACAACGCATGTGGCCTTTGAGTACCACCGGTGACGGTAATTGTCTTCTTCATGCAGCTTCGCTTGGTATGTGGGGAATCCATGATAGACAGTTGATGTTGCGCAAGATTTTATATGAAATGTTGACGAGGTTTATTTTCAAGTGCTAGTTCAATTTATCTCGAAGATTTTTAGAATTGAGTGATACGTTGGACGCATTTATGTGTAAGCCGGAACAGTTCGGTTTACTTTCGCTGACTAAAATGCCATTGTGTCACACTTGGAATTATGTCACATTGAGTTTCCAAATTTTAAATTTGGAAACTCAATTCCAAACTAATGAAGAAATTTTTTTCCAGAGGAAGTAGACGCCATGTACTTTGGCGGCGGTGGCGCTGGGCGGAAAGTCAATCAAATTTGCAGTCAGGCCTTGTTTTAACAGATGAGGAGTGGCAGCGTGAATGGGACAATGTTCTCCACATGGCCGCAGCAATTCCGAGAACTTTTACCACTTCGTATTGTTTAGCTTATTTTGGAAAGACTAGGGAATTGTTAATCCATAAGAGTGTATATGATTTAAACTTCGTATGTGTTTGTCTTTCAAACATGGGAGTGAACTTTCAGAGAAGATAACGAACTTGAGAAGAGTGATGGCACTGAACAAGTTTATGAAAGCTTGGAGTCCATTCATGTCTTTGCACTTGCTCATATTCTCAAACGCCCAATAATTGGTACAATTATAAAAATTTCACATTAAATTGCTTCCTCGCTTTGATTTTCTCAAAATTTTGATTTGTTTTAGTCTTAAATTTTTGCTTTTTTAAAATTTTATATAGAAAGTATTTCCAGTTGTGTCGGATACAGTACTTCGCAATGCCATCGGTGAAGAACTTTCTCCTATTCCATTTGGCGGAATTTATTTACCTCTGGAGTGTCCTTCGAATCAGTGCCATCGCTCACCACTTGTCCTTTGTTATGATTCAGCTCATTTTTCAGCTTTAGTTACAATGCGCGACACGGCATCTAATTCTTTGCAATGTAATTTTCTGAGATTTCGAGATTCTGAAAATTTCGGAATTTTTTTTGGATTTGAAAATGAGAAACGAAAACAATCAGTTATATCCTTAACAAATAAGAATGAGTAATCTAATCATCGTAAGTATCAAGTAAAAGAAACTTCCTTGTTTCCAACTGGGAATTGAGATTTAATGCGTCAGATAGGACCATTCTTGATCCTGCAATGACACCTGTATAGCGGAAATCTGGATCATGTTACTGGTTTTGTTCGTTTTTACTTTGAAGAGAGAAATTGGTTGTACTCTGTCAAAGCCTTTAGTTGTACTCTTTCCGTATTTTCAGCCATCGTTCCAATTACTGATAGGGACCGTATTCTGCTTCCTTTACATTTCTGTGTTGACCCAGGACCGGACTTCACTTGGTTTGTTTTTTTCTCGCTTATTAATTTATCAGATTAAATTGTACTTTGTTGCGTCTTTTTGCGGTTATGACCTAATGGTATGCCATAATTTTTTTGATGAAATTTATGGATTTTAGGTGGAAAGATTCAGAAGATGCCGAAATAGCGGCACGAATTCAGCTGACCGAAGCTGATAGACTTTCACTTATCTCTGAATATGTGGATATTGTTAAGATCCCAGTAAGCTTTAGCTAAATAATGTTGCGTTACTTTTCATCAAAGTATTAAGTTTGTAGTTTCTTTTTTTGATTTTAAAATTTAATTTAGGTTCGCCGATACTCATTCCGACATAACTTAAGTGGAACCGGATTGGTAAGCGGTGAGGATGGGAGGAAATCGATGACATTGTCATGTGGTGATGTCTTCATTACTAAAGATCATTCCGCCAGATTACTGAGTGAAATAGCGCAACAAATCAAAAAACGGCTGAAAATAGGACGCAAAAAAAAGGTTTCGGAATGTTTCATACTGAAATATATATTCAAAAAACCGATTATCGATTCGTTTGTATGAGTCTTGTGGAGTATTTAAATTTATTTAAATATTTAAATCTACAATCTACAAATTTATGAAGTCTAACTGTGTAGATTTTTTGAATCTCAGTCTTCTTTATTGATAATCCTTTTGCAATCCTTCTATTTGTTTATTTTTGAATCTAGAATCCATGTTTCTTTTCGATTACGTTTTTTTCTGTTACTTTTTTTTGATATGTGTAGTGAAGAGCACTCTCCCATTTCTTCACATATCAGTGCATAAAACATGTGCGAATAATAAAAACGTCTTATTTCAGAATCGGTTAATTAATGCAGAACAGGTTACAGTGTCGGATTTGCGATGTGCGAATCTTGTCATAGCCGCACGACTACATTCCTATGCCCATCAGTATATGGAACATATGGTAGATAATTATTTATGTTTGGCAAAAGAACGTTTCGAGCAGTCGAAAAATGTTAGTCTTATAACTACTGTTTCTGAGGACTTATCATGTTTAGATAAAATTCCAAAATCAAGTTTCTACGTTTCTATTTTTTTTTTCAGCGAACAAATGGAATTAATTTGTTTTTTACAGATAAATCGTTTTATATTTGCATTGAACGAAATCTGCTTGACTTTTTTGATTCGAGTGTTTAAAGACTGAACTCTGCTGAAATGCTAACAATGGGTATGAAACGAACACAGCGTTCTGAATTTTTACAGGCTTCTGGGACCGTCTCACGTCAGCGTGCAAGATTATCGCACTCTTTCAGTACTTCATCATTGTTAGTCACTTGCATCAATAAACAGTGTCAGAAGGTATTTGTATCTTATATTTACTGCTCTACACAGCAGATTTTAAATTGTCGAATATTTCTGGATCATTAACGACAAAATCGTTTTAACTCATTTTACAGTTATGCTATGTGTTAATTTTAGGATTATATATACTCAACATCTTCCGAAGAAACTCGTAGTCATTGCTTTAATCACATCTCTTATGACGGTATCAGTCATTGTCACGTTAAATATTAATCAGCTTATACAGAGTGTCGTGTTAATGAAACTCTATTTTTCTCTGTTTCACATTGTCTAAAGTTTTGGTATTCTAATAAAATTCTAGAAGGGAGTTTACGGAAGGAACTGTTTTTCATTGAATCTGATAGAAGAATATTCACAGAAGATTTCCGTTATGAAGATTACTCAAGTATAGTTCAGAAAAATAAATTTTTGTTTATTTGTTGTCGCGATAAGTGAGATGAGCATGAAATTTCAATATCACTTAATATCAGAATTACAGAGCGCTTCTCAGTCAACGAATTTCTTATGCAACGATTGCTTTGAGTACCAAAAACAACTGATGGCCTCGTTTGGGTTCGTGTTTTACTTCTATTTTTCAAATGCTCAAATATTTTTTAATGGCATTTAACGAGTGTTTTTGAAGGATATTTTTCCAATTTAAAACTTGTAGTATTCTCAACGCTGCATTTTTATTTTCGAGAATGCAATTAGCTCATGGACTGTAGATAATGAGCTTTCACATAAATACTCTACAATAGTTTTCTAATTTCAGACGCTCACAACCGGGACATTTACGCTCGCTTCGTTCGTGCCTTTCAACCACTCTTCGAGATTCATCCAATTCATCACCCCCAGAAGATGGTTCCATTAAATCTAATGCAATGCCGTACATTAACACATCGTCAAGAACTTCTCATACTGACGGCAAAGGACTAAGAAATGCTCGGGACACATTAGGCCATACTTCAGACTCAGTACCTGTTCCGCTTGCATCCGGTATGCAAGCATTGCAGTCTCATGCTTCTAACTCAAAACCTTATCGTGAACATATATCTGCTGGCTGTGAAGGAGTTGTCCATACGGTAGCTGTTCATTACGCACATGCCCCAGCCGAAAATGTTACTACCAAGTTCGTTCTTACTCTATTCATATTCAGAAACTAAAACAGCTGTCTTAATTGAAATTTTATTCAGTGAAGTTGTTTCCAGCTTCCACATTCTGTATCATTTTTATATGTCGTTATATGAGTCTGATATTTGCTGAACAGTTGAAGAGCTTCGTTACATCTCAAGTTTAATTAACGTGATTCGGTTTAACGTATTTGTGTTATGGGCCAATTACAACTTTTCTGTTGCCAAAATTACAAATTTTGTACAGCCTTTTACAAATATGTTTACTAATAGTTTTTCAACTGCACACTATACGTTTCTTTTTCCACGCTACAACATTCCTGTACTGTTGTCGTTTACATAACAATGGGTGGATTGAATTAAGGTTCTTTTTGAAACATCACAATATTATAGATCTATAGCTTTTTTCATTACTCGGCTTGATCGAAATTAATAACATATTCCTTATTTTTCTTCATTTCTAATATTTATGTGCTTATTTTCAGAGTTGCATCTGTAGAAGGAGCAAATGGAGTAACTCATTACTATATTTCACAGTAAACAAACAATGCTTGTCTCCATTTGATATTCAGTTCTGGGATTGGTATTTACTATTTGTTCAAACTAGCTCGGATACAACCTGTTTGTTTGTTCCTTTTTTGTTTTGCTTTCTAGAGTTATTTTTGTTATGCATCTGGTTTACTTTCTATCTCCACCTTCAACCGGAATAAATTATACATATATGACTTTATAACTAAGGTTGATTTCCTGTTTCTTTCCTTTTGAAAATTCCTAGTGGCATAATTAGGTTACTGAGCTTATCTATTTTCAAAATTGAAATGTTAGGATTGATTTCTAAGGAGTATGGTTTAAATTTTATATATATATAAGTAATTACTGTTGAAAAGGGGAATTGCATGAAATTTTCTTGGTGAAAAATACTGATAATTTCTTGGGATTGCTGTTAGACATTGTTGTTCGCTGTTAAACATTGTTGCTTTTATGTATTTTATTAGTTGTTAATTTGAACCCAGTTAAAAACTGAGGAAGATTTTCAAATTCTTTTTTGGAAATTTATTGTTTCTTTGGTTTATTTTCTGCAACAGAGTTAAATTATAAAGTAGAAATGGCATTGTTCTTAGAATCAATCGAAGTAAGAGAGGTAAATATTTTTTTTAACAGAACAAGAAAAAGGGACTAATAAAACATTTTCAACGATTCTATCAAAGTAATCCAAATCATCGAAAGCATAATCAACCGATAAATAGAAACGAGTTCTATATTTTTTCAGAAGGTCTATTCCCTTTTCCAGTTTGAGATCGTGACCATGTGGAGATACGCTGTACTGACTTGCCGGATTTTTAATTTTGTCTAAATTTACTTTTGTCATATCCATTAAGGGAAGATTTTTTGTAATTGTCGTCTCTGTTGCATTAAGATTTTAACGTGCTATATATTTCTGGCAATCTGTCAGTTTGTCGCTCATTTGGTCACGGTACTCTTTATTTTGTTGACTATTTTGTTGATTTGTTCCATCTGTGATTCCACTGGTCATTGCATTCTTCAATAGATTTATTCCTTTGCATAGATAGTCTGCTTTGACTGTGTTTTTGTGTCCTTTCACCTATATTTCACTTCTGTATTTAGATTTCTACTTTATGAATGAAATATATTTTCTCATATCATTCAATAAAGTGGAAATTGAAATCATTGCTGTCATAGTGCTTATTGTGCTGGTTGTGAGCAATTTTTCCTATTTTAAAAGAAGCAGGAAAGCATTTTAAAAAAATACGAACTAAACACAAAGATGACTGTTTTCGAAAATTCTCTAGAAGTTTTTATTGTGTGTATCCAAAAGCCGTTTTTTGGTACTTTCAAATCAAGCCTGCTGAACTGATGTTGGGAGTGCTAAAACGCCACTACGGAAGCCTTTCTTGGCATGAAAAAAGAAATGATATACTGCCAGTTGGTCTGTCCGTTCCCTTGCTTAAGCCCACAGCACCTTTATAGCCACAAATCTTCTGGAGAGAGGCATAAATAATAAGTAAAATATTCTTGGGTAGTGATAATGAATATAAGCACTCTACAGCCCACTGTTCTTTCACGATTTGGCCTTTTTTTGCTCATTTTCCAGTATTTTTACTTCCTCAATTTATTTTTATCTGTGTTAAGAAAATGGCAGCCAAAGGTGAAATTTTTTTTCTTATGTTTTTGTCTTCCATTTTACACTGTTTTTTCAGATTGCATTGACCAATAATATGCTGAATGACTTTTATGCTCGTTATCCAAATGTAGTGATAATTTAAATTTGCAGATGTAGTTCGTGAATAAATACGATTCGTTTGAAAAATTGACTTTCAATAGTTTACCTCACTTTTATTTTCATTTTGATACAGTGATTAACAAGATGCAAGATAAGAGTTGATTATTTACTCCTGCAGGTAAATGCAATTAAGAAGATGGGATGCAACAGAAGATACCGCCTAAGCATTAAATAAAGCTGTAACTGTTGTAGGGAATGTAATTCTTTTACACATCATTATGCAAAGAAAATTAGTTGAAGGATTGTTGAGCTGAAATTTTTTCCTCGACTGTGTGTAATCTTGAACAAGTTAGATCCATGTCTTAGAAACGCGGAATTGTTTATTCAACTGCGGTAACGTGATTTTCAGCGATTTCCTGCAGTTTCTGCCACTTCTTTTTGGTTGCTCTTCCTTGAATTAAATTCTCTAGAATGCGTTCTTCCGATATTTCCTCCCCTGCAAAGTGATTGAAATGTTAAGTAATACCATTACCAGACTGACAGAATTGTCACGTTGGATTACCGAATTGAAATTGATAAACAAATAGAAACATGCAGAAAGAAGAGAGAGTTCTGTAATTTGCTACGGAAGTTTTGTTGGTTGAATTTGAGCTTGAAAACTTTCAGAATAGGGTCAGGTTTCGTATTGTTAAGCTGCTTAATGCATGTCACAGAATGACATGCAGATTTTATGATGATTTGCTCATCACCATATGCTTTGATATTATTCAGTTACTGGATTAAATGAAGTGATAAATTAATTGACTGATTAAGGAGGACTAAGCATTAATAAAAATGAACAGGTAAATTAGTGAAAATAAGGTGAATAAATATAAATGAATTTTTTTTGAAATCAATTTAAAAAATTTTAGTTTTACTAAAAGAGGGAAGTGTTGATACCTTTGGTACTCTTGTTGCACCAATCATCTTCGTTACAACAGCAAAAATAACCGAAAAAATTCATATACTGCACCTTATTCATGCAATATTTTTTCCCCCTGCTATATTCAATTTTTTCCACTCCTTCTGTTTCACTAATCAGCTGCAATTTGATCAGATTTTAAGTTCCGTTATTGATTTTGTTTGATTAAATTGTTAAACTTTTCATTTTTTTTAGCAAAAGAAGCATTCAATTAAAACTATTTTGTTAAAGCTGTCACAAACTTATATTATCACAACCTATACTAATTTTTACAAGTGACTGAATTTTCATGATTTTCTTCTTTTTGTTCTTTTCAGCTAGGAAAATTAAAGTAATTAATCAATACAATTGATGCAATAATAGTGCCTCGCAGAGGAAGGAATGGTCACAGCCTCGAACAGTGAAATTGCCTCCTCTGATTAAACTATCTTTTCTGATGATAAAACAGAATCCGTTTGGTCCACAATTCTCCTCCTGCATATTCTCGAATTGATTTGAGAAGCACTTTATTGCTATTGTTTCTGTCACATTCAAACAAATTATGATAGATAGCTGAAAGAGCTGGATGATAAATATTATTGAATCGAATTGAATTATGAAGAATCGACAGAGAATGGTGATAACAATAGAGCTTCATCCATTATTAAATTATTGATTCTGAAGATTCTTAGTCACGTCGAATTAAATGAATCAATCTTCTTGTAATTATTATTGAACTATCATATAGCATGGTGTTAATGTTGATAACAGGTATTTAACTATATTACAACAAAAGCTTATCACTTCCTATTACGACCGATACTGATTAATATCATCAATTAATTACCAATAATTAGTTGTTCGCCCATGTTATAAAAGGTCTTATATGTTAAAATTCTCTAACACACACACACACACACACACCGACAAAATACGGTAACTTACTATATATAGTAACTGACTTTTGTCAATAAATTGTAAATAACGACCGACTATCATTTCATGTAAGGGAAAAACAATTCAATGGAAAAAAATTTTTTTATTTAGAAAATTTATATTCTTTTATATCGTCTTGTTATACTTTCACTATGATAATTTCAAGCAGTATTCCTTATACGAACATTTCATATCGATAACTGCTATCAGCAAGTACAAATTATGTATGAATCATAATTTGATCCTGCGAAATATGAGATTTGTATTTTCTGATTAGGCTATCAGTGATTTATTTCTCGTAATATTGCATTGTTCGGGAAAACAAGTCAGTGATAGAAGTAGTAGGGCGAATATGGAATATAAAATTTACTAATTGCATATTCCCTCTTCCACTCAATAAAAAGTTGAATTCCTGCTTAAGCTACCTTTTGATCTGCTGACCAGAATAAAAAGAGGAGTAAAGAGAGCTGAGAGAAGGCAAGCTGAAACAAAATGGTAAGGTATTTATTTTCCTCTTATAAAATTTTAATAGAATATATCTTCTTCTCCAGTCAAAATAAAATAGTCATATAAAAATTATTTTTTAGTATTCTGAAAATATGCATAATTTCTTCAACTTATTGATACTTTTGAAGTGATTAAAGTTAATTCAGCCAAGTGTGCAGCCATTTTTACTTATTTGAGCACTTAATGCAAGGTGGCATATCCTTACATTCTCTCGTCAATGAGATGTTTTACCGACTCGTAACTTTTCTTGTTTTTTTAAATCCATGTTTAATATAATTTTTATCTGTTTAAAAACTGAAATTATATTAAGCCATAGTCATATTGATAGCCTTAATTCTAACAAAGACAGCCTAGAATCATCAGGCTATAGTTGTATTGCTGGCTTTGATTCTAATAAGGGCGCCAAAAAATACTGGCCATTCCTCCTTTCCAGAATCCTCATTTGGGTTGGAAAAATGTTAGATAATCACATAACAAAAAATTCCTTCTTTCTCTTTCATACTAATATTTTCCTGTGAAAACTAAATATTAGAAAGAACTTCAGCCTAAATTTTGTAGCGGAGATATGATTGCATTTTTTTTATATTTTAAAGATAATGAATGACCTTTTGAGAGGACATTGTTACATCAAAACCTTGAATATTCTGATTGTAACTGTAAGACATTTTACGTAATCGGTATCGCAGCTGTCAACAACTTCTAACAGTTTGCCTGATAAGTATTCCCTTTTTGTAACTTTAAAGAAAAGTTTTGAAGTGCAATTGTTGCAGATATCAAAAAGCATGGAAGTGATAGGATCATCACATGGCTCAAAAAAATCATTCAAAAAGCAAAAGCCTATTGGATCATTTGTTGGGTTCCTTCTATTATGTTCACAATTACTTGCTAATATTCTCAAGAATGGAATAATCAAAATTTTTTTGGATTTCTTCTCGAATATTTTACCACTCTTTTTTCTACTTTAGATATTTTATTCTTTCTAACCATATTTTGGCCCATTTTCAAGAAGATAACTTTGAAAAGTATAACAGGATATTAGTTCAAATAATAAAAAGCACTGAAACCGTGGAAAATATTCTAAATCAAAATGATCTAAAAAACTTTAATACTAAAAGTATTTGAAAAAAAACTTCACAGTGTAAATTTTACGTTATAATTGAAAGAAAATTTCAGGAAAGTTTTAGTGGAGGCGGATGATAACCTTTTGTCGGAAACCTATTATCATGGTATTATAAATTATATGGATGTAGAAAAATTATTAATGAGAGATGGAGACTTTTTGTTTGGTATCCCGGAAGAGGATGAGGAACAGGTGTTGATTGAAACAAATTGAAAAATTACTGCTTTTAAAGTTCAAAATAACAAATGAATACAATGCATTATAGTCAATTGTGTGGGTAGTGCGCTACAATCGTGATTTATGGGCATTTAATATTGGCTTAACTGAAAACGGTCAATGTTTTGTGAATCAGAAATGTTTCAAAAAAATTACCGAAATGGTCTCTGATTATATTCATACACGTAAACCGATTCATGAAAAGCTTCCCATCATTGTAAAACGCCCTGTTCCTCATCCGGTCAGTTATATTTACTTAACATAAATCAAAAATCGTTGCACAAAAAGGATGTAAGTATTGTGAAACACTTGTTATATATATATATATATAGCTAAACTCTATAACTGACAATTCATGTTCAAAATTGATAAGAAATGAAACACGGAGCTGATAAACTCATGGCGCTATAATAGAAGTTCGATTATGCTCATAAATATTTGAGCGACATGAAATGAGATTATAGAAATTCCTTTTAGGCTTGGATAGTATCACACGATCGAGTACATTTGAAAGATGAACTTGGTCAAGGGGCATTTGGTCGTGTCTTTAAAGCTGTACTGCAAGATGGTCATACTTTCATGACAGTTGCAGTAAAAACATACGTTGGACAAGCGAGCGATAAAACGAAACGGACTTCATTCCTTCAAGTACATTTCTATTTTCATATATTTTAGGAATTTTTCGTTGACAATCTCTGATTACTGCCGTAATTAATGAAAAATACAATGAACTTTTCTGTTCCGAGATTTTATGGTTTATTAAAAATTAAAACAATGGATAACCTTTACTTACTAAATTTTCCACTGTTTTTAAATAAAAGCTTGGAAAAAGATTTACAATAATACAAAAAATTAATAACTCAATTCTTTTACAATTTAATTTCACATATGATTGAAAAAAACTGTATCATCCGAGTGTCAGAATAATCTTTAACATTCCGGAGAGGAATACTAAGATGAAGTTAAATATCTCTAATTAATGAGCTTCGAAAAGTCTCTTTTTGGCTTGCAGGAAGCTAAGGTTATGAGAGAATATAAGCATGAAAATTTGGTGCAATTTATTGGTGTCGCATGTCAGAAAGAGCCATTGATGATAATTGTCGAATTTTGTGGTGGCGGATCTCTATTAAAGGTTTCTGGAAGCATTTTGAATTCTAATGATATAACGAGTTGTAAAGCTGACACAACGATAAGGCTTAAGCAATACAATGGAACTAGTAGGAATAAAAAAGAAACAATTCTTTTTTTGATTGTTGGTTTCAAAAGAAATTTCTAAAATTTTTAGTTTTTACGCAAAAAAGGAACACATCTCGGTATAGCAACCAGATACCGTTTTGGTAAGGAAGCATCGGCTGGTTTGAAATATTTGGAGGAGAAACGATGTATCCATCGAGATATTGCTGCTAGAAATTGTCTTCTCACAGAACACCAAATGACAGTTCGTGCTTGTCCAAAAAAAGTGTAACGACAAGAATAAGCGAGAAAATTTAATTGTTATTGAATTACTTCTCCTTCTATTCTGGAATTTAAGAAGGAATTCTTCAAAATCTCCCTTTTCCTATTCATTATCCAGAAAGATTCTAACCACCTCTTCGCTCTAATATTTCCAATTAAACTTTCAAAGCCATATTACAGGAATTTTTATCATTCAGTTGAAAATATGTGATTTTGGATTATCGATCAAAGAACAGCAAGCCTCCAATTCCGAATTACAGTTGCCGACAAAATGGCTCTCACCGGAAGCAATCAAATCAATGCAATTTACTACTAAAAGTGATGTTTGGGCATTTGGTGTGTTGCTCTTCGAGATATTCACTGATGGCAGCGAACCATATCATGGTCATTTATTATTTAATTAGTCAATTATTAAGGAAAATTATTAGTGCCAATGCAAAATAGCGGAAATCCTATCAGTCATGATTATAAAAATGATAAGAATAAATCAAGAATTTCAATCAATCTGTGAAAGTTTGACATTTTTTTCAAAAACTCTCTAGATATTATTCTTTCATATAACATTTAGGATATTTCAAAAATGCATCTTTTCATTCTGCAAATCCTGATGTATTCCATGTTCCATGATGTTAACGTTAAATTTTTCCGAATTTTCAAGCTTAAAATTTATGAATTACGTAATTATTAGGTATGAGTAACGCAGAAGTGCGAGAAAAATTGACTAATGGTAGTATGTATCGAATGGAAATACCTCTTGAAATACCGCCGGGCATTGCGGAATTGATCAAGAAATGTTGGATGGAAGAACCCAAGCAAAGACCGACATTTAAGGAGATTAATCGGACACTTACCAAAATAGCATTTTTTTGAAAGCAATGGTCATTTCAATAATTAGTTGATATTAAATAATTAAGTCAAAAATGCATGCTATTCTGCATTACATCTCTTAATATGTGAAATGTCCCATTCCGTCTTTCGATGTTATACGTCTACTCAATCAAATTGATCTGAACGACTTTCTCCTTGCTCATTTATTTACTCCGTCGTTACCAATAGAAAGAAAAGCGCCTCCTTTTTTTCATCACATATCGCAAATGAACTGATATCATTATTATTCCCTATTTTTATTTAGGGCTATGACATGCTATTGACAGATATAAAACGAACAAAGCTTAGATTTAAATAAAGGAATTAATTATCATAACAAATGGATTATGGATTATGCATATAAGTTTTAGTCAAAGGTCAATCAATTACGGATTCGGAAGTTCAAGATGAAAACTTTAAATAATTCTTTGAATTTTTGCTCTGAATAAAAGTGACAACTCATGAAATACAGTTATAATAAAGTGATGATGGTAAACTTCGTACGAATTTCACTTTTTCGCTCTTTGGTAACGACAGTGACTGTAGAAATTTCAAGCTAACTGTGAAATAATATCATTATTTATCTAATGGTAAGTTAAGATAAATAATCAATAACTGATAAAAGGGAATGCAATTTGAGGACTTCCTAAGCCATTTCTAAGAAAATCGTTCTTGACTTTCAAGCTAATTGTGAAATAATATCATTATTTATTTAATGGTAAGTTGAGATGATTACTATATGTTAGAAGATGGTAGTCCTCAACAATCAATCTGATAATCTTGATCATTGATATAGTAGTTAAGGTGTTTCTGATGAATTTTCTCAATCTTCGAAAGTTCCTTGTTATATAAATACGAAAAAAATACGTGGCACATGAATTACCTTCTACAGTTATTTCACAGCTCCCGAACCATCTCACTGCAGGCACCCTTTCTGAACATTTAAAAAACTGCTCCAGAAATAATCAAGGAGAGATTTGGAAATTGCATTTTGACTAGAACGTCCGACCTGCCGGGAAGGCGTACGTAAGGCAGCGTGATATTAATCACGTTATGATTTGGGAGTGAATAATTACGCCAGGATTTGTGGATTACTTGCCATTTTAGGAATTGAGAAATAATGGATTATATAAACCTCTTTTTTCGAAATTGCACGTGTAGAGAACAAGTGTAAAATGGCGCGCTCCCTTTTTTGAAATTAATTTCTAATAGGAAATAAATAACTTTTAGATTTGCTTGCCACTTTAGATTTGATTTAGATCTATAAACAAAATGGATTTTCAACTGTTAGAAAAAGATATGTATGGCGATGTGGAGAACGATGAAGATCTTATGGCTGAATTGTTAGCTTTAGAGGCAGAAGAACGAGCTGCTGGACATATGTCTTCAGCATGTACGGAGAGAACGATCGAATGTAGCACACGTCAACCTGCTTTAGGTTTTATTTACAAATTCTGTCAACATTCTGTTAAACTTTTGTATGAGTTTATGAAGCATTCAATTTGACGTGGGAGCCGAATTAGAGGCTGAAAAAGAAAGGCTGTCAGAACAAAGCAAAATTTAAGCATTCGCTACTTTGATAAATAGCTCATTTTCGGTTTATAGTCTTGCTCTTTCCGAGGAATCAGATTATCAAACGGTGTAAAGAATATGCAGTTTTTGTGAACGGTCCTATTATTTATAGTAAAAACAATGCTAAACTTAGATCATCATAAATCAGCTGAACAAGCTTCACAGCGAACAAGTGGCGCATATGGCATTTCAAGTATATCGGATATATCAGATGATGATTTGAATGGTAGTGATGAGGAAGATGTGAACGATGCAGAACTTTTGGTATGTATCAAAACTTTTTTGGTTGTCAGCAGTTCACAGGAACTGAAGGATTCTTTCAAGGATACTTTCATCTGATTTTAACATTGTTCGACTTTGGATCTTTATTTATTTTGATTATTATCCTCTATTACTGTCAATCTAAGTTTGATTAAGTTATTTGACGATACATTAAATGATTTAAGGCAGAACTATCTGATTTGGTTGGACAGGAAAGTGGTGCTGCTTGTGAGATTGGACCACCCGCATCTTCGGAACCGTCTATTCCTTTAAGATCATTATGTCAGTCTGCTGTTGACATGTCATTACTTCGGAAATTACAAGAACTTAAGGAGGAATATACTTCAGCACTGGAAGCTGCAAAAGAGAAAAATGATGTATTGCGGGCTAAGAGGTATAGCTGTGTTACCATTTTTCTTTTTACACGTTTACCAGTCAACAATAGCATTTTCTACTGTATTCTTCAAGATTACTGCTTATTCAACAAGTAAAAAATTTTTCTTTTTGAGGTGTTACACTTCTATTATAGTTACTGCATCTTTGGTATTTAGGTAAGAGTTACGAATTTTAAAGGCTTTGAAATATTGCACAACAATATCATTTCCTTACCTAGGTACCAAAGAGGATTTAGCAAGATCGAAGAATTAATACAAAAGGTGCAAGCAGGAAAAATGATAAATGAAAATGATATTCCGGTTCCAGTTAAAGGAATTCGTTCTACAGCGGAAGCTGGCGCTTCAGTCATTTCCAAAACAGAGGTGGTTTTTTATCAAGAAATTTTTGAGGCTTTTGTTTGAACACTTAGCACATTTCGAAAGTAGCTAAAATCTTAAAGGTTTGTCTAGAGAACGCAATACCAATATAACAATTCATTCATTCTAAAGAGTTTTTGGAATTGGAAATCTCCCGATATATTACAATATATTTTGCGTGTACCATTTCTATCAGCATAGACACACTTGAGCAGTTCGGGTGATAAAATTTAACTTTAAATGTAAATCTACTGCAGTGTTTTGTTTTTGAAGATATCTACAGAGCCAGTATTGCGAGCTGAAACAAAGCAAGCGGCTGTGGAAGAAATCAGTGAACTCTCTGGTACTTATCGAAAACCAGTTAAGAACTTGCTGAGAGGGGAACAACTAAGCATAGAATTAGCAAGTCGTCGAGAATCCTATATCAAGAATGCTAAAGCAGCTAGTGCATGTTAGTTAATTTTAGGGAGGTTTTGTTTTTAATATATCGAAAATTTATTGGATAACAAATCTCGTGTATTTTATGATTTGCAATAAAGTTTTTTATTGTAGTGTGTGACAAGAAAAAAGCTTATGAATATTACATGGTTGCGAAGCAGTTTGATGAAGCAATTAAAGCTGTGAATGATGGGCGAGTGACGGAATGTGAGGAGAATGAACTTCCACCTCCAGCCGTACCCTACAGATCAATTAAGGTTAATTTATTTGCAAATATTCCCTTCAAAGCATTATAACTAATTTTACTTTTTCAACTAGCTTAATTTTTGGTAACTTACTTGCTATTCTCAGAGTTTTATATCTAATTTAACCTGTCATAGTTATTCATATGGATAAATTCACGTTATACCACCTGCGAGAAATTTATGATGAGATCCAAAAGATTATGATGTTTTTAATGTTTATAATACTAATTTGAGGGCTGGTGTGAGAACTAAAATTAAGAGACATTTCTGTCTTTTAATGTGGTTGTATCTTATATAGTGCAAAAGCTTTAGCGACATATTGGACACTGAAGTGCATGGTGTTATTTTGTTTCTTTCCATTAAGCACCGATTAACATGAAATAAAAAGTATGGAATTGTTACAGCATAATGAAATCCCTTCTCCTCCAAAGACGCTACTAGATGGATTGCAGCAACGTATGCAGAAATATAAAACTTTATGTGATCAAAGTCGAGCGGAAAACAATGATCGGAAGTACAGGTGTATTGTTAATGAATTTTAGCTAGTTAAATTTTTTCATATCCTTTTGAGACAAGGATTATTGTAGCGATCTTGGCATTAAATAACGCCAGTTTTTGTTCTCGCTCACTTATCATTTTACTTTAATTAATTTACTTTTAACCAGCTGGATTTGCAGAATGAATGCTCGTATTTTGAAGCGATATGAAGATGCACTTAAAGCGTGTCGTTCAAATAGACCAGTTGATATAAGTGAATTGCCGTGCCCTCCTGGATATCCACCTCTTCCTCCAACAGGAAGTATGACTGCTACTACCACAAGTAAATTTCCTGTATATTTTTCCTCTATATTCATACGGTTTAGTTTTGTTTATTTTTATGAAGTTAAATATATATTCATATATTAAATGAAATTTTAGATGGAATAGTGATATCTCGAAGAGCTCTACCTGAAGTTAGCCCATTTGCTGCACCTGAACTATCAATATCAGGAAGGCAGTCACGCCAGAAACAACAACTTGATTTTTTACTCAAGCGACAACTGCAATTCAAGGAAGTTGCTATTGCTGCAAAGAAGAAGGGTGACATAACTGCTGCCAAGAAGTTTTTGCTTGCTGCAAAGGTTTTTTTCGCATTCTAGTCTAAAGCTTGCAAGTTAGAAATTTTACTTCTCGATAACATCGAAGTGTACCTCTAATACCAGAGTTGCAATAGAAGTCAAATCCTAAGTGTTTTAGAAATTTTTACTTCATGTATACATACATATTTTAGGTACGTTAAATAGAACTGAATATTCCGTATTAAATCTTTAACTGTTGCTTAATTGTATTCGTCTTTAGGGTTTTGATAGAATGATTGCTGCCTCCAGAAATGGTCTGTCTGTCAATATTGAGAAAACACCAGTGCCACCACAAGTTCGCGCATGTGCAAAGACGCTTAAACCATCACTGGAGCATCATACAAGTTTTGATGCTGCTATTAAAGGTAGGTTGAATCGGATTTCAATTTTAGTTCCAATTAAGATTTTAATTTTTTCTTGCATTTCATATGAATATGATTTCTGAATATATTCAATGCAGATGTCCATCTACTGCAGGAACACCTACTGAAATATTTGCCACAATGGAAAGAGATCTTATTTATCAAGTAAAACTTTGTGAAGAATGTAGACTTGCTTTTACACAGTTAGTTTTTGTTTAGCTTTTCCTTAAAATGTTTGGTCTTTATCGTAGTTAAATTTATGTTCTGCAGGTTAGTAGCCATACGGTAATATTCTCATTTTAACCAATAGGAATAATTTAAGCTGGTATTGACTTTGTATCTTCAGCGACGAATTTTCTATATACCACTGGAAAGTTCACAGTCAATTATGCTGCTGTGATTTTTTTTCTTAGGTTGGGTGATGTAACTCGGGTAAAGATGTTCGAAACCTTGTCCGCCATTTCAAAAAGGGACTTAATACTTCTACGCGAACTTGCCAAAAGGGGTGCAGCAGTGCCACAGTAATGAATTTTTAATTTTTTTGCAGATACTAAATTTCTTCTTTGATTTCATTTCGATGTCATTTTCGTCAAAAATCGTTTTCTCATTTTACGAGTTTTATCAGCTATTTCAAGTTTTAATTTACTTCACTTTTTTTTCAGGTTCCGGTACGAAACTCGAGATATACCCTTGGTAGAAGTATGCTTTGAAGTAGATGAAAATCACATCGAATTGACAATAATAAAAGTAACCGAAGCAAAATTACCAGCAGGTTCTTTTTCATACAGTGCTATATTCTATTTGAATGGTTGTAAAGAAAATACTTTTAAAAGTATGCAGATAGTGAAATTTGTTGTATCAAATCATGCTGTCATATGTGTTTTTTCCAGCAGTATTCTCTGCTCTTATATTTTTTCATGTTAAAATGAATTTTGAGTAAAGTGATATTTATAGTTCCTGCTGAAATGGGATACTTTTTCTCCTTCCGATGCTAGTCATCTGAATTGCTCGAAAATCAACTTCACCTGTGCATTACAGTACTATCCATTATGATATTTCTAAGAAAATTTTCATGCTGATTTGCAAGTTTTGCTGGAAGTTAAAAGAGAAGTGTTATAGGTTGGAAATCGTCTGACGGTTATTTGTTTGTAAAATATAATTTTGCATTTCCCCACGACGCTCATCAAACTGGTAAAACTAAAGTTATAGCTTCCACGAATTCGCCAGGTATTCGTCATTTATTTTTCTTCACTTACAAATTCTGAAAAAGTGATTGCTGTAGGTATTTATTTTTTTACCATCAAATGTAAGTTGGAGCATAATGAAATATTTATGAGTTAATTATACTCGACAGAGTGTACCTCTCAAAGATTACCCCAACAACAAATTAACCCATCGAAAAATAGGTAAGCAATCTGATTATAGGTAGAAAATATCTTTTTTATTTGGTTTCTTATCATCTTTTTAAAATATTATTAGCAATGCAATATGTCATTTTCTCAGCTTTCTAAGCGTTTTGGAATTATTCACACGCTCCTCATCTTTGCTGATAACCGAACAGTAGGGATAGCTATTGTTATTTTTTGAAAAATAAGACAAGAGGAAAAAAAGATAAGAAGACTAAAGAAATAGAAAGAAAAGAAAAATATGAAACAAAAGAAAAGGAATTTATTGCTATTGCTAAAATGCACTATTGTTTGCTTTATTACGATTGATTCTGTTATCAGCTTATTTTCTACATTCTTTGTCATCATAACAAATCTTTATTTAGATGTGCATTTTATGTCTGGTTATTTCTAGAATACAATCAGAAATTCCTCCTAACAATCAATCGGAAAACGAAGCAATTGCAAAGAGTCATTAAAAGAAACTGCTTAAAATTTGAGGTTGTTTGGAAATGAAATTATTACTCATACTGATATTTTCGATTATATGGACAAATGGACTTCCTCGCCTATTTCATCAACCGCATAATCTCATCAAAAGAGAAACGGTCTGAATAGCAAAAGATGTCGGGAATAAAACAGTCTGAGTTTTCTAACTTGCATATCATGGAAGTAAAACTATTGTTCTAGGCTCCCCATGTTGATGGCAATTTAATATACAACTAGAGGAACTTGTTTTCTTGCTCTCGCAGCTGTTTTTTTCAGATTTACCAAAAGGGTGGTTTTCTAAGAAGTGACAAATTGATCGCTACTGCCGATTGTAAATTGATTGATTTGGAAGAAAAAGTACACATTAATGAAAGTGTAGATCTAATGGAAGGCAGAAAACAAACAGGAGGGAAATTGAATTACCAGGTTATTCCTTATTTTTTTCATCAGTTTGATCTTTTCGTATGTTTGTAGACAAGCAGAAAGCAAAGTGGAATTGCTCATTCTTTTAAAGATTTTTTTGCATCATTTTTTTCAGATTGAATTTAATTAAGTTGTTTATTTCTTAGCATAATTTCAGTTACGTATTCGCGAGCCTTTGAATGGAAAAAAGCTTTCAATTACGCAAAAAAAGTGGTTGATATTGGAACTTTGAGCTTTTCACGGCCGCATATCCTTTTTAATACAATTAATAAATTTTATAAGGTTACATTTCAAAATTTGCGGGTTTAGTCTTTATTGTGTATGACTTTTATGAGAAGTATTTTAATGAATTAATTGTAAGTACTTTATCATCTTATCCTATTCTCTTATTGGTATACGCAGCAGTAATCTTTTGTTATTCTAAAGAGATTTGATGTGCGACCGATTAATTTAGGCACATCTAATTTTGTATGGTCTACTGTTTTGCCGTCTGCAATTTTCCAGTTTTTTTGAATGAAATATTCTTAAAGTAATCTCTTTAAAATAACAAAAAAGCTAATAAACATAATTATTATTCAGAAGTGAGGGTTAATCTGAGGAATTAAAAAATGCAAATAGATAAGGTTCTAAATCCAAATAATTATGTTTATTCACGTTGTCTTCCATCTCTTTTCATCTAGCGCAGAGATTGGATCAGTGGAATGTTACAGCTTACTTTCGTTCCTTTGTCTTTGCTGTTACTGTTTATTTGTAAATATTTTTTACATTACATTATTTAGTACGGGTTCCATTCCTTTGCTGAATTCTAGGGCCATTAGAAGGGAAAAAACGGATCAATGCCAGAGAATATTCCTTGCGAATTAAGGGACTAGTGCCTGAAAACGATGGTTAGCATCCTTGATGGCTTGTTACACAGATATTTTTGAAAACGAGACTCGTATGTTTTAAATTTTAAGGGGGAATTTTTTGAATTTTTCAAGAAATCCTTTTATTTATTCTGTCTTTTAATAATTATAGCAAGAGGGAGATCATGGGACACCAACATAACTTCGAATCTTCTGTTACGAACTTAAATAGATGTTCGAAATTAACGAGAAGTTCACAATAAATGGCTAGCAACATAACATATCAAACTTCTACAATAAAATTCCTTCTACTTTAGCTTAATTCATGTCTTTCATTTGACAATTTGATTATTTATCGGCATTGATGGAAATAAATTTGTCAGTTGGAAATATGCATCTTAAAAGCATGGAGAGTTTTGCCTTTATGCGTTTACTATCATTAAGTATTCGTAGTTGACCACAAATATTTGGAAAATATTGCTTTTTTTTCATTACTTTAGAGGCAATCTGCATTTTCCCATGAAATTGCGTTTGTCAGTTGTCGGGTATATATTTTTGGAATAGTACCAAAAAACTCCGTCGTAGCACATTTCGGTGGGATAATTAAATAAAGGCAGCTTAGTGCGGGCCTGTTTCAGAAGATATTGTGAAGTACAAATGGTGTCACTAAGGATATCTTAGTCGTTAGCTATCGCAATTAGTTTTACTCTGGCTTATAATATCAAAGCTTTATTTTCTGTATGCATAAAGTCTTGGTGATTTCGGTATTAGGTTGTAGTGAACTATATGCAATTTTATTAACTAAATTATCCATTGGCCGGAGCAAGGACCTCTTAACATAGTTAATTACGGAATGAATAAAAACATAGCTTTGATGTTATTAGCATTCAATGAATTAATGAAAAACAAAACTTACGTTTTCAAGATTTATTATGAACCTATACATTCTTGCTATCTGTTTCATGTCAATGTGATCCATGTTAGCTTTTGATAGTTTATTTGTCAGAAGGTTGAACTTTATCGGAGCGTAATTGTATATGAAAGCGATATCAACTAAACAGTATTAAGCTATGATGGAACTACACCTTCGTAAGAGGAAAGTTTTGTAGCATTATACGGGTGTGGTACGTAGGGAAAAGCAATGATTTGATGTGCACAAAATGATTTACTGAATTTATGGTGTTGATATAATTGTTCATAGTTCCTTCCAGAAATTTTGAGTAAATTGAGTTTCGATTGATTCACTTCTTATTATCTCTAAAAGCGATATTTCATTTAAGGTACTTTAATATAGATCTAAATTGCATAATTTAACTTTTTTGTTTTCATAATCTTGGAATTCAATTTGTTTATCTGGCAAATTGTCCAGTGATGTTGTTTTCATATGAATGAAAATGCTACGATTTGAAAAATTTAGTTTAGGAGGTTTTCATCTGGATGTATGCTTTAAGGCATTATAAGGATACTGAAATTTTCTTATCCGCACTGATAGTAATCATGCAATATAAATGTTTGATATGGTTGATTTTGACATTTTACTATGATTTTGAAATTATAATCCAGTTTTTACTTGACAACCACTACTTTTATTAGTGGTAAAAGCTGAAAATATCTGTTTCTCAATGAGGTGATGATACAACATTCGGAAAATGACAAATGATATAATTGATATAATTTCTGTTCAGATCTGTTATCTGAGCATCTTCAAAGCAAGTCTCACAGAAATAACATATATTGCCTAAATTAAAATCGGTAGTTAAAAGACGATAATATTAGTAAGGTAAGAGTAAACTGAATTGTCAAAGAAGTTAATTGTTCAGTCGAGTTAGCTATCAAAATGAAGCATGTAATTAAGTATAAGTATAAGCTAGAAATATTTGTTTTAGAGAACCTATATGCAGAAACATTTAATCAATCAATACAATAATCCTTTCACTATGTAGGTTGAATTCTTGAAACGTAGGGCATAAGCAGGGTAAAAGTTCCTAAATGCCTAAATTCTAGAGTATTATATTACAAGTAAAACAGAAGATGATCTGACACATCATTTAATGTATGTAATGCTTATAATATAAAATTATACATCAATCGCATATAATTCTTTGCTGAAATGCTAGCAACAACAAACGTTTTGCTTCCTAAAATATTCGGCACTTCAAATAATAAATTTCGGAATTGTGCTATCATTTGTTTTATCAATAGTTTCAACTTAAAACAAGGAATTAATCACATTGTTAGTTGTAATAAATATTTTCCCAACAGACAAATTATGTTACATTTTTTACCAACCAGCAAATAAAATTAAACAGAAAACGAATTAGAGGGGAGAAATGAAACAAACTGATTATTGGATATCATCAGATTAAACGGCGAACTTATCATCAAGTTAAAGTGCAATTTCGCGAAGGATTACGTCAGTGATGCTAATTGCAGGAAGGTGCTCAATCAGTGGAATATGTTTTATCTAACACAAAAAATGTGACACTTCATAATGGAACTTAGTAAGTACTAGAAAGTTGTGCAGACTGTATGAAATAGTTTAGACAACTTCTGCTAATGTAATAAGGGTTGGTAATCTTAGCGACCTTGTATTATTATCATAAATATTCATCAAGAGATATCACTATCTCTCCATTTACGAGTCTCTCCCATCCCAACTTCAGCTCCATTCTAATATAGAACCTTAATATCTAAATTCATCTTCATTACCAGAAAGATTTCTTTCTGGTAATGACAAACATTCTTCCTAGGTTGCCGGGAGTGTAAAGTTCAACTAACTTTGCTATCTGTGAAATGAGCTCAACTTATTTAGTGTTTCAAAATGATATAATTCTTATTTTCCAATTACACCCCTCTATCCATCTTCCCTTCCCTCTAAATTCCATAACAAGCAAATGGAACACGAAATTTCACCAGCACTATCGCTCGCAAGGATTTGACATGCGAATTCAAATTTCTTTCGCGGGAGAAGGAGGGAAGTGGTTTAGGATAGTGACTCGGGTATGTTGGGCTATAATGTCTAGCATTGGACCGCAAGTGGACGAAACGGGTTGAGTTGAGTGTGAAAGTTAAAATTAAAGTATATTATAATAGTTTCTATGAATTAAATTTTATCTAGACAAAGAAGGAAAAATCAACATCTCTAAATGTCTGGGAATTCTTCACATTCACATTCTACTCGTTCGCGTCGTCACTTTCGTTCCACCACTTCTGAAAGTCCCCCGAGTTCATATCAAACAGTTTCTGAAGCTTCTAACGATTCGACGAGAACTTCACGACATACGACTGCAAGAAATACATCTGGAAGTAATTCACACCAAGCTGCCCAACAACTGTCGTCACCACAAGACCAAGAGATCGGTAATTTTGCGAAATTTTTAGAAATGCAATCAATAAGTCATATTTACGATGTGCTTCGTGATACTAACATTAGACTTAAATGTTTAAAAATTTTAGCAAATTTTAAAGGTGGATTTATTACTCTCGTCAGCTTCTTTCCCTGTCCGTTCAATGGAGTTTCTCAGTAGGGGTTGTTTTGCTGTTGCTTCCATCACTATGGCGGCTATTCATGCTGGTTATTTTATGCTTAAAATATGATTTTGTATGTGTAGTAGAAGGAAGAAACATCCAAAATACAGAGCAAGAAACAGTCCATTTCGATCAGAATGAGCGTCATTCACCAACACGATCACAACTAACTGGTAAGCGATACTTTTTTGATGTTCGCTATCAAAGTTTATTATTTTCATCAATTTCTACAATTAGTTTAAATAGTAGTGAATTTAAAATATTTAATTTATATGAAATGAAATTAAAAAAGAAATTTTGTCCTTGCTCTGGAAGAGCATGCGAATACTTCTATCGATGATCTAGTTTAAACTAATAGATGATGAGTATTGGAACTTATTTGATCGCTTGACCTTGATTAAAGGAGAGCCCTAAGCAAAGCAATCAGAGCATGTTCGGTAGAACATCAAGTAACATTTTCATTGTTTGGCATTGAAGCATCCGAATATTTGTAATGTGTCATATATATGGCTATCTTTTTCTATTTCAAGAATCAAGTGCACTTCATTATGGTTCTGACCTGGACACATCAAGTCAGGTGGGTAGTACGATGTCATGGCAGCGAACAGTGCGACATATGCGACCCGATATTAATTGTGCTCCATCTCAGCATCGTACTGTTTGCATCGATAGTATGGAGGCTAGTTTTTTTTCAGAAAAAAAAACTGTGTTTTACTACGCTTACCTTTTTTTGCTACTATTAAAGTTCATTTTTCTCTTTAGGACGATCTCTCAAATGATTTGGAACTTGGCCCAAAGCTCTACATTTGGGGAACGCGTATCTGTGTTTTTGATGTACAGCGCGCATTTCGCACTTTCGTCAATGAATTTAGACCGACAAATGTTTCAGATGATGAAAATATAATGACGCTTCCATCGAATGTGCGAATGGGTAGGTTGAAACGAGTTCATAATGATAGTAGGAGAATTTCATTACTGAGATCGGAAAAGGATCAAATGCACAAATTTATATGAATGACATGGAATTTTTCTAACTGTATGATGCAAATGGTAATAATAGTAATTCTTTCAAAATAGAAGGGCTCTTATTTTCACAAATAAATTTTTTGATCTATAATATAATTTTTTTTTGTGATCTGTATAGTATAACATTTCCAGCACTGACTTTAAATAAATAAAATTGACTAAAGAGGCGATGCAACATTTACAAAAGGCAGGCACAAAGTTGATTTATTTGCAGAAATCGATTTGGAACGTCCATACTATTTGGAACGCTTGTATGAAATTGATCAGAGTGAGAATATAGCTTTCAATTTGAATTTGCAACATGCTAGACTATTCAATGAAGCACTTTATCGAAAAATTGTGTGTTACCCATCAGTAAGCAAGTTTGAACTTACTGCTTTTATATCTATATCAGTTTGTAACAATGGTTTTTCTGTGAAAATAAATTCGTTGCTATGAATAAAGGTGACAGCAATAAGTCGTAATCTAAGTTGTTATGATATGATGTAGTCTTATATATCAAGCGATAATCTACACGCTAGTAACATCATCAATTCTAATGCATCTATTTTGTTTCTGAAAATTCTTTCATATTTCACATCTATTTTAAGTTTGTAAAATCATTTAAGGACATTATACCGTATCTTGATCTAACGATAAACGAAATATTTTCCGAGAAATATCAAAAGGTATTATATGCTCCTATTGAAGTTCGGCCATTTAATGCACAGAAAACACGTAACATGCGTGCACTCAATCCACAGGATATCGATCAGTTAATCACCATTAGTGGTATGGTTATACGAACCTCACCACTGATCCCTGAGATGAGACAAGCATATTTCCAGTGCACTGTTTGCAACTTTCCGGTAATTTCTATTTGAATTGCAATTGAAATTAAGACTACTTGAAAGCTTCTATTCATTTTTTGACAATGTCAAACTTGGCTCACAACTTCTAAGTTTTGAAGGAGAAAAAAAAGCAAAAGTTTTCATATTTTAAAGATCTTTAATATTTCCCTTGATTTTTTTCTGAGAGGTATTTTCAGATTGATGTTGAAGTAGATCGTGGTCGAATTGAAGAACCAGCTGTATGTCACAACTGTCAGTCGAAATATTCCTTCCAGCTTGTCCACAATCGTTCACTTTTTATGGATAAACAAGTAATTAAACTGCAAGAGTCTCCAGGTACACTGCAGGATTAAAATCCATGAATTTTCCTTTGTGGATTATTGGCTTACACAGGTTTTCAAACTGCTTGGATTGTATACGGAGCAGTTTTTCTTTTTTAAAGTGAATACCTTTTTATAGTCTCTCATAAGAACACTGTACTGATTAATTAAGCAGTTTTCATTTTATAATTTTATTTTTTTCTGTCTTAAAATTCGATTTTGAAAATTTGGTAACAAATGAATTTATTTTTAGATGATATGCCTGCCGGTCAAACGCCACATACTGTAACGTTGCTTGCACACGGTGATATGGTGGAACGTGTTCAACCTGGTGATCGTGTAACTGTAACAGGAATTTACCGTGCCGTACCAGCACGTATAAATCCGCGCATACGAAACGTTAATTCCGTTTATCGTACCAGCATCGATGTATTACACTTTCGAAAGACTGATCAGAATCGCCTGCATCAAATCGATGACGGGTAGGCGATCATTTTCCAAAAATACAAAAGGAGATCTGGTAATCAAATTACAGATTCATATTCTGGATATTATTTGTCACTTATCAGAAAGCTTCTCAAATCATTATTTAAATACTATATTTCTGGACCTTTTTTTTCAGATCTCATTTAACAGATGAAAGAGTTTCCATGATTCTGAATTTGGCGAAACGAGCCGATATTGTTAATCGATTGACAAATGTTGTAGGTGAGAAAACTCATATTTTTGTTAATATCTTTTTGTATTTCTGCATCTTATGTTTTTTCTCAAATTAATAGAGCTTTCACTTAGCGGATTGTTAATATTTTATTTATAATATATCACGATTTAGTTTGGCTCTTATTATCAATGCCATCACATCTAATGTATAAAGCGCTTAAATCATTATGAAGAGTTGCTGTTCCCCCTTTTTCGTCCTTTATAAAAATTTAGAACTGTTCACTTAAGAAGCAAAATAAGAATGCCAACATGTATGAATGGCTACAAAGGCATTAAACGAACGAAGTAATCTTTTTGTCTGTTTTAAGAGTTTTCAACCAATATTGTTTTGAGCTCCTTCAATCTACGGTCATGATGATATTAAACGAGGTATTCTCTGTTTGTTGTTCGGTGGCACCAACAAGGAGGATAGAACAGGTAACAAAATTAAGCTACGAAGCGATATAAACATATTGCTATGCGGAGATCCTGGTACCAGTAAAAGTCAACTTTTACAAGTAAGTTTTATTGCAGAGTCATTAGGGATACGGTAATCTATAGTGATTTGTTAAACCGAGATATTAAGTTTTCTACCACTTCATAATTTTCCTTAACTCATATTAAATATGTTTTTCTTTTTTTATTGGAAGTACATCCGTCACACTTAAAATAGTAGATGAAATATAATATATGCGGTATAGTACAACGCGAATGGCAAATTTCAGTATGTGTATCGACTTGTACCGCGTGCACAATACACATCAGGAAAGGGATCTTCTGCAGTGGGGTTGACGGCATCTGTTACCCGTGATCCCGATACACGTCATCTCGTGTTACAAACTGGTATGCTAATGCATTAATACTGCAAAGCAAGAAGCAAAAAGGATAACAACTGAGGTTTATGTTTCAGGTGCACTTGTTCTGGCAGACAACGGGGTATGTTGTATAGACGAATTTGATAAAATGAATGATAGCACGCGTTCAGTTTTGCATGAAGTAAGTTAAAGTAACATATGCCAATAGTAGATTTATTTTTGAAGCTGTAAGAGAATTACATGTTATGTCATGCATTTTCTCTTTGCTTCGTATCTTACTCATTTATTTTTAAGCTGAACTTTTAGTTATTAATTGTAGAGGCTCAAGTCATCAGGCTATTTTTAAAAATTCGTTAATTACTATTTACTATTTACTATTTATTAATTATAGAGGTTCAAGTTATCAGGTTATTTTGAAATTCCTAAATGAGACGGGTAAGAATGGTGTGTAATTAAGTCATAATGATACAATCACCGTATATTTTTCTAACAAGTTATCAAGTTGTTCATTAATATCATCACTTTATAAAAGTATACTTCGAGTTTGTAGGTAATGGAACAGCAAACGCTTTCAATAGCAAAAGCTGGTATCATTTGTCAGTTAAATGCACGAACCTCAATTTTGGCTGCAGCAAATCCCATAGACTCACAATGGAACCGGAATAAGACCATCGTTGATAATATTCAGCTGCCTCATACTTTGCTCTCCAGGTCAATATACGCTTTATAGATTTTATAGTTAGAAATTTTCATTTCTTTTAAATGACATTTCAAAAAGTTTTCAGATTCGATTTGATTTTTCTTTTGGTTGATTCCCAAAATGAGTTGTATGATCGACGTCTGGCTAATCATTTAGTTTCATTGTACTACCGAGAAACCAACGATGATGGTACGTTTGTAAACGAATTTATTGAGGTTTGAATTTTCTAGATAACTAGGTTGCGTTAGTGCTATTCATTAGAAATCTAACTGTACAAGGGAATTGGTTACTTATGAATGTTTTGAAAAAAGATTGTAATTGAGTGATGGTTTAATACTGTTAAATGGAGTAAAGCACGTGAAATTTTAGAAATTGTGCAAATGCATTTGAACATTTCAGATTGTGAGCTGCTGGATTTAGCTCTTCTGCGTGATTACATCGGATATGCTCGATCTTATGTTAATCCACTATTGGATGAAGCATCTTCTCGATGCCTTATTGATAAATATCTCCAAATGCGGAAAGCTGGATCTGGTTTCGGACAAGTAAAAATATTTGAATTTTCTTGTAGTGTCGACTCAATTCGAATTTTTGTAATATCATCCATCATTTAAATGAAGTCAATGAAAGACTGATGTTGATTTATTGCAATTTGTAGGTTTCCGCTTATCCACGACAGCTGGAGTCACTAATCCGTTTGGCAGAAGCCCATGCAAAGATAAGATTGAGTAGTATGGTGTCAGTACAAGATGTTGAAGATGCATACAGGCGAGTAGAATTTCTCGTATTGTTTTGATTAGTTTAATGAAAGTACTGTTTTTTTTCATTCGTCATATAACACAAATGCATTCTTTTAAACTTCAAAAAATGAATTTTACATTATTTTTAATTTGGAATGAATTTTTGGTTTCTGATTTAAGTATAAGTTTTCGAAATTTAACTTTCTGTTTTCAACCTTCACACGTTTCAGTTTACATCGCGAAGCCCTCAAGCAGTCAGCAGTGGATCCATCTACCGGTCGGGTTGACATCAACATTTTAGCTGCTGGAATTACCACAACAACTAAGCAAATCATCGATCAGCTGGCTGAAGCAATTCGTAGCGAACTTTTACAGCGACGTGGAATTTTGGTTTCGCTAAAACAATTAATGCAACGGTTGCGTCAGAACGACCTGGTTGACTTTAGAAATTTCGGTTTTTATGGTTTCTGAATTTTCAGATCTGGAGATAATTTTATGCAGTTTTGAAAGAAGAGAACTAAAAAACTGATTGATAAATGATTGTGCCATATTTATAAAGGAAGTACATTTCAAAATTTAGCAGTCTGTGGATTTAGAGTCAATTCGTAACTAGATTTTTCCAGAAAATTGCTTTTGAAATGTTTAGATTTGTACTTTATCAATACTGCTTCATTTTTTACGACCTGCTAACTCGCTATTGTTTTTCAGTCTTTCACAAGAGAAATATTCGATGAGGCGATCAACAACTTGGTGAAAAACGAACTGTTGGTTCGAACTGGTGACAAAATACGATATGTTGCAGCGACCTGATATCCATTCTGTTATCTTTTGAGGGCTGACAGAACAGACAACTCCGAGTTGTTCCTATAAGTCAAGTGGAAAATTTAAGCATTTAAACTGTTTGATAGAGTCTCATATCTTTGTCTTTTTGGATAAACGTTTGCTGTTCAATCCTACGTCAATCAAAATCAAGCAGCTTTTTTTATATGATTGACTTCTTGTATTTGCTAAATATCAAACTACGTAATATGCTTTTGAATAAGAGATATGTATCCAAACAAATTTATAATTCTATCTACCTAAAAATAGGGGATCTGGTAACTGATTTTGGAAATTATTTAATCATCCCCATCAACATTTATTTGAATGACCTGTCGCGTATATTTCATTAATTGGTACTGAAGTAGCGAAGGGATTGAATAACAATTACATTGATTATGCCATCATTTTCCTAATACTATTTATCTAACATATTTTTATTTTTTATTTGACATTTTTAATTAATGCTAAAAACTAAAACGCTATAAATGAAATGTGCACATATATTTTCTGTTGCTGTTTGTCTTTATGAATTGTTCACTATTTCAGTCATTCACAAGATTTGATTTTGGCATCCCAACTGTGCCTTATGTTTTATAAATAGATAATTTCACTGCCTAACATAATGTAATACACCACTAAATACCACTTCTTATGGATTTCTTAATGGATTTAAACGTGTTTTGAGGGTAACCTTAGCATACTAGTACTGAAGTGAACTTGCTGGTATTTGTTCGTAGCTATCAAAACCTCTACTAAACTTAAATGTGAAGTTCAGGACTTCACGTCTATTCAGTATTAATACATAGCATCAGTCAACAAACTCAGGCGGAGCAAAATTTAGTCATGTTTAAATTTTCGGGATTTTAATAAGATCTTTGAGGAGTAATGAAAAAACCTTGTTTGGTAGTGTTAGGAGGTGAAAGTAGTTTTACTAACACTTATAATTTGCTTTGAATTATATTTCACTTTCGAGAGTCCGTTTAATGTGCAATAAAAGCTGTTGGAATTTTGATAAGAGTCGCATTTATCATAACAATTTGGATTCAATTTATGTGCAAACAAGACACAATTGCATATTGCAATACGCCTTGGGGCAACTGCAGCAATACCACCGTAAATAAGCAATGATTTCATCGATAGCTCATCATCTCCATCAACATTTATTTGAAAGAAAATGCTAATTAAACAAGGAAAACAGATCCCCGTTCTGCGACCGTTTGACGACTTAATTTCCAATTTCCAATTCAAATGTTCGTCTCCTTCTGCTATCCTTCCTGTGTACTTTTTCGTTTCTCGATGGGATAGGGGCTGTAGTTGCTTACTATTTGTTTGCTGCGGTCATACTTTAAAATTCATTTCAATAAAGTGATTTATCTTGTATGCATTATTTCCAAGCAGAGTAGGTGATTTCCAGATAGAGTAGCTTGAATTATTTCCAGACAGAGTAGGTGAATAAGTTTTTTTTTGACTACGAAATTAGAAGGATTTAATTGAGGTTGCGTGTATTTTCATTTGGATACTTTCTTAGATGTTTTATAAATTTGTCAAATATTTGACGTTTTGATATATAATAGTCAAATTAAAGAATTTTTATTTCATATAGTCATTGAGAAATTTGTAAAAAAAGGAACTTCTTTTTTTCTAAAGAGGGGCTTTTTCATTCCCATTTCAGAAATTCTGGAGTGTGTGGAGGATTTTAGGTGAATGCAGCTATTTTGTGGTAACAATTTGGAATTCTCGTATAGTTGTGTCCTACCACTACTGTTGTTATCCGTTGTGAAGTCAGATCGAGAACATGTGGAGCATGGTTTCAGTGGGAAGTTTAAAAAGGAACATGGTGCTGAAGGCGATCAACATGACGTCCATGCTGATCATAAAGTTGTTATAGGTCCGTGTGTCCATGAACTTCATTGTTTTCCCATATTATTGCTGATTTAAATACGTGTGAAATAATATTTCATTCACTGATGGACTGTTATCTAATGGATTTATCATAACGAAACTAATTTTTACTTTGTGGTCCAATTGAGTTGTCGTTTAGTTCTATAATAATTCACTCTAAAACCGTGTGTTAATACATATTCATTCTTCAGGGGATTAAGGCTATCAGTATGTTTCTTACGCAGGTGCAATATATAACTAAGTGCTTACGAGTTCTGTGTAGGGAACTTTATTGGCATAATAATATCCATCCTTCATTTTTTCCTTATAAATGCTTAGGTTTTTTAGAGCTGATAGAGTTTGGTCTTTTTATTATTGGTTTAGGCTCTCGAAAAGAAGCCGAAATATTTGATGATTTGAGTCCTGAAGAAGCAAAACGACGGCTGGCAATTTTAGCCAAGAAAATGGATAGAGATGATGATGGATACGTAACCCGTGAGGAGCTAGAAGAAGTGATCAAGAAGTACGTGGTCTTTTTGATTATACACCTTAAAAATTTGTGCAAAGAATGACTAATTTCTGTTTTGAAGAAATAGTTGCAATATAACATTATTGCAGTTTTCTTTTACCTATTATTTCCTCGTTTTATTTTTTTATAATAATAAACGGGGATAAAGATGTAATGTAATGGCAGATTTCTTTAAAGAAATTTGCTTGAGGAACATGATTGCGCTGGATTTGGAGGAATCAAATGATCGATTCCAAGAGATGGATATAAACCAAGACAGTTTGGTAACATGGGATGAGTATGTGCAGGAATCATTTGGCGATATCGACCCGGAGAATGAAGTTAATCTGTTTCATCAATTTTTCAAAAATTTCTGCAAATTAAAGAGAGTCTTCAAGAGAAATTTATATTTAAATGAATATTTCATATAGAAATAAAACGACTTCAACGCTTGATCTTTCTGCAGCTCTCTTTGCGTAGATTATTCTTTTAAATGTATTGAGCTGCTCTATAGATCAACCGATTGAAAATATGTTATTTTTTAAGATGACGTTTTAAGCTCAAGCTATCGTTTTCAACGCTAAGAAGAAAAGTAGGATTGTGTACTGAAAGTTAGTTTATCTGTATTTTAAAATATGTGTAAGAAGATACAGTAAATTTTAATTATTTGAATACTGAAGTAGTCCACTTCTTAGAAAATTATTTATGATATCATCATTATATTATGTTGCCTTGTACACACGATGTAGCCACTCCTTACTTGTTATGCTGGAATCCCTCATTTCTCTCTAACTTTTTCTCTAACAAATTTTCTCTAACTTTCATATTCTATTTCTTTGAGAACCTATCGAGTAATCTACTTTTTGTTGATGTCACTCCATTATTTTGTTTGTCTCAGTTTACTTTCCACGGCTTTTATAGTTTGTCCGCACTAAGTCTATGAAGAAAACTACAATATTTATATGATCAACTGGGAAAAAGCATATTTTTCCACTTCAACATTTTCTCTTCAGAAATAATCTTTATATCATTAAATACATCTTTAACGTTCAGATGTTAGATGCAGACGACAAACGTTTATTAGAGGATGATCGAAGATTTTTCTTCACGGCAGACCAAGATAAAGATGAGAAGTTATCCAGCGCAGAATTTCATGCTTTCCAAAACCCTGAATCCTTTCGACATATGCATACAGCTTTAATTGAGGTAATATTTAACAGAGGTTTTTTTCAGAATTTCATTTTCAAAATGCTTAGCAGGAGATCCTATCGTTTATATATGCGTCTCATCGAACGATTGATGCTAATGTCAATTCATTCATATAACATCGTCGGACAGCTTAGAAGTTTTTTAGATAGTAGCCCTTAAGCTGAAATCATCGTAGTATTTGCAGTTTTGAGATATGAAGTTTAAGGTCACTATGAGGGAAAAAGATAAAAACCAGGATGGAAAAATTACACTGGATGAGTTTTTGGATGATCTAGCGGGAGATCACAAATCAGATTGGTACATGGTGGAAAAGAATCGTTTTGAACATGATTATGATAAAGATGGAAATGGTGTTCTTGAGGGCTCAGAAATTGCTTCTTGGCTTGTTATGAGTTTGGAAACAACTGCAGCTGAGGTTTGTATTATATCATTTTTATCCATTCATTCAAATTTGGATTTTTGAATTTCGTTGATATTCATAAGCTCAACTGAATTGCCTAATCAGCTTCAGTAAAATATGAGATTTTGGAATTTTGGGTTTTTGATGAAAGAAAATTTAGTCTAAAATTAAATAAGTTGTTAGAAAGAAAGGAAAAAAAATCATCTTTTTATTTCAACACGTAGATAATAATCTTTGTTACTTAAATATGCTGATGTCAAGTAGGATTCCCTAATTATTCTTGATTCATAAGCAGCAACATTTCGTATGCAGGAAGTAGAACATTTAATGTCGAAGGCAGATAAAGATAATGATCGACGCTTGTCCATTGATGAAATTATAAGTGAATCGGATCTGTTCGTCGGTTCCGAAGCAACAAATCATGGCGAAAATTTGGTTGATCTATCGCATGATGAGTTGTAAATGGTGAAGCAGTAATAATTGTTGTCGCTCTCACTGTATATTTATATTCCGCTGAAGCGTCCAGCTCGCTCTATGATAATTTAACTGACCTTCCTAGCATAATATATTAGTGAAATGTTATTGACCTAGTTTTGTGATACCAGATTTCAATTGATATCTCATCGTCTGAATAAAAATTCTAACGATGAATACCCAACTGAACGATAACCACTCAAAAAACAAAAACCTACGTTTCAGGGGAAACTTATTTACTTCTTACTTTCACCACTCACCATGAAAAATGATATTCTACTCTGTATTTCATTTCGTCCCTCATGTGCATTTTTCCAGAACATTTTTAGATAACTTGTCCGACAATCCAGATAAGATAGCTAGAAGCATTAAGTTGAACGTTTACTATATATTCATTCATTTTATTACCAGACGCTTTAATCATGCTAACATGCATGAAAATTGAATTAACCTTCCATTAATAATTTTACCGTACTCATGTATTGTGAAGCTTTATGGCATATACATTTCTATTAT